GTTGTAATTGAAGAATAATGTGATGATGGAAATTTAATTTAATTTGATGGATGTCATAATTGTAGATTTTAATGTCCTGCTTAATGTACTATTTGTGATAATACTACTGTATTCCCTTGTATTGATATTTGTGGTGATGGAATTATTAGTGGATTAGAAGAGTGTGATGATTCTAATGATATATAATTTGATGGATGTTATTAATGTAAAATTGAATGTTAACCTTAATGTACTAGATGTATTAAAGGTATATGTTCTGAATGTTAAACATTTGGTTGGATGTTTGATGCTAATTCAAGTTTATGTAGAGAAAAATGTGGCGATAGATATATAGTTGGAAATGAACCTTGTGATGATGGATATAATTTTGACTCAAATGATAGTTGTATTGCTTGTAAGAGAGTATGCAGAGATGATTGTTAAACATGTAGTGATGATGGAACAACATGTTTAGAATGCAAAACTATTGGATTTAAACCATCATATTACTATTGTGTAAACATTTGTGGTGATGGATATTTAGCAGTAGATCCATATAATAGATATATAGAATAATGTGATGATTTTAATTTAGTTAATTTAGATGGTTGTAATGCAGCTTGCTAATTTTAATGTTAAACAATTGATGTTTGTACAAGTTGTGTAAGTAATAAATGTTAAAGTTGTACCAGCACATATTATTTAGATACACAAAAAAATAAATGTATAGAATTGTGTTATGATAATATTATTGTTGGGAATGAAAAATGTGAAGATATGAAGGATGTTATAATTGTTAATAATCATGTTAGATTGTACAATTAAAGGTTGTACATAATGTAAACCTGGATATTTATTAACCAATTACTAATGTAAGAATATTTGTGGAGATTCTATTGTTGTAGATGGAGAAGATTGTGATGATGGTAATTTATATCCTTTTGATACATGTCATTAATGTATTTATTAATGTACATCTAATTGTTTAATCTGTCATAAAGGATAATGTCTATTATGCTAAAAAGATTTTCTTGAAATTTAAGGAAGTTGTTGGAAGTAATAATAATAATAAGATTATTTATTAATATTAGAATCATAAAAAAATAGAGATAATGATTTAACATAAATTATTTTTGTTGAATTTTGTTAGCATTATAATAATTTATAATGTATAAAATGTCAATATCCATTTGTCTATAATTCAATAATATAGATATGTGAAATCAAATTAGAATATTTAATTCATTATGATAGTCTATCTAATTAAGATTATATTTAACCTTTATTAGAATTTTGTCGAATTTAATATCTAGAAACATGCATAGAATGTTATAATTATTTTTAATTGGATTATTTAAATAATTCCTGTTAACCAATCTGTGGTGATAATCGTCTAAATGGTAAGGAAGAATGTGAAGATAATAATTCTTTGTTTTTTGATGGCTGTTATAATTGTAAATATTAATGTCATGATTCCTGTATTAATTGTAAATTTGGTAAGTGTTATTAATGTAAACAAGACTTAATTTTATTGGATTACAAATATTGTTAAACTAAAACAATTTGTAATGCTATTGAAGGATATTATTTAAATGAAGAAACTAATACTTGTATTGAAAATTGCGGTGATACTATAATTTCAAAAAATGAAGATTGCGATGATGGTAATGATATTTAATATGATGGTTGTTACTAGTGTAAATATCAATGTTAAAATTATTGTTCTGATTGTGTTAAAGGAATTTGCATCATCAAACCTGTGCCTTGTAGTATTGGTTTATATTTTAACTTTGAAAGTCTTTCATGTGAATCTATATGTGGGGATGGTATTCTAATTGAACCATAAGAAGAATGTGATGATGGGAATCAAAATTAGGAAGATGAATGCAATAATAATTGTTAGTTACAATGTGATCCTAAATGTAGTATATGTGAAAAATTAAATAATTGCTTGATATGTAAAAAGAATTATTAGTTGATTAATAAAAAATGCGAGGAAAATAATTATTTAGATCATTATATTATCAATTGTAAAATAGTTATTGATAATTAATGTTTGTAGTGTGAAAATGGATTTACTTTATAAAATAATAATTGTATTAGTTATTGTGGTGATGGCATCTAAAATGAAAAAGAATTATGTGATGATGGAAACAATATAAATGGAGATGGATGCGATATCAATTGTAATCCATCATAAGATAGTTATTGCAGAAATTCTGAATGTACAATCATATAATCTCCTAGTGCTAAACTTGTTTTTTCTTATGAATTTTTTGGTATATAATATGCAGAATTAATTTATACTCAAAATATGAAATTAGCAGAAGATTATTCTAAATAAGATTATCTTGATAATTTAGTATTTTACATTGATGATAAAAATGAAAAAGCAAGCATTTCATTCAATTCTGATTCAATAAGTTAACAATTAAATCATGTAATTATTTAAATACAAATTGAATTTTTGGAATATATTTAAGATCCTGTTTTAAAGCTTAAATTAAGAAATAATTAAATTTTAATAAATTAATATGACTTATCAATATAATAAGAGACTCTATCTATCAAATTATTATCTCCAAATGTTTTAAATTAAAATTAATAGCAAAGTAGTTAATCATTAATTTCTTTGAGTTCATAATTATTGAAAATAATGGCTGTATTTATAGCTTTATCATCTATAACAGGATAATTATAAATTATTTCAAATTTAATAGATGTTATACAGTAATTATACTATTTGAAATATTTAAATTCAAGGATTGGCATTAACCTTGCTCAATTTTATTAAACTTTCAAAATAATATAATTAACTAATATTTATGATTAATTCAACATAAATTTAAGTTCTAATTTTAATAATATATTGACATATTACAATTCTGAGCCAATATTTGAATTTGATGATAGGAATGCTAATTTTTTAAACAATATATCACAATTAAGTTTAATGTATATCATTTTAGGAATTATACTGATGATATTGAAATTTTTTCCTAAATACATAATGAGAAAATTGTCATAATTATATTATACTCAGCTAAATTAAACATAGTTATATATTATAAAGTACATCTAATAACTTTGTTTAACAATTAGAAAAATAAAGTATTAGCCTATGATTAAAAGTTTGTTTTTAGCAATGATGTATGAATTTGGAATCAATATATTTCTTGCTATAAAATATTCAAAAAGGGATAATGAAGGATACTGTGGAGTTAGAATAGCAATATCAACATTAATGTAAGTATCTTAATTTTATTATCATTATTAAAATAAAATTAAGGTATAATCAAAAGATTATAAAAATTAAAGAAAGAGGATAATGTGTTTATATACATGTGTATGTAAAGATTAGTTTTTATAATATTTTTAATATTCTTTTTTTAATCAGGGTCGATTTAAATTTTGTTGTGTATTTTGAACGAATTTTAGTATTGCTACTTTTTATATAGTTACAAAATAATTAAATAATCTACAGAGAATTTGAAGTAATTATCCTCTCATATTATTTAATTTATTATTTGTAGTATTTATCTGATTAATAATTTTTATTAAAATGATCCATAAACTTTAATTTTGATTGGATGGACTATTATTAGTTTGATGAGCATTGTTTTAGTAATAACAATAATTATAGATTTGTTTGATTTAATCTATCCTTTTTTTAAAAAAATCTTTAAGAAATAGACAATTCAAAAAAATGGGATAAATGAATTATTTTGTGTAGTTGAAAATCAAGTAAATGTACTCAATCGCTAATAATTTTGAAAATTAGATTTATTTTTATAGACATTATCACAATTTTTATTTTCTAAATATATTTATAATTAGTTATTTGATTATCAAATTTAATTAATTACATCAATAACTCAATATTTCTATTTAAGTACTTCATTAAAATGGTAAAGTAGTGAAAGATAATGATTTAACATAAATTATTTTTGTTGAATTTTGTTAGCATTATAATAATTTATAATGTATAAAATGTCAATATCCATTTGTCTATAATTCAATAATATAGATATGTGAAATCAAATTAGAATATTTAATTCATTATGATAGTCTATCTAATTAAGATTATATTTAACCTTTATTAGAATTTTGTCGAATTTAATATCTAGAAACATGCATAGAATGTTATAATTATTTTTAATTGGATTATTTAAATAATTCCTGTTAACCAATCTGTGGTGATAATCGTCTAAATGGTAAGGAAGAATGTGAAGATAATAATTCTTTGTTTTTTGATGGCTGTTATAATTGTAAATATTAATGTCATGATTCCTGTATTAATTGTAAATTTGGTAAGTGTTATTAATGTAAACAAGACTTAATTTTATTGGATTACAAATATTGTTAAACTAAAACAATTTGTAATGCTATTGAAGGATATTATTTAAATGAAGAAACTAATACTTGTATTGAAAATTGCGGTGATACTATAATTTCAAAAAATGAAGATTGCGATGATGGTAATGATATTTAATATGATGGTTGTTACTAGTGTAAATATCAATGTTAAAATTATTGTTCTGATTGTGTTAAAGGAATTTGCATCATCAAACCTGTGCCTTGTAGTATTGGTTTATATTTTAACTTTGAAAGTCTTTCATGTGAATCTATATGTGGGGATGGTATTCTAATTGAACCATAAGAAGAATGTGATGATGGGAATCAAAATTAGGAAGATGAATGCAATAATAATTGTTAGTTACAATGTGATCCTAAATGTAGTATATGTGAAAAATTAAATAATTGCTTGATATGTAAAAAGAATTATTAGTTGATTAATAAAAAATGCGAGGAAAATAATTATTTAGATCATTATATTATCAATTGTAAAATAGTTATTGATAATTAATGTTTGTAGTGTGAAAATGGATTTACTTTATAAAATAATAATTGTATTAGTTATTGTGGTGATGGCATCTAAAATGAAAAAGAATTATGTGATGATGGAAACAATATAAATGGAGATGGATGCGATATCAATTGTAATCCATCATAAGATAGTTATTGCAGAAATTCTGAATGTACAATCATATAATCTCCTAGTGCTAAACTTGTTTTTTCTTATGAATTTTTTGGTATATAATATGCAGAATTAATTTATACTCAAAATATGAAATTAGCAGAAGATTATTCTAAATAAGATTATCTTGATAATTTAGTATTTTACATTGATGATAAAAATGAAAAAGCAAGCATTTCATTCAATTCTGATTCAATAAGTTAACAATTAAATCATGTAATTATTTAAATACAAATTGAATTTTTGGAATATATTTAAGATCCTGTTTTAAAGCTTAAATTAAGAAATAATTAAATTTTAATAAATTAATATGACTTATCAATATAATAAGAGACTCTATCTATCAAATTATTATCTCCAAATGTTTTAAATTAAAATTAATAGCAAAGTAGTTAATCATTAATTTCTTTGAGTTCATAATTATTGAAAATAATGGCTGTATTTATAGCTTTATCATCTATAACAGGATAATTATAAATTATTTCAAATTTAATAGATGTTATACAGTAATTATACTATTTGAAATATTTAAATTCAAGGATTGGCATTAACCTTGCTCAATTTTATTAAACTTTCAAAATAATATAATTAACTAATATTTATGATTAATTCAACATAAATTTAAGTTCTAATTTTAATAATATATTGACATATTACAATTCTGAGCCAATATTTGAATTTGATGATAGGAATGCTAATTTTTTAAACAATATATCACAATTAAGTTTAATGTATATCATTTTAGGAATTATACTGATGATATTGAAATTTTTTCCTAAATACATAATGAGAAAATTGTCATAATTATATTATACTCAGCTAAATTAAACATAGTTATATATTATAAAGTACATCTAATAACTTTGTTTAACAATTAGAAAAATAAAGTATTAGCCTATGATTAAAAGTTTGTTTTTAGCAATGATGTATGAATTTGGAATCAATATATTTCTTGCTATAAAATATTCAAAAAGGGATAATGAAGGATACTGTGGAGTTGGAATTGCAATATCAACATTATTTGTAAGTATCTTAATATTATTATCATTATTAAAATAAAATTAAGGTATAATCAAAAGATTATAAAAATTAAAGAAAGAGGATAATGTGTTTATATACATGTGTATGTAAAGATTAGTTTTTATAATATTTTTAATATTCTTTTTTTAATCAGGGTCGATTTAAATTTTGTTGTGTATTTTGAACGAATTTTAGTATTGCTACTTTTTATATAGTTACAAAATAATTAAATAATCTACAGAGAATTTGAAGTAATTATCCTCTCATATTATTTAATTTATNACCTATGTTTTCTATTGTAAATTACCTTTCATTTAAATATTGTAAACATTATTTGGATCTAATTCAATTGATTTTTCACACATCTCATTAGCTTCATCCCAACGCTTTAATGAACTTAAAGCTCTTCCTAAAGTGAAAAATAAAATATGCTTACCCTTTTATAAATAATTATCAGAGTCATATGGTTTCAAAATTATACAAATATCATAGCAAAAAATAGCCTTTTCATATAATTTTAGCTCTTCTAGGGTTTTTGCTTAGGTTAATTTAAAAAGTTATACCTTTTTATTTATAGAGATCTACACTTTTAGGATATTAAATTATACATTAATCTAAACAAACAATAGCCTCACCATAGCACTTCATATCGTATAAAAGTAAACCTAAATTTTTTTTAATAATTTTTTCTACTTTTGTGATAATTACCTATTTATTTTATAGGATCTAATTTTAAATATAAATTAAAAAAATCTAGAGCTTCATTATAGCGTTTTTATTTTTATAAAATCCTTCCTAAAATTATCAAAAAAATGTTTTTGTACCTTTAATAAAATAACCTGCGTTATAATTTTTATTAATTTTAAAAATTTCTTCAATTACTTAAAGGGCTTCTTCGAATTATTTTAATTCAAGTAATTCAACACCTTAATATTACTTTTTAAGCTACTTTTTCGATATCTTGCAAGTAAGTTTATATTATCAACTAATAATGTTATCTCACAAAAATTTAACGCCTCATCCAATTGATTACCATTTTCTAAAACAAATACTAAAATATAAAAAAATCATACTTTTTGAAATTAGACCAATGACATCATTTTGATTTTTTGTTAACAAAATATTAGATACTTTTTCAATGTCCTCATAAACTTATTTTCTGTATTTATTAATTTTTTCTCTCAATTAAACAGCTAATCCAACTTAATTAAGTTCTACTAAGGCTATACCTAATTTAATTATAAATTAGTCCTTACTGTTATAAAATTTGAAAATATATTAATATTTTTTTAATTATCTATTTTTTTCACTGAAGTATTAATCAGCCTTTTTCCATTCTTTTTTATTGAGTAAAGTAATTCCTGAAAAATTATTCATAACTAATACCTTCAAACAAAAAGTCCTCTAATTAAGATTATTTCAATAAGGGCTATTTCTCTAAGGTTTATAAAGATTTTAAAGATTATTAAAATTAATTGATTTGGAGTAATTCTTTTGCTAATTTTTATTTTAAAATTAATTACCTAATTTATTCTAATTCTCATCTTTTTATTAATTAAGGAATTAATACCATTCTTTCATTGAAGAAATATTTTCTCTAATATCAAAATAATCATTTAATTCAATCGATTGTTTAATCTTATTCAAAATTTCTGTTTTTCTTTGTAATTATTTTAAATATTCTGTATATTTTATTTGTACTTAAGAATATGAATTATTTAATTAGTTTTATTCTATTGAAACCTTTTATAGAGCATTTTCAACAATAATTTTAATTTATGAAAAAGGTTTGCAATCATTTTTACAATTTTTATGGATATTATTATCTAATGCACACTTAATACAAAATTAAGGTTTCTACATTTAACATTTGACATCTAAACAAAATCCTTAAATTTCCATTTCCTCATGTTCAATATTTTAACAAGTATAAAATCTCTATTACATAAAAATTAAGTTAATAGAAAATAATTTTTATATAGCCCATTTAAATATTGATTTCTTTTAAATACCGCATATTTTCTGAATTATTTTAAATGATGCCAATAGTTGCAAAGATTCAAGTTGAAAAATAATTATTATTATTCTTTAGAATTGCCATTTATAGAAATCTTTAAATTTTAATTATTAACAATTTTCGTTTTCTTTTCTTAATACATTTTAATCAGAATCAAGAAAAATATTAAATTTAAATATTAATCTTTAATAACTAGCATATGTATAAATTTAATCAAATTTTGTTTATTAATCTATTTAGATTAGATTATTCAATATTTTTTATAGATCATAATATTTATCAAGCATAATTCTACGCTCTCATTTTGTATTTTAAAAAAATTTTTAAATTAAAGGTTCATATTTATTTTTCTAAAAAAATATAATTTTAATTTTATCCCTCTAAATAAATTATGTTCAAATAACATGGATTACTACTTTTATTAATAAATCAAGTAGGTATTTTTAGTAAAAAAGATTTTGTGAAAATTTTATTCTAATTTATGCTATAAATTTTTAATGTAAAATATATTTCTCATGCGAAATATTTGATTTAATCTTCTATAATCAATTCTACTCATAAGAATATTTTAAATACGAGCTAATCAAAAAATAAACAAAAAAAATCAAATTTTGCGTATTTTCCATATGCACATACAATGTATATAAGACCTTTAACAAAAAGATTGAACATTATCTCTCATATTTTGAATTAAAAATTTAGAATAATCAGTTAATCTATTTTTCAGATTTATATTATTTAAGGAACTACTGATTCAACCTTCTTTATAAGTTGAAGGTTTACTCTTTTTATACTGGATCTATACTCCTATTTCTTTTACTAAAATTAATTACTCATTATTATTATATTTGATTTCTCTAAATATGTTCCTTCTTCTGAATATACATAGAAAGAATTAAAATGAATAGCGTACTTGAAATTTCACTGAAAAATGCCTGAAAAGTAAATGTTCAGCCTATTATCGAACTACTCCCATCTAAGCCATTTGAAAGTTGAGTTTTCCCTTTTTATATTATTTGAAATTTGCATTTTATTTTTTTCAATCTGATTCTAAAATGATAAAATATTAATTTTTTTTGGAATAGTATTAAAAAGTAATAATATAAATAATAAGAAATGTTATATTAAATACAAATATAAATATTTTAATTATAATCTTAAATTAATTATGTTTACTAGTTTCATCGTTTTGATCATTCTAGATAGCTCATTTGGATTCATTAAATATGATACAGGTCTATTAAAGGTATATGATTACGAAGTTTCCAGCTTTAATTGTTAAAATGGATTCTCTAAAACAGCCACAATAAATTTTGCAGGAACATTTGAAAATTAACCTTAAGTATTTTTTTATTTGGAGAAAATTGATTTAGAGAGGGCTGAATTAGAGTTTAAACTATCAATTACAACAATAACAGTAACAAGTAAATATAATGTTAAATAGGTTTCTAAACTTTAATTAGCTGTGCAAAATATAGGGTTTATAGAACTTAGATTAGATGGTTTGCTATAGATGATTAGCGTATTGAAGTTATTAATAATTTTAATATGATAAATCCAGATGATAAAACATTTTAAATTAAAAATCCAAATGCTTAATATGGTTTCTTAACTTTAACCAGTATTCATTTTACAGGTCAAATAGATTTTTAATTATCAGTATTTATAAAAAACTAAAGATAAGATTAGTTCTATAACAACAAATTCTGCGACTGTTACTATAACCAAAGTTTCTGGTAAATTTGCTAATCTTAAATAAATTGGTTATTAATTAGTTGTAGGAGTTTAAGAAGCATTCATCAATTTAGGATTAATGACACCAACAGGTGGTTTTAGTAGTGGAGCATTGCCAATTTAAACAAATAGATGGTTTTTCATTGCTTTGTAGGGTCTTAATTATAATTATGCTGATAATATTAGAATTGAAACATTATTTACTAATACAGCCACTACATTATCTTATACCTTTGGAGCATGTAATATTATTTATTATAATCTTAATTAGGGTAAGGAGTAACTGAAACACCAAATAGACATTCTTAAATTTGGATTGCTTATTAATTTACTTATTCATACAAAGCTCTTGAATGCTTCAGTGTAAGAACAAGTCGTAGAGAAGCATTTGATTTAACAATTTTGCCACCCATTTATTTAGAATTAGTTTCACTAAATCAAATTTATACTACTATAGGAAATTATAACTATATAATAAATAAGTCAGTTTAACCTGTCAATATAGTTATTTTATTAGGATGTCCAAATGGAAAAAAGGTCAAAGCAGAATTTAATAAATGTAATTCATGCAGTACATAAAAGTTTTATTCTATTACTTATAATTGTTTTAATAAAATGAACTATGTTGGCTTTTACCCAGTATTTAAACAAGCATTTTAATAATATAATCAATTAAAAATTAATATGTAATCCTCATCACTTGAGATCACTTAAGTTCTTTATGATTAAAAAATCACCGAACAATTAATAATCAAAGTTTAAATTTTAAATTAATGAAGTTTTATTTATTTTTTTAATTAATTAATCATTCAGAATAAATTATTCTTATCATCTCTGTCAATCTTATTCATATTTTATAAATATGAGCATAATACCTAAATTTTTTTAGTCTAAAAATGATTATCAACTTAAAGATTTAAATTTGAATATAGGTTGAAATTTTACTTCATTTATAAGCATGAACTTTTTGTATAGGATTATAAATAGAGAATAATAAACAATTAATTCTAAATGATTTTATGATAATCTTTTATATGTGAAGTATCTAACTTGATGTTTTCTCATTTTTAAATATATAAATTAAAGAAAAAAAATAGCATAATTATAAATCAATATCATTATTTTAAAATTAGTGCTACTGGACAAGATTAAACGCAATTTATAAGAAAATTATTAATTTTGTTTATTGTATAAGATGTTACTGAAATTAATATTAAATTTTGGATGAAGAAAATAGATGGTCGTTTTATAGAAAAAAGAATTGTAATTATTAATCTTTGGAGACTTGTTACAATTTTCTCTAACATTAATTCAAAAAGAAACAATCATCATCCAAAAATTATCCATCATTAAAAATAATTTTTCATATTAGTCTCTCTTAAAACTACTAAAATTGTTTTAATTTGCTTATTCAAAAATATAAACTTATTTATTCAACATCAACTTTTTCATATTTAGAAAATTTAATTTATCTAATTTAATAGAATAAATTTAAAATAAGATTATCTTCCATTCTTACTGTAGGTTTTGACTATTGCATATAAAAGAATGGATTGCATACTTCTTCCAAAATAATTTTTATTCCTTTCTCAGCTATTAAGATTTGAGATGATAATAATTTATAATAATTAACTTAAATTATAAATCTATGTATATAGTTATATATAATATTTTTGTGATGATCAATAATTGCCTAAATCTCATAAAATTTATTAATGTGAAATGAGAAAGCCCAGAATGATGATAAATAATGAAACATTAATAGATTAATTATATTAATTTTATTTTAATATAAATTTTATCAAATTTTTTCAATAGGTTCTATTCCAATCAAATAAAAAGATTGCTATAATATAATTCTGATAACTTCACACAATAATAGTCGTGTTTAAGTATGTTCATTATTCAATATATGATACTAAATTTTAAAATTAATAAATTACTTAATTATATGCTTCTCCTATTTTTACACATATAATATAGATATAATCACATAGCCAATTAATAGTTAATTAATCAGTTACTGATTATAAAACATCAACAAATCGCAATAGTTATACAGCTAAATGACGTTCATGCAAATGTGTTATTTTGAATTTATTTTCTAATTTAAAGACTTAAAAATCTTGAATGCCACTCTTTCTTATAATAGATAAGATTCTAACATAGGAATACATCAAATACATGGCAGTATTACCTTTTAGATCAAGCATCTTATCAAAGTCAAAATTATAATTAGAAATACGATTCTATTTTAAGCAATAATATTTAATGGCTGCAATTCCCATTTTACCTGCTTTGAAATCAAATTCTTCTGGAGATAAAACAAAATTTATAAATTCTTTTACTTATTAATTTTGCTAAAACCTTTATTAAATTTATTTCAATGCTCTCTATTTAGCTTCATCTAATAAATCTATTAGTTTAACTGTATCAATTTATATTGCCTTAAATCTTTTAGGATCTCCAATTATTAAACCAAATCCCATAAATTCCATAGATGTAACTGGTGGTTAATGCCATCCCATTAATTTTGAACCTTCAAAAATAAGCATATAATGATTCAACTAACCTATATCATTTAAATAAATTAATCTGTCACATTTCCAATCTATAAGACGTATTTTTGCTGCTGCCATATATGTAGTATCATAATTATAACCTCCATTTGATTTCACAATCATTATAGGAACCTTGTATCCATTAACTCTTATAATCCTTGCACCTTAATCTAATTCAACTATCCCTTTACTTTCACATTACTAAACTATTTCTGGTAAAATAGAATTATAATAACTTTCTCCAAATTCTGTTATTTTTACATTCAATCGTTAATAAATTTTATTATATTCTTATTTACTTAATTCACTAATCATTTTCCAAGCATCAATACATACTGGATCCAATGCCTGCAATTATTTAACATATTATTAAGATTTTATTTTAAATTCCTCATTTTAATCGAACTTCTTTTTAGCTGCTCTATAAAACTCATTTAATTCTGTTATTACAGGACTATTTATTTAGTAATTTGGATATTCTTCTAATAAATGATTAATCAACATTCCAAATTAATTTCCCCAATCACCAATATGATTTACTCTAATTACTTCTTATCCCTAAAATTCTAATATTCGACATAAAGATTCTCCTAAAATGGTTGATCTTAAATGACTAATATGCATTTCTTTTCCAATTCGTGGACTTGAAAAATCTACAACTATTTTCTTAATTATTTTTAAATGCTATTTATACTTATTTCTTCTTTATAGGGAATTTTAATCCATTTATTAAAAGAGAATTTATTTCATCCTCTATAAATTTATCTTTTAATTAAATTGTTAGAAATCCTTTATCATTTGCCTCTACTTTATAGATTACTTTATCCTAAAATTCTATAGATGCTATTTTTTATGCAACATCAACTTCAGATTTTAAATCTTCATTATTTCAACATTCAATACCTAAATATAAATTTTATTTCTTAAATTGATTAAATATTTTTATGGCGATTGACGTTTTGTATTCATAATTTAAATCATTTGATATTGCTTATAGTGAAATCTCAAAATTATTTTATTGTAAATTTGGAAAAGCTGCTTAAACCCTTTTGTTTATAGCTAATTTAATCAACTACTCCAAACTTTTCATAGTATTTACCGCAATTTAATCCATTTACTTAATAAGCAAAACTTATATAATTTTATAATAAAATTATAATTATTTTCTTAAAAATAAGTAACTTATATTTTCTAGAAAAAATAATCAATAGTTATTTTGAAATTAAAATGAGAAAATGAAGATAGAAACTAATTCTAATATTTAACAATAATTCTTAGAAAAGTAATATTGTAAATATAAGATGTATAAAATCTATCTATTTTCATTCCAGTCTAGAATAATCATTTATATTTTAATTAATGGCTTTAAATTATTTAGATCATGAAGTTCTTAATTATTTTACTAGAACATATAGTCTTAATGATTATTAAAATCATTAATAGAAAGTGATATATATGAAACAATTAATTAATATAAGGTTTCAATGACTTAAAGATAGATCTGATTATAAGTTCTTAATAATTTTTAATTCATTAATTAAAAAATTGAAGAATGTTTTTTAAATTATAATGAATACTTAATTTTATTTTGATGGACTATTAAAAATTACTTAAGGAGAAAAATGATTAGATAAAGATTATATCATTACTTTTGATAATAAGAATTAAGTAGAAAATGTTTTATGAATTTTGATAATAAGATTATTTTATTCTAGTATTTTAAAGGAATAAAAATTATTATTATTAAAAATGAATAATCTTGAATGTGATCCTGATAAAGGATGTTGGCTTTTGAGTAATTGTGTGAAAGATGAATTAAGTTATACTTGTGTCCATGATCCAATATTGGAATTAACTCCATATACAGGATTTGTTTATTTCTTAATACCAATATTATTGGGTACCAGCATTTTAGGTGGTTTAGGAAGTGGTATGATTAAAAGACCAATATTAAATCTACTATTAAATTATCCTTCAAACATTTCAACACAAATAGCATATTGTTTTCAATTCACAACAGCATCATTGAATTTATTATTTTTATTTTTTGAAAAGTAATGACATATCCAATTTTTTAGGCATCCTGATCATTTAAATTTACCTTTAATAAATTTTGATATAAGCATAATATTGAATTAAACTATTCCATTAGCATGGAGTGCAGGAGCATTTCTATCATAAATATCACCACAATTTATAATATATCTAATCTAATTGTGTTTTTTATTAGGAGCATTACCTTTTTTTTGGAAATTTAGTAATAATTTAAATTGTATATTTAGAACATACTTAAAAAAGACTTGAATAAGATAAAAGAGAAAATATTGTATTAGTTGATTAAAAAATTAAAACTAAAGAAGAAATGTCAATTGAAACTAATTTCGATGAAAAATAGCTAAATTAGTATCAATAATTCTATTTAAATGATCACAAGAAATTCTAAATAAAAAATTTATGTTTCATTTTAGGATCCTTTTTTATAAATTAAACAATTATTTTGATGAGATCAAATAAATATAATAATTCAATTATAGGATTAAATAAATGTACTCTTGAAAATAACATGATTTTATTTGCAATAGTAGGTGTCAATATTGCTTATTCACTAATAGTATATTGGAATAAAAGAAATGAGGAATATCATAAAGATATTGTGTAATATAGACCAAATTAGAGAATCTTCAAATAGAAAAAATTATTTTTATTTTATTATTTAGGAGGCTTTTTAGCTGGATTTAGCACAGGTTTTCTAGGTATGGGTGGAGGGATAATTATTGTTACATTTTTATTATCTTAAAAAATAATTGCTAGAGAAGCTGCTGCTACTGCTGCTTTCGGATCATTTATGATTTCTATAAATAGTTTGTTCTTATTCATTTTGTAAAAATCTATAAGTGACACATAAATGATTGTGTTTATCATTTTTGGAGTATAACATTATTTATTAATTTTATAGATTTTAGGAGTTATCATTATTACAAAGCCTTCATATATTTTAATGAACAAGTTTAGGATCGGATATATCATTTTAATTGTAGATATAATTTAAGTTTCTATCAATGTATTTTCAATTTTAGCCTTAATTGTAGTCAATTCAACATTGTATGGATTTAATGTAATGTTAGATCGCGATCCTAATTGTTGAAATTTGTAATCATTTTATTATTATTATCATATCAATTTTTATATCTGAATAATCTACTTTTTTTTTGACTTATTATATAATATTACTCATATCAAGAAAATATATATTATATAAAAATTTTTGTAAATATATAACTTAATGTATTTTATCAATTATATAATATTGAAATTTTAGATTATTTTTAAACAAACATTTTTGTAGACTTAAGCTAAATACTATGATTTTAAAATCAAAAATTAATCTAACGCATGAAAAAAAATATTTTAAACTCTTATGAATTTCATCCACTAATTATATATTTTAAATTCAATTTTCATTCCTAAACTATTAATTTTGTTTATAATTTTATAATTGGTATAATAAATACATGATAAAATAATTTACCTAATTATAGTTTAAACTTTTGAATGATATAAAAGACATAAGTTTAATTAATTTAGGAATAAAATTCTTACATAGATTCCAGATTTTAGATGTAATTTCCCTATTTATTTATATTGATTTTAATAAATATAATAAAAATTATCTCCTAAATATCATGACCATGCTTAATATTATAAGAAAATATTATATTTTTAGGTTACTTATTTTTAAAATAGGATTATTTGAGAGGGTTTAAAACAATTAAAAATTTAACATAATTATTAGAGTGAAAAAAAAAGATATTTATTTTTATCCTTTCTAAAGGTGAATAAGTTTTAATTTAAATGAATAATTTCAATATAATAAATGGCTTGAACGATGCAATGAGAAATAATACGATTATCTAAGTAATTATATCTTAGAAGGCGTAAAAGACTTATGAATGCAATGATGGAAAATTTTGAATTTCTCAGAATATCTTGAGATATAACAAAAACAACAATAAAAAAAAGTGAATATGAAATAAATTAGAATTTTGTTTTAAAGATAAGGGATAATATTTATCACTTTAGACTTGAAGTAAAATAATACCAAGATATAATTAAAATTATAAATTTAATATTTAATAATAATGCTATAAAAAATTTGATTAATTACGAATTCCTCATTCAAAAGAAATCTTTATTATTTAAAAAAAACATCCAATAATTATTCTGTTTCTTTTTTTCCATAAGGAAATACAGGGTAGTTGAGTTAAATCAAAACCTTTTTAAAAGGAGTATTATATAGCATTTATATTTGTATTCTACATAAATTACAAAGTCTAAAGTTTTCTTTTTGCTCCTCACAACCCATGCACATAATAAAAAGGCAAAAAAATTCATTACAAAAATTTATAACAGAAACTTATAATGTAGTTTTATTTTGATCAATTTTATTATCTCTTATTTTTATGTTGAATTTAATTAAAAAAAGTTATGAATCACTCACTATTTCTCTTATTATTATATAAAATCATAAATTTTCCTGAATTTTTGAATAAATCTTTTAAAAAGTTCAGGGCTATCATAATTTAAGAAAAAGATTAAAATGAATATCTCTACATTAAGCTTAATTTCAGTTTGTGTCCTATATAACCTTATAATTTCTATTAATAATGTTTTTGCATTCAAATTAATTTATCTCAGAGACATATTACTATGGTTATGATAAGGACATAAAAATTTATAATGAAAATTATTTTTATTTTATTATGAATGTGAAGTAGAAATTAAGTAAGTTCAAAAAAATACTCTAGTATTTGTATATATAATTTGAAACTTTTTAAATTACTTAAAAAGTAGTGTTTACAAAGTTGAAAATAAATTTACATTTTTTTTGCTACTATTAATATTTAGCTAAATTAGTATATTGCAATTCCAATAAAACAAACAAATCGATAATTTGGGCTGATAATTTTTAAAAGAATCAAAAAAAATTAACAATCTTAAAAAATTAAACCAAAAAATAAAATATAAATTTTATAATTTTACTAAATTAATTAATTTCAAAACTTCTAAGGTTTCAATGCATTAAGTTCAGAATACCTCCAAATCAAGGTTTAAAAACTAAAAAATAAAATATTATATTGTTTACAAATGACAAAATAAAGAAATTTTAGATATAATATAAAATATTTAAATAGCATATGTATATAAATCATATTATTGAAATTACTTCAATTTATAAAAAAAAGAATAATTAATAAGACAATTTTTATGCTTTTTTAATCTTTAACCTTAAAATTAAATATTAAAAATAAGGTAATTAGCAAACAATCATTATGATTTAAAATTAAATGTAATTTATTCATTTGATATCATTATTAATTAATCTTTAAGTATTTCTTTAGAAATATAATTTAAATAGAAATTTTTAATAACCTAATTTAAAATCAAATAATATAGGAGTTTTATTTTTGAAATTTATTAATCAATAAAATTTTGATGATTTAAATGTTAATGAATTCTAAAATCTGTTACTAATGAAAAGCAATAAGAGAGCAATTATTTTGTTAATTATATTTATTTGTAAAAATTAAAAATTTTATGAGTTACCAATTTAAATTCATATAAATATTAGTTAATTGTTTAAAAAAATAAAAAAAAAAAAAATATAAATCCTTAAAACTCAAATATATATAAATATTTAAATAGTAAAGGAAGCTTGCCTTAGAAAGCAACAATAAATTAATCAAAATCAATCAAATTAATAAAACTTCTGATATAAATTTATTTGTTGAACCAAAATATTTAAAAAGCTTTAATAACACTTCTTAAATGAATAACCCAGAGTCTAATATTAAAAACTTATAAAAAATTAAATAAATATAAATACTATTTATATATTGGATTTAATAGTTTTTGAATTCTATGTATCCAAAATAGAAATTTATTCTCAATTGAATTTTATTTAATTTTAATAATGCAATCCTGAGTATTGGATTTTGAAAAATTGACAACAAATTTTAAATCAATAGAGTGAATTCATAAAAACAAATTTAAAATCTTCTATTAAGAGAAATTTGTTAAAAAATAACAAATAGCTTAGAATTAGAAGCAACCAATTATAGATTAATTATATTAATGAATATAATAAAATTTATTAATCGATATCATTATTAAAAGAAATAATTGATTTTCTATTAATAGAAGTATTTTGAAAAAAGTATCTAAAGCAAATTGTATAACAATTTTAATAAGGAGTTTGAGATCTTTGTTCCATTTACTTGAATTTAGAGTAATAATTAATTATTTAAATTAGGTTAAAATTTGACATAGTAAACATAATAATGTTGTCAGATAATTGGATTGATTTCATACTTTAATTATCCCCAGTCATCTTAAAAGTCCATCTTTAGATCAAAAAAGAATTTTATAAGATTAGGAGATGTATTCATGAAATAGTAATGTCAAGCATTTTTCCCATGTTTTATCATTATAAAGTAATATTAAATTATTATGGAGTAAGAGAGTTTATAAAGGACATTGGAAAATTAATTGAATTTTTTTTAAAGAATAGTTTATATTCGTTAAGATAAAATACCAATCTTAATCATTTATTATATCCACAAAGTGTTGTCTTATAAAGTCCAAATCTTTGATTTAGGGTTGCTCCCTTTTAATTTTAAGTTTATTAGGACAAAATTCATATAATCAGAATAATTAGAATTTTAAAACATTACAACTGATACATTTACTCCAATTTAAAAAGATAAAATCTAAAATTTCAATAAATTTAGAGTTGCTAAGTAACAAAAACAAAAAAAAATTTTATTTGTTTCCCATTATAATTTGATATTTGTTGATCTAAAATACGATATCAATTCATAATGATCTTTTTGTTGTATTAATTTATACATACAATGAATTAATAATTGAAATCAATATTCTCATTATTTAGCAGATTAATGATATTTATTTTAGAATGAAAATAGTTGATTTATAAATCGGGATTAATCGGATTGTTGAAATATATATATAAGATTTTTTTTATAAAATGAAACAGTTTAATTATATTAAATATTTGTGAATGGAAAATATCTTTTTTGGTGGAGTATAAAAAGCTGCAGATGATATTATTGAAAAGCTAGAGAGAATCCCTTAAAGAAACTTAAACATGAAAGTTCATAATAAGAAAGAATAAACAAAGAGCTAAAAATATGCCAAATTCTCCTTTCGTCCTGAATTTTCAATGGAATAATCTTTAGATAAACTTTAAGTAATTTCATATTGATATTGATAGGAATATTGTAATGTTTGCAATAAGAGAATAATTAAATTTAAAGGATTCAAAGGAAACTTTAAAATTGAAAACTGGATGAATGTTGAAACAAAATTGAGAAATATCAATGGTTTAAAATCAATTGCATTCATTGACACATAATTAGATAAGGAACATTTAGATGTTTTAAGCAAATGGCTATCTTGGATAGAACCTTAGAAATTAATTATTGAGTTATAATAAAATGAACTAGATAATGAAGATTTATGTGATTTTCTCTATTTTTTATTTGAGAGACGAATAGATATTAGATATGTAAGAATTTATTTTAAATTAGATTTACATAATTGGAAATCCAGGAATTTATAAAGGAGTCTTCTTAAAGGAATTTTAATAATTTTTAATTCGTAACTTTGCAACAAATTAGTTTCATTATTATAAATTAATTAAAAATAAAAAAGCTTTATCAATTGCTATAGTCTAGATATAAAGAAGCAAAAACGATGAATAAATAAAAAAGAAAATAGAGAAAGCTATTTAAAAAATTGATTAAACATAATATTATAAATTAGATCTAAAAAATTGTTTTACTGAGAAAAATTGGTAAGGATTTTAGGATCTTATAATAAAAACTTATAGAGAAGATAATTTGGAATCTTTATCATATTTAGATATTAGTGATAATTTTTTAGGTACTTAAAATGCTTTCAATAATATGTGTACATTAATGTCATCAGCAAAAGGTTTATTAGTTTTAAAAATAGCTAATTAACCTTTAATCCATAATTCAAATACTATAGAACTATTATAAGGAAATAGATATGATAATTTAAAATTAAAAGAAATAGACATTTCAAATAATTCATCTATGACTGAGAAAGCATTTCAATTATTATCAGATAATATATTTTAGTATTGTAATAAAATAGATATTAATGATTGTTTAATTGAATAATATTCAACGATGTTGAAATTCTTTTTTATGGTAGAATCATTCCTAAAAAAAACAAAATAAAAAAAATAACTATTTTAATAAAGTAATTATATTATTATTAATATAGAAAAAATAATTAAATATGATCTTTTAAAGGTTCTAGATTTAAGAACTGTAGAAAATTACAATCGTTATGATTAAATAGAGAGTCTTTTGATGAATACAGTATTTACTGAATTTAGTAGTATAAAAACCTTATGTAATGATTATTTATATGCATAGATTTTTAAGATCTTGATCCAGGAAGATGTGAAGCTTATATTAGAGCTAAATAAAAATTTATCAAGCAAACTCTGCAATTGAAAAAAGAAGGTTCAATCTTTTCAGAATATAAAAATAGCTTAAATAAACTTGTCTTCTCGAAATAATAATATAGAAATGATACTAATATAATGACAGATTTCTTCTTAGAGTATTTTTTTACTGAAAAAGATACAATTATTGAAATTGAATTTTTTGAAATTTAAACTGGCACATTAAGTAATATCTCTAGGGCTAAAGGATTAGAATTAGCTTGTCAAGAAATTATAAAGAAAACTAAAACTAATCCTAATCTTAAATATTCGATAAAAAAGGTATTAATGAATGAAGCAGACTTTTAAATGAATTTTGATACACTCAAATGTTTTTTATATTTACCTTCTGTCTAATTAGAAGAATTTATCTTTTAGAATGATTTAATGTATTTTTAATGGGATCTTTGGTATAAAGAATCAACTATCTTTTTTTCGAATTTACAAGAAGGATAATATCATAGTTTGAAAACTTTAAAACTTTTCAATGTTGATGATATAATAATTGAAATCAATTAATTTTTGGAAATGTTTATTTTTAACTCTAAAATTAATTTAAAAGAACTAGAGCTGATAAAAATTATTACCAAAAATACATAATAAAGTAATAAAAACTTGATATCTATTATTGAGAAAACTAATAACACTTGTTTGGAGAAACTATCGTTTGGTTAATTTTAAGGAGAAGGGGAGGATATAATTTTCTAAGTGGTCGTTTTTAATTAAAAAATAAAGCTGAAATATTTATAATTAAATAATATCAAAATCTAAAATTATTTAGATTCTATTGATAAACTTGTTTAAAGTAATGCAGATTAAAATCCACTTCAATTTATACACACAATTGAATTTATAAAAATATCAATAGATACAGTAGAAGACTGGAAAAGAGTGTTAAGAATATTTTTTATAAATTAGAGGCTATCTCTGAAAGTATTATACTTTAAAGATACTATTTTAAATAAATGGTATTCAGAAGCAATTAAAATATTACTATAACCTTATGAATAAGAAATATTTATTGCAATTTAATAGAAATAAGAAGTTGGATAGATTGATAAAGATATAGATAATTAAAAAAAAGATTCTGAAATATAGAATCAGAATATTATATTACCATTTTCATTATAAGAATTACATTTTGAATAATGTCACATATAAGATGATGTTTTGAAAGGGTTTTTAGTTATTTGTGAATTAAATTGTTTATCTTTTATTAATTGCTAAGAATTAGACTATGGGTTAAAAAAAACGATAGATTTAATTAAGATTTAACAATTAGAGCTATATTATTCTTATAAAATTAAATCGTTTAATTGTAAAAGTTCTGTCATAACTGATATTGCTATCTTTAAATTTCTAATAAATGGGATTGTGCTTAATAAAAATAGATAAATGCTGTAAATATTAAATTTAGAAAGTTGTAATTTAAATGATGACATGATGCAAATCCTATCTTAATAGTTTTCAGAAATTAAAGAAGAACAAAAATTTTATAATAGAGTTTTTATATTAAGAGATATTTATTTGAGTAATAATAATTAAATCTCACTTAATGTTTGGAAATAATTTTGGGATGTTTTATTAAATGAATAAGCAAATAAAAAAAAAGAGATGAATGAAGATCAATCCATAAATATTGCTGTAGAACAGGATCTAATTAATTAATTAACATAAGATGAAGAAATAATAAAAAATTAAACTTAAAAATTAATTGAAACTTCTTAATTATGTTTGAAAGAAAAAATTCTTTATAATTTTAAAAAATTCACTCCTTAATTTCCAAAATAGATAACCAGTTTAAAATTAAAAATGAATTTTTCAAATATTGATGATTCTGCACAATAATTTTAATATTATCGAATAATTGCTGGTTTTATTATTCATCCAGATAGTTAATTAAAATATTTAGAATTGGATTTCCTAAATATGATTGTCTTTATTAAGGCATGTTTAGAAGCTTTTGAATTTTCTAAATTATTTTTCGAATATGCTTTGAAGATATCTAAATAAAATCATAAAAGTTAAATAAAATAAATAAAATTGACAAATTTATAAACAAATAATTTAGAAAGCACTGAAAGCTTTGTTTAGATGTTCATTTGCTCCAAATATATTGATTTGACTAAATTATTTATTTCTGGATGTAAATAACCTTTGATTCACTTAATCTTAAAGAATATTAACAGAAGAGAAGATTATTTATTAGAAGAATTAATCCTTGAAGATTAAGATGAAATTTTAGATTAAAATGATACAATAAATTATATTTAATGGTTAATTTTTGGACAAAAAATGCCTATTAAAAAACTATATAGTTCTGTTGATTTATCTGATTTAAATTTAGAAACTTTTGAATAAAGTATTTTGTAGTAATCAAAATTAGAATCAATAATCATTAGCTATAAAAAATCTCACAATTATAAAATTTATAGTATAATTTTGAGTAAATTACTCTCCTCTAATTTATTCGAATTGACTATCAATTTAACTGATGGAACAACTATTTTAGAAGAATCTTTAAATAAAATTGATGATTTTTCTAAAATAAATTTAAAGATTTTGAAATTTAAAGGAGATTTAAAAATTAATAAAAAATTATTGTAAATAATTTTAAACATGTTAAACAAATTAGAGTTTTTATAAATTAATTAAATATTATTAGAAGAGGAAGTAGAAATTTATGAATTATTAGAGGAGATTGAATTGAAATTAAATAATAATGTGAAATTTGATATAAAATCAATAATTGGAATTGACACAAGATATTTATTTGAAAGATTTTTTTTAAATCCAAAAATAGGAATAAGAGAAATTATTTTAAGAGACCCTTAATTATTTTGTTATTTAAGAACAAGCAATATTGAACAAAAATTAAGGTATTTGAATTTAACAACAGATTAAGAAGATTATACTGAAAAAAGACTAAATACAGAAGGACTTTATGTAATAGGTTAGATGCTTATATATAATGAATAGAGTGTTTTAGAAGAGTTGGTGTTAAATTCATGTCATTTACATATGAAATGTATTGATGCATTATGCTATGACGCTTATGCATTTTAAGAAAAAATTAAAAAAGAGGGTCGATAAAAAACAGCTTAATTAACAATTAAGAGAGTAACAATTTATAATTCATAATTTATGGAAGATGATGGTATTAATACTTTGAATAAGAATTTATTATATTTTGAATATATCAATATGGAAAGATTTGAAGTTTAATTAACTAATTGGAATAATGCAAATACTAAAAGCTTATGTTAAGCAGCTTAAAAATGGTTGTAGTTTTAAAAAGAATATTAAAGATAATTTTAATTACAATATCCTCTTAAATATTTAGATTTAGGAAGAAATGAGTTTGTTGATGAACAAGAAGTTTGGAATAATTTTTTATAAACTTTTGTATTTACAGATAATACTCCTAATTTGGAGACATTAAATATTCATTTTATGGGTTTTAATGATTTGAAAGTTTAATATTTAATATCAGAAGCACTTTAGTTCTTTTCAAAAAAACCTTAAAATTATAAATTTAATGTTAAAAAAATTAATTTTTCTCACAATAATTCTCTTACACATGTAGGATGGTAAAATATATTTAAAAACTTCTTTTTTCATCCTAAAGTTGAATTAATAGAATTAAATATGACCAGTACAATGCTTGATAGTTAAATAAAATTGAATGTAATTTCTGATGTAATTAAAGAAAGAGCACAAAATTATCCTAACAAAAAAGTACCTTTACATACATTATTATGTTATAATGTAAGTTTAAAAGATTATGTGGCTGATTATTTATCTGAGTAACCCATAAATTATCAGATTCCTCAAGATTTACCAGTTGAAATAGAATATAATAATAGTACAAATGTTGGATATTTTGATGGGGAACCAGAGTCGTTTGGTGATAAATTATAACTATTCTAAAGACTTATAAAATATAGATAAAAAATTGTTTTTTTAAAAGATTGGACTATTTTAAGATCTAAATTTTCTACTTATCATCTGAATATATGTGATCATTATTTGAAGATTTTTAATTAGTATTTAAAATAAAAAGGAAATGATTAAATGGATATAATTCTAAGTTTAAAATCTCTTGATAATTTTGCAAATCATTTTGAATACATTACTTAATATCCTGGTTAACCATATCCATACAATTTGATATTTTAATAATAAACTTTTGAGTATTTTAAATAAAAAGAATGTAAAATCTTTAAAATTAAGATAATTTAAACTGAGTTTGCTGAATTAGAATAGATTAATTAATTCTAAATTTTGAAACTATGGCATAATATTAAAAATACAAATACAAGTATAGATTAGATTTAAATTGAATATGATCTTAACGATGATTTGATAGATGAAATGTTTAAATAAGGTAATAATGAAAGAGATATTATTTCTCTGATTAGGCTCATTCCTCCATCTAAAATTCGTATTGATAAATCTTTAAGTTTATAAGCCATTAAAGCTATATATTCAATATTGTATGACACATATTATTTTAAATACTCTATCATAAGTTATAGCTTTGATAATTTCTTAAATGTTGGGATAGGCTATTCTTTAAGAGAAGTATTTTATAATTATCATACAACTGGACCAATAGGTAAATTTATTAAAAAACTTTTCTATAAATTTTTTGACTTCTTTGTGAAACCTACAAAAAAATACTTATTCAATGATGAAGTAAAATAATTAAATAATTATTTATCTAAATAAAAGTTGTACTTTTTAATTATTGTTATCACAAACATTTTATATTTCCTAATAACACTAGCTGGTCCTTATCTTTTTACATATAAGTTTTTAGAAAAAGATTCAACATAATTGACAAAATAATATCTTTGTATAAATGGTACTAGTAAAGAAGCATCATATTTATATTATGCTTTTGCTGCCCTTACTTTATTAACAGAAGCAATCCTTTACTATAAAATAGCATAACTTGTACCTAATCATGCCGAAAGAATAATTGTTAATAAAATTGTTTGTGATGAGTAATAGGAAGATTAAGATTAATAAAAACATTTGGGTTAAGAATCAGAAAAACTTAACAATAAAGTTTTCCCTTCTTCAGAAGAAGATGCTATTATCCTTACAAGTAAACATTAAAATCAAAGCAATAGTTTATTTAAAAAAATGACAACAGTAGTTAATAAAAAAATATAATCTTTAACTGCTTAGGCATAAGAATTTACATAATCTAAGTGGGGAATATTATTTAGTTATTCTTTGACTTTATTAAGTTCTTAATTATTCAAATTTGATTTATATAATGATGTTGTTTTTATATTGAATGCTTACCATTGTGAAGAATTTATAATATATGTTTTAGCTTTAATATCTACTGCATTTTCATAAGGAATTTATCTTTCATAATTTATTTATTTGATAAGTTAGAGAGTAATTTACGATGATAAGACTGCTAAACTTTTATCTTCTAAATATATAAATGATTTCTATTAATTAAGTTTCCTTGGTAGAAATGCAGCACTTTCAACCATTTTAGACTCTACTGCCCCATTTAATGTTACAATCATTCCAAATACAAAAATTGGAAGATATTTCTTTCCATACCATGCTGGAAAAGCTATGAGTAATTTAGTTAAAGCCTATTTTTTTTAATTTATTTTTGAAGATCTACCTTAAACACTTTTATAAATGCTTTTTATTGTGAATCTAACTATCAAAAGATCTGGTCAATTATCACCATAAGTTTATATTTCAATATTAACTGCTATTTTCACAGCCTTATCATCTTTTTATAAGTATTAATTTTCATTATTTATATTAGATTTTTGTCAATAANAAAAAACTTTTCTATAAATTTTTTGACTTCTTTGTGAAACCTACAAAAAAATACTTATTCAATGATGAAGTAAAATAATTAAATAATTATTTATCTAAATAAAAGTTGTACTTTTTAATTATTGTTATCACAAACATTTTATATTTCCTAATAACACTAGCTGGTCCTTATCTTTTTACATATAAGTTTTTAGAAAAAGATTCAACATAATTGACAAAATAATATCTTTGTATAAATGGTACTAGTAAAGAAGCATCATATTTATATTATGCTTTTGCTGCCCTTACTTTATTAACAGAAGCAATCCTTTACTATAAAATAGCATAACTTGTACCTAATCATGCCGAAAGAATAATTGTTAATAAAATTGTTTGTGATGAGTAATAGGAAGATTAAGATTAATAAAAACATTTGGGTTAAGAATCAGAAAAACTTAACAATAAAGTTTTCCCTTCTTCAGAAGAAGATGCTATTATCCTTACAAGTAAACATTAAAATCAAAGCAATAGTTTATTTAAAAAAATGACAACAGTAGTTAATAAAAAAATATAATCTTTAACTGCTTAGGCATAAGAATTTACATAATCTAAGTGGGGAATATTATTTAGTTATTCTTTGACTTTATTAAGTTCTTAATTATTCAAATTTGATTTATATAATGATGTTGTTTTTATATTGAATGCTTACCATTGTGAAGAATTTATAATATATGTTTTAGCTTTAATATCTACTGCATTTTCATAAGGAATTTATCTTTCATAATTTATTTATTTGATAAGTTAGAGAGTAATTTACGATGATAAGACTGCTAAACTTTTATCTTCTAAATATATAAATGATTTCTATTAATTAAGTTTCCTTGGTAGAAATGCAGCACTTTCAACCATTTTAGACTCTACTGCCCCATTTAATGTTACAATCATTCCAAATACAAAAATTGGAAGATATTTCTTTCCATACCATGCTGGAAAAGCTATGAGTAATTTAGTTAAAGCCTATTTTTTTTAATTTATTTTTGAAGATCTACCTTAAACACTTTTATAAATGCTTTTTATTGTGAATCTAACTATCAAAAGATCTGGTCAATTATCACCATAAGTTTATATTTCAATATTAACTGCTATTTTCACAGCCTTATCATCTTTTTATAAGTATTAATTTTCATTATTTATATTAGATTTTTGTCAATAAGACCTACTAATTTACTTTAAGAAGATTTTGATACATTGGCTTTAAAGTAAAATGCTAATTATAATTTACAAACTAAATAATGCTTACAAGAAGAATAGTCTTAAATATCAAATTATATAAGTTTATTCAAAAATCCAAATCATGAATTAATCCAGATTGAATAGTCAGAAGAAGAAAGACAAACACTATTAAATTGATATATCCTAAATTAATAATATTAATAATTTTATTTTTATATAAATTTTATTCAATATTTTAAAGCTTAAAAATCATAAAATAGATATCGATTACATTTTATTAATAATTTTCATCTTAACTTATATATTTTAGTTGTAAAATACTCAATAAATTCAATAATTATCATTAATTTTAATTTAAATCTATTTTGATTTTCTCATCTCAATTGATCTTTGATTGTTGATGTTTTGTTTATCTGATCCTTCTCTTTTAATTGATAAAATTATTCTTAATTATCCTATCGTTTTTTTCATTTTTTAAATTAAATAAACTCATCTTATAATCTTCTTATCAAAGTATTGATAACTAAATTGTGACTTTTGAGAATTAATTAAGAAAAATACTATTTATAATTCTAAAAAGGTAATAATATGCTGCCTATCTAATTCAAATCAAATAATCGTGTTATAATAATATTCTTAAAATAAATTTTGAATAAATTCTTATGGGAGCAATTTGTAAATAATATTAAATATTGATTTTTACAATCATATTCATCATAAGAAGGATTTAAAATATAAAATTAAATGAAATTATTGTTTCTATTATTATTAATTGGCAGTTCTGATTTGCAAAATTTCTCTGCTACGGATGCTTATGCAAAATATTCTGACAATGATGTTTACATATTAAGAGAAAGGTCAATAATTAGAGGGCATTATAAGGACGTAGGACGTANATGAGTAATTTAGTTAAAGCCTATTTTTTTTAATTTATTTTTGAAGATCTACCTTAAACACTTTTATAAATGCTTTTTATTGTGAATCTAACTATCAAAAGATCTGGTCAATTATCACCATAAGTTTATATTTCAATATTAACTGCTATTTTCACAGCCTTATCATCTTTTTATAAGTATTAATTTTCATTATTTATATTAGATTTTTGTCAATAAGACCTACTAATTTACTTTAAGAAGATTTTGATACATTGGCTTTAAAGTAAAATGCTAATTATAATTTACAAACTAAATAATGCTTACAAGAAGAATAGTCTTAAATATCAAATTATATAAGTTTATTCAAAAATCCAAATCATGAATTAATCCAGATTGAATAGTCAGAAGAAGAAAGACAAACACTATTAAATTGATATATCCTAAATTAATAATATTAATAATTTTATTTTTATATAAATTTTATTCAATATTTTAAAGCTTAAAAATCATAAAATAGATATCGATTACATTTTATTAATAATTTTCATCTTAACTTATATATTTTAGTTGTAAAATACTCAATAAATTCAATAATTATCATTAATTTTAATTTAAATCTATTTTGATTTTCTCATCTCAATTGATCTTTGATTGTTGATGTTTTGTTTATCTGATCCTTCTCTTTTAATTGATAAAATTATTCTTAATTATCCTATCGTTTTTTTCATTTTTTAAATTAAATAAACTCATCTTATAATCTTCTTATCAAAGTATTGATAACTAAATTGTGACTTTTGAGAATTAATTAAGAAAAATACTATTTATAATTCTAAAAAGGTAATAATATGCTGCCTATCTAATTCAAATCAAATAATCGTGTTATAATAATATTCTTAAAATAAATTTTGAATAAATTCTTATGGGAGCAATTTGTAAATAATATTAAATATTGATTTTTACAATCATATTCATCATAAGAAGGATTTAAAATATAAAATTAAATGAAATTATTGTTTCTATTATTATTAATTGGCAGTTCTGATTTGCAAAATTTCTCTGCTACGGATGCTTATGCAAAATATTCTGACAATGATGTTTACATATTAAGAGAAAGGTCAATAATTAGAGGGCATTATAAGGACGTAGGACGTAGCATCTGAATCTAATGGTGCTATTATATCAACTGCAAGAATTAATAAATTTATTGGTTCAGCCAATTTAGCTAGTCCATTAAGGACTTCTATTTACTATTATTAACCTATACATAAAACTGTAGGCAATCTATTCGGAGAGTTGCATGAATCTGTTATTATAGAACTATTGCAAGTATATGAACTAAATAGAGTGAGATTTAGATTGTGGGATTATGGCGATAGGATTACTGATATGCAAGTTTTTGTTATTGGATAAGACAGAATTACAGAGACAGAAATATTTAATGGATTAGCTAAGGATGTAATGACTATTAAATTTCCTGATTAACTTGTTTCAAAAATTAAACTTTACAATACAAATGGGGCAAATATTGAAACCAAAAGATTTTCTATTATTAAAATTTAAGCATATTATGCATTTTGATATATATAAAATAATAATATCAAGCTTATTAACTTTACTTTATTTTTTTGGTATATATATTTTGTAGATTAAATAATTGTCAACTCCCAGAAATTCAATAATAAAAAGAGATTTTCCTTGATAATCATTAATATTATTGAAATTAATCTTGAAAAGATAAAGAAGTAGAAAAATTATTTTTTAAACTAAAACCGTGTCGAATGCTACCTCTACCATTTGATTATTATTATCTACTTGTTAATTGATCTAAATTATCTTCTAATAGATCCAAGCTACAAAATTTATCCTTTTGAAATTGACTTAAATTGTTTAAACACACTTTATTTATCACCTGAATTATTTTGCTGTCATTTTTTATTTGTTGTAATTCTATTTTTTCTTTATATCATAACATTTAACCAATTCAGTACTACTTAATTAAATTATTCATGTCGAATTCCTATCATTTCTAGGACAAACAATTTAACAAAATTAGATTCTGTTTTTCTTCTTAATTAGAATTTCGTTGAAAGGTCATTTATATAATATTGCTTAAGCTATATTAAAAACTATTTCAAATTTAATAATTAAGTTATTTTTATTTAAATGATCATGATAATTCCCTTTTTTTAAATAATTTTTCCACCTTTATAGTTTAAAGCCTTCTCTAAACTTCCATTTCTGTCTAAAAACTTGACCATAATACTAAATAATTTGAATATGGTTATCCATTCATATTAAATTATTAATAAAGTCTTAAATATTTAGGATAATTACTTACTTAAATAATATGCATTCTTGAAAACGACTTTTGATATTTGTTTATTTAGATATTAATGATTCTAATTTGGTTTAATTTTTAAAGCTAAATAAATAGCATAAAATTTCATATTTAAACTTTGGTAAAGTATTGATATTAATAATTCAATCTACTTGCCAATGTATTAAATTAATTATTTATAACTGATTTTCTTTTATTTAATTAAGCAGAAAAAAAGAACAAAGAAATAGGTAATAAAAATTATTACATTTATAAAGTAAACGAAAACTTTTAGAATACTAAGACTAAAAATGAACAAGATTTTTATTTAAATAAATTAAATTAATTTAATTGTTATATTAATATTATAATAAGATTAATTATTAGTAATAAAATTAATTTAGGGGTAATATTTTGAATTTATATCTTTCATACATTTATTTAGTTTTTTAATATACTCTCATTAAACCCTAATAAAATAGCTTTAGATCTTTCACATGGAATCAAATCAATGTTTAAATAAATTTCATAAATAATATCTTAGATATTTAAGTCAGATAATTAAAGTAAATTGAACATTTAATAAGAGATTTAACGAATAATCTCATTTTGGTTTTCATTGATATTTTAATAATTTTCAATTTATTTTTTGATTATTAATTATTGGTGTTTCTCTATATTATTCAAAATGTTACACTTATCTTGAAATTATTTTTGATTAAAAAATCCTATTAAATTTAACTCATCATCCAAACTTAAATTATATTAATAATGTACTCATAATTGGCTTTAAATAATAAAAGTTTCAAAATTTATTTAGTAAATTAATCTAATTCTTTTTGCTTTTCAAAAAATTACTTTGCATTTTGATCTTAACTGTTTTAAGATTTTTAGAGAGCCAATCTGTTGCTTGATAAATTTTGAAGGTCTTCAATTTATTGTTTAGTTTTTTTGTAAAGCTCATCCTGATTTTAAAGTTTTTAGTTTGGAATTATCACTTCAAATTCAGGAAGCAACAATTACCAATCTGATAAGACCACATTAAATTATTTATGTTGTTCGTTCTTTTTGAATCTTGAAATTAAAATGTTGTTTCTTTTCACAGTCATCATATTCCCAAAAATTTATTAACTTATATTCTCAATTTATTAATTAGCCTTTTCTGTCTTATCTTATAAAACTAAAGAAATTATTTGAATGACCTCACATGCAATTAATAATTTTTCTGCAAAAGTTATTTTTGGATGACGACTATAAATTAATAAAAATTATAAAAAATACCTAACAGTATAAACATTAAATTATTCCAATTAACTTATGATATAGCAATTGCAATAGTCTGGCTCCTTATCAATTTTTTCAATCTTATAATAATAATATTTTTAACATTTCTCATTTAGAAACAATAAATTTTTTTAACTCTACAATTTTCTCACTCTTTGAATCCATTAATTTATATGATCTACATTCACCATAGGTATTAATTTAACACAACAATATTTTTCTTCTATTTTACCAATAAAAGTGCAAATAGGTGATTTTTATTTCTAAATTAATCTCACTAAAGTTATTGAATGTTTATATTCTGTAAATTCATTTATTTTGGAGAAATCATATTTATTTTATATATCGCAAATATTTCTATTTACTATCTTAGGTCCTTTAAAATCATTATTTTATGATTAGTCTTTTTATTCTATTGAATCTTGATTAAAGTTTTTTTCTAATTCTTCTACAATTGAAGCTTTATTATTTTAAAAAAAAGTAGTTTTGCTTAGGATTTCTTCCATTATCTTTTCAAATATTTATACATCATTTTCATTATCACAACTATCTGATGGTTCAATAGAAATGGTAGATATTCTATCAAGTAGATTAACTTCCCTAATATCTAAACTCCTTTCCTTCTCTTTTGGTTAGGGAATTACTTTTTCAATTTAAAAATTATTTTCTGAGGGTGTAGGTTTATTTACTTCTGCAGGTTTATTTTCTTCTGCTTTTACAATGTTTTATTGTATTTATGAGACATTTTCTACAATAGCCTCCTATTAGTCATTATGGTTTTTTTTTTCTTTGAGTTATTATTTATTTTTTTTGCATTTTTTGCAATAATTGCAACAGTTTCCCATTAGAAATAAAATTATTAATCTTTCAGATTACAATAGCCATTAATAATTTGAATATAAATAATTCCATCTGAAAAAAATAAAATATCTTTATATTATAATTTAATTGATTTTATATATGCAGATCTTTTACTTTTGAAAACAATCTTCTTATTTAAATTTGATAATAATTTATAATTATATGAAAAAATAATTATTTATCAGTTTTTATTTAATTTTTCTTTTTCTATTTTTTTGATCATTAAATTTAAATAATTTTTTAACACTGGTTATCCTTTTGCATTTTTTTAAGTAAAGACTTTTTTAATTTGTTTTCTTTCCATTTTATTTTTTTTTTTCTCTTTAATTTGTTATTTTTATTATTATTGATTTTAGGAAAGTTAAATTTCTTCTTATTCTCTATTATTATTTTAATCTGAAGCAAAAAGCTTTATTAATAATAAATCTTATTTACATTTTAATAAAAGGATTGCTTTTTTTCTGCTAGAATATCTTTTCCAAGTTTTTCTGTCAATTCTTAATTATAATATTTTTCTTTTTATCTAAATTTTCTTTGTAATTAAGACTGCTTAATTTTTTCTTTTTAAATTCCTTAGATTAAAAAATGAAAATACTTAATCGTTTTCTTTCTTAAAGAATTGCATTAACATCCATGAATTTATAAATTAATTATTAAGTTTATATGAATTCAATTAAAATTTATATCACATTTATTTATAGGGTTTGCTTAGAGTGTTTTTAAACCACTACTAACAATTTAAACTTCTACAAAATCACCAATAGAATAGAAATTATCCAAATTTTAAAATACAACAGTTTTATTGGAATCTGTTCTTCCTTTAAGTTGATTAGGTTTATTACCTACTTGTTCAACTAAAACAATATGTTTCCTAAGTTTAAAATTTGATAATACTTTCCAACATCAAGTGAATTTTTATAATTCATAATTTTGTGTTGTTAATCAATAAGTATTTCAAGACGACTAAGTTTAACACTTTCAGGTACATTGTCTTAAAAATTTCTATAAGCATGTGTTTTTTCTCTCATAGAATAAGCAAACATAAAAGCCTATTTAAAAGATAGTTTTTTTACATTTTCAAATTAGACAGATTACATCAAACTTAAAGTTTATTAAAAATCATATTCAGTTTCATCACAAAAACCAACAATTACATCAGTTGATAAGGTTACATTTGGAATAGAGTTTCTAATTTCATTACATAAGTCTTCAATTGCTCTTCTTGTATAATTTCTTCTCATTTTTTATAATATCTCATCAGAACCTGATTGAATAGGAATATGGATGCTAAATTACAAAATTTATACTTTTTGCATATATTTGGATGTTTTGCAATCACTTCTAAAACTTTTTTAGGGAAGTTTTTAGGATGAGGCGAAGTAAATCTGATTCTAATGTTTGGAAATGTAATTGCTATTTGATTTAAAAGTTAATCAAATCTAATTCCATTTCCAGATCTTAATTTATAAAGTTCTGTAAAACCAACAGTATTTTCATGTTAACTTTAAATATTTTCATCATGATAAAAATAACTATTAACATTTTACCCTAAAAGTGTTATTTCCTTAATTCCTTTTTAAGTTAATGTTTAGATTTCACTAAGAATACTTTCTGGATTTCTACTTCTTTCTCTTCCTCTAGTAAAAGGAACAACACAAAATGAACACATATTATTACATCCTCTCATTATAGAAACATATGTTGTTATACTATCAGTAGGATTTATAGGAAGTATATCATCATATGTTTCTGTTTATGAAAGTTCTGTATTTATTTGTTTATCTCTAGTTAATTGAAATGATTCTAATAGATTAGGTAATGATTTATAGCTATCTGGACCGACAATAATGTCTGCCCCTTAAGTAAATAATTATTATTTAAGTCTTTCTGCCATACATCCTAATATACCAAGAACTTTATTTTAAGATTTTAATTCTGACATTCTTTGAAACACTTTTTTCTCAGCATTTGCTCTTATTGAACATGTATTTAAAAATATAATATCAGCTTCACCTATGTTGGTTGTATTAGAATATCCTTCATTTGATAAAATTGATTACACAATTTAGGAATCATTTGTATTCATTTAACATCCATAAGTTTCAATAAAAAACTTAGGACCATTATTTGTATTATGAGTTTATGGGGTATTCTACTACATGAATTCAGATAAAGAAGGAATATCACTTAGGTTTCTTTTAGATGAGGAAAACAAACTTTTTGGAAAAGTTTTAATTAATAATCTCATCATTTCTAAATATTATATAATTATTGTATTTCTAAACTAAATTTATTCTTATACATATTCTTAAAGCATTAATTAGATTAACTATTTTTATTTTAATATTTTATAATTTATGTAATACACATAGACTCAACTAGAAACTAGTTTAACAAGTTTTAAAGATATAAGAAACAACTTAAAAGATGAATTTTAAGATTATCTACTACAAAGTAATGTCAAAGATTAAGAGACTCCTAATAATTTTGGAATTATTTTAAAGGAGTTAAAAAATAAAAATCAATAAAAATAAAAACAAATAGCATCATATACTCTTCCTGATTTTTCACAAACATCTACTTATTCATAAAATGTAAATGATCATAGAATTACTTTTAGTATTAGTTTTCACAATCTTCAAATGAAACAGAAAGATTAACAAAAGAATTAGAAGTTTAGAAATCCTTAATTTAAAGTGAAATAGAACTTAAAAAGTCTATTAATTGTATTAAAAAGTAAATTTACCCTTTACAAGATTATTCAAATCAATTATCTCTTTAATAAAAGTAGGCTGAAACTGAATGTAAAACAGCTGAATCTGAATCTGTATGAATATTTATTAAATTAGAAAGAATAGAATTAAAAAAACTATTTGCGAACTTTAATCTTAAATTACTAGATTAAAATTTTAGAGATAATAATATCGTGATTTTATTTATGAATAAAGTTTGAAAGTAGAACAAAATCTGAAATAAGAACAAAGTACTTTTGAACAATAAAATGAAGCAGTTGAAAATTTAGTATAAACTATAGCAAATTAAAAAGCATAAATTGAAGAATTAATAAAATAATAATATGAAAAAATGGAAAAGAGTGAACAATAAAGAATAACAATATAAAATTATTAAACACTAACAAAACTATATGAATTTTGTACTAATTAGATAGAATAATTATTTATAAATGATAACACTTAAGGAATCAGTAGTGAATCTGAATCTTCAGGTAGAGATGATATAAATACTGAATAAGAAGATTCAGTTATAACGAATAATAATTTTTTTTAAACTCAAGTCTAACCAGTATCTTAACCAAGATCGAAATAACGAATACCAACACCAAAGAAAAAAAAGAAAGAAAAAAAGAAATTAACTTATCCTTAATTGATACAGAAATTTTAGTAATCAAAAGAATTGCTTTCTAAAATTAAAAATGATGTTGACATTAACATTATGGAATAATTCATTTTGAATAATTACTAAGAATAATCTGAAATATAAAGATAATTGGCAGATCAACATTAAGTTTTATAAGAGTAAAAAGATGAGTGTCAGCATGAAATTTAGATACTTAATGATAAAGTAAACTTTTTAGGTTATTCTAGTTAAATTAAACAGATGATATCAGAGAAAAGTTAGTAAGATGTTAAGAACCAACATCTGAAAATTTTAATTAAAAGATTTTAACTCATAAAATTGCTTATACTAGTAACGAAAATGAATTACAAATCATTAAATAAACTGATAAATTGATTAAACTAGAAGCTTTGTTTTTTACTTTGAATACTAGAGCCATGTCTCTTTTAAGAAGAATATGTTCAATATTATAAAACATATAATAATTAAGTGAAAAATTAGATAATCGAATAATTAATATATATTAAAATGCTGTGCTTACTGTGGGTTTACTAAGGTAAAATAATGAGCTGGATTTAAATTAATTTCCTAAATTTAAAAAACTTTTAAAAGGAAACAATCTTACTTTAATTTACTGTGATTAATAAGTTTTTCAAGACTTTTGTGAAAAGCTAGAGAATTACACTGATGAAGAACTATCTAGTAATTTTTAAATATTGATTGAAATGTGCATGATTAGAATAGCTAGTGAAACTTAATGTATTTATGAATAGATATCAACTATTTGTAATTGTCTTAGGGATGAAGTTAGAAGACTATGTAATTATGGAAGTTTGAGATCATTTAGAGATTTAACAACCATACCATTAACAAATTTAGCTGGATCTTATAATGCTCCAACAATGAGAAAATTAAAAGAGTAATCAGATTCTAAATAATCAGAAATAACAAGCAAGAAATCAATTGATAAATTTGAGTAATATTTTTAATATTATTAGGAAAAAATCATTATTAGCAGAAGAATTTAAATTTGTAATTGAATAAAATGAAAAGAGTTTAAATGAAGATGATATAGATGAATTCTATTATTAAATCAAGAAAGAAATAGAAGCTAAACCATCAACAAAAACTACTAGGATTGAAACAGCAAATTTAACAAAAACAACATTAGTTTATGATTAACCTTAAAAAAATAGAATGACAGAATTTTTTAGATCGAACTCAAAATTTTCTTAATCATTAAGAAGAATTTAATCATGTATAATATATATTAAAATATTAGAAGGACAATTTATAGATGCTTAATCTAAAAACTTCAAGTTGTTTTTGGAAAAAGAGTAAAAGCATGTCGAATTATTATCAAGAATGAATCGCACAGGTAGTACATCAGCATTTTAACCAACAACATTAAGATCTAAATCTCAAGAAAAGACTCGAGTATAAAATATATTACCAAGAACCATAAGTACATCATAATAGTAGAGATCAGGAAGAAAAAAAATAGTTGCTTTACAACTTGAAAAAGATATGAAAAGACTAAAGGATTAAGTAAGTAGATTTACTAAATTGAAGTTGAATTGATTGGAATTGTAATTAATAATTTTATTTATTTTATAATTGAATCTAATCATTTCTTAGATGACTTGGTTCCAGACTTAACTGATTTAGCAGCAGGATTAGATTTCTATGATTATGAATCTTTAGGAGCTTATTAAGATTATTGTAATTATTGTGACTATTGTTGGGGTTCGCTCTATTTTTTGACATTTTAAACAGTAGGTAATTCAAGTTAGGCTTTCGCATTAATAACAGATTCAGGCATTTTCCATATAAAAATAGCTCCTTCTGCTCCTACTGATATTATTGATTTTTGATCTGGACTTATAGTAATCTAAAAGATAACAAAAATTGTACTCTTGTGATTGTACCAGAATGGCCTTATCCTTTAAAATAACAGATTCCTTCATCATAACCCCAAAGTTTGACTTCTTTATCTTCTCCTCCTGATACGAAGTGCTCTCCTTCTTTAGTAATAGCAAGAGCATTTACTTCTCCTTCTTCAGAGCCATCCAACATTCTGATAGCTTAACCATCAAAAGTTTCCCAGTAAGTAATCTAAAAATGAATAATGATTATATAGTTACTTTTCTATCACTACCAGTAGTTAATAATTAACTTTCTTCAGGATGATAAAGAACCATTTTAAATAAAGTACTTTCGAAAAGACACATAACTCTAGTGAATGATTTGAGATCCCAAATAATACAAGAACCATCTGCACTAGCACTTACAGCTTATTCATTATTTCTTCTAACTTGAATAGACCAAACTCTTCCTCTATGTTCTTTCATTGAAGATTTCATGACTTATGTTTATTTGCCTATTTCCCATACTCTAACTTCTCCTTCAGATCCACCTGAGATTATTCTTTAGCAATCAGATGTACATGTTAATGATGTACATCCATGAATATGAGCATCATTAATCACATACATTAATCTACCTGATTGAGGTAAGAATGATCTGATTTTACCATCACTCCATCCACTTACTATACTTTTACCATCATTCATAAATGCAACTGCCCAACATTCTAAATTTGGAACTTAAATTCTTAGTAATTCTTATCTATTTTTAGCATTCCACACTCTAATATCATTTAATGAACTTGTTGCGAATACATCTGAATAATTATGAGGAAATGCTACATCATTAATTCTTTCATAATGACAAGTATTTCTTAATTCTGGAAGTAATTTCTCAGTATCCAACCAATAAATATTACTTTAACTTGTTCCTGTGAAAAAATGAGTATAATCATTTGTGAATGTTATTGAAGTCACTCCTCCCAAAAGTTCACTACTAGCAACTATTTACATTGTTTAGTATGACACTTTTGCTATCATTCCATCACCAGCACCAACTATTATGTCGCCATTTGGTAATAAACCTAAACAATTTACACCTTGGCTGAATAATTTCTTAACTGGTGCTAATCTTTTGTATATTGCCATATCCATTTGAATTTCGAATACATCTCCTGTTTTTGTACCACAATAACAGTATTTGTCATTTTTATCAATTGCAACACAAGTGAATGTACGCTTTACATTACCAAAACTCACATCCACTGATTAAATCTTGATTAGGAACTTATAGTGATACCTTTTTATTTTATTTGTCTATTGTTAAAATTTAAACTCCAGTATTTAAAACTGCTATCATTTTTTCATCTGATTAGTTGTAAAACTAAACTTAATTGACTGGATCTCTATTAGGAGTTCCATACAAAGCTTTTCCTGCTTTAATGTCCCAAACAATCAACATATTTTTATCATCAATTCCTCCTAATGAGGCTAAGTATAATTCATTGTAGGAAAAACTGAGCGATTGAATCAATACTTTATGTAATTTCAATCTATGAATCATGCTTCTTTCCTTGAAATCCCAAATTATTATATCAGCTTAGAATCCCATATAAGTCCTTTATCCAGAAGCAACATAATCACCTGAACGAGAAACTGTTATCACAGAAATCTAATTATCATGTCCTCTAAACAAAATTAATGTTGAATTGATACCTTAAAAATGTTTATGCTCTACTAATTATATGTCTAACAACAATAGTGGAACCTAATGGATAAATTATATGCTTTTAATCATTACTGAAACAATACCTCATTGTCTGGATGCAAAATCAACCCTTAAGTAATTCTACCTTGAATGATAATATTGCCTATATACCTGTAAATCCAATAACTGCTTGTATTTCAAGTTCTGATAACATTATTTGTATTTTTATTTTTCAAATAATATAGTTCAATACTTTAATTAAAAACTGTTGTATTTTAGATATTTATATTTATAAATCTTATGAAAGTTAATTAATCAAATAGTCCAAAATTCTTCATTGTCTTATTTTTCGACTCTTATTCTTAAGTCTCTATTAACATTTTCTAAAACCTATTGAGAATAAGTAATTTATATACCATTTTCCATAAATTAGATGAGAATTCATCTTAATAAAAAGATTTAACATCGTTCTTCTCTTTTTATAAATTGAGTTTTTTACGTTCAAACACAACAGTTTGAATAATAGAATTGGAAACGCTATCTGCTATCATTTTTTCCTTAACATATTTAAGTTCTCCATTAATTTATTATGATTTGGATGACTAAAAAAGATTTTCTTATAGTTAGTAAAGTAAAAGGGCAACTGCAATTATAGATAGAAAGACAAGTATCTTAAACAATAAAAATTTAGTTTTTTATTGATTATTCAATTTCTTCTTCAATGTTTTTGGCTTGTTTATATCATCAATTGATGAACTAAGTCTTTGAGAAGTGTTATATGAAGTAATGCTACTTTTTGGAGTAATGATGTTGTTTTTAATAGTTTTGACTTCTTAAATGGTTGATTTGGTATTCTCAAATTAATGTGGAAATATGACTGAATTTGGAGCAAAAGATTTTGAGAAATTGTCAGTTTATTTAATCTAGAAATTAGTAGATGTAAGTTTTCTGTTGGATATATTTGAAAGTGGTCTTGGTATTGGAGAATGACTTCGATTCATTATGAATTCAAATTTTTAATTTATTTATTTATCGTTAATGTTAAATCTAAAAAAGAGATATTATCCATTTTCGTGGTTATTAGGAATTCTACTTATTCTTTCGATTTTCTATCGAGAATATGAGAGTCTTTCTTATACATTATAAATGATTGTATTACTCTTAAAATCTCATTATGAAGGTTTTAGATTGAACATTTTCTTTTATGCTTTAAGTTTACTATTAGATATGTGTAGATTTAAGGTACTAAGTTTAATGGCATTAATTCTATATTTATATTTGACACATAAGTTAAATAACTACTATTTACCAGATGGAGGAAGTCCTGTCGGTCATTTATATTTGAAGGGTGGTTTACTTAATAATTATAAATATATCCCTGAGATGGCAATATATTATCCAGCCTGTTAGGAGGATTGTAAAAAGCGTAAAAAGGGATTTAAATGGTTAAAAGTAAAAGATTATGCAAAAAAAATGGATGATACTGCGAAAAAGGATGTGAGAAGAAAAAGAAGAGTTCCCTATCTTTTTTTTAAGATAGTAGTTTCATAATTTTATAAGTTTATGATAAATGTATATGAGAATGCATAAATTGATGTAAATTTTGCAGAGACATCTAGTGATCTAGCTAAGTTTTCAGTTATTGTATTGAGTCATGGATTAGCATCTCATTGTGATGGTTATTCAGTAATAGCTAGATATTTGGCATAACAAGGCCATATAGTCTTTGTTCCAGAACATATAGAGAATATTCGTAATATTTATCTAACCAATGAAGAAAATAGAGAATATAGAAAATTATAATTATAAGATAGGTAACCAAGAATTTTAACATTAGAATTAACACATTAAAGCAGGTTTTTGATATCATATATGATGATAAGCATTTCTCAAATCTTTTCTAACATCCTTAGAAAAAGATATAACCAGATTTTGATTAGATATCAATTATTGGTCATTCATTTGGTGGATCTGCTGCATATGCTTTAGCTTAAATTGAAAAGAGATTAACAGGTGCATGTATTCTATATGACCCAGTATGCATATAATTGTTTATAAGTTAGTGCTTATACATTTTTGATTTTGAAGAAAAGATTAAATTACATATTCCATTAATGAGTATTAATGCTGATGATTTTTATAGAAGATTATATTCATTTATGGAGAATGATGAAAGATTAGAAAAGGCATTTTAATTGATTGATGTAATTATTGCTTTTATTGAAGGGTCCAATTTCAGATCATTGTGCTAATATTTATATTAAAGATTAATAACATGCAGATTTCTCTGATATTCCCATTATTTGGAATGGAGAAAGTGGTCTTTATAGTATATCTAAAAATGTTCATGAAGTACATTTAAGATTTGGCATGATTTTATTATTGACTAAAATCTTTTTGGAGCAATCAAAATAATATCATAAAATTAAACATGATAAGGTAAATTAAGATGGAAATGAATAATTAAAATCTATTATTCTAAGAGAAGTAGAGAAGAATTTTGATGTTTAAAGTTAGAAATTACTCAGATGGAAATCTATTCCAGATAAATGAATAATAAATAATTATATAATTAATTATATATGAGTAATATTAATAAGCTTATAAGAGGCAGATCAAAAATATTAAAAAGAAGCTAAACATTTATATAAAATAAACCTACATAAGAATTTAGTCTGAATTTAGATAAACCTTTATTTACAAAGCATCAATATTTATTGTACCAAAATAATTGAATATCGATAAAAATAAGTATCAATGTTCTATAGATTAAGTTGATATATAATAAAAATTGTTTACTAGAACTTAATAAGAGTATGAAAAACTTATTCCAAAGAAATCTAACCCTCCTCTAATCACTAATAAAGAAATTTTGAATGATAATAAGAAATATCTAATTATGTTTTAGAAGAAGAGAAGACGAAATAAGTATGTAAAAATTTATAGATTAAGTTAGTTATGGAAACTTTAAGTGAAGACTTGGATAGATTACGTTTAAAATAAAAGATAATCAATTATGGACTTTAGATTAAGAAAATAGAAAATTGAATGAAAATTAAAATAAATGGTTCAAAATAAATGGTTAGAAAATAGAATATTGTAATTCGAAGAAATATTAAGGTATTCTTATAATAATTTCATATAGTTTCTACTGAAGTAATCTTAATCTAATAAATTCAGATTGGAAATGTATCCAATGAAAAAATTGAACTAATGTTTAAAGAGATTAAGAATTTTTTAATGAGGCTCATATTATTACTCACGAATTCGCAAAATAATAACTGGAATATGAAAATGATTGATTTTATTATAAATTATATGAATCAATTTAGTTAACAAACTTCACAGAGAATAGCGATGCAATAAAGTGATGGAAATGAAATATTTATTCATATTTAAAACAATGCAGATCGATACAACATAAAATCGGAAAATGAAAAAAATTTTAATTAACCTATGATTCCAGACCAAGTCATAGAATCTACGACTATTAAACCAAAACCACTAACATTTGAATAAATAGAATTGGTTTCATCTACATAAGTGAGTGGGGATGGACATGTTAAATCAGTAAGAGTTTAATGTCCCCAATGCAAAGAAAAAGTATTATTATTAGCATTCTAGGTCAACACTGTTATAATACGAAAAGCAGGAACTTAAACTTATCTTGCTTCCTGTATACTTTTACTTTGTTCATTTGGTTTAGTCTGTGTCTCATGTCTGCCTTGTATTATTGATGATTGCAAAGATGTCCGACACTCTTGTCCTACATGTAAGATTCCTTTGGGCAAGACATAATTTAAGATTTTAAATTGATTCATAATTATCAATACTTTATTATAATTACAAACAATAGATTTTTATTACTTATAATTATTAAATAAATATTTTTAATGAAATAATTTCCAATATAGTAAGCAAGATCTCTAGTGAATGAATTCTTTGATTTCGTTGCTAAGGCAGTTAGTCCATTTCATGTGACTTCCCTATGCAAAGAAAGATTAGCCAAATCAGGATTCACTGAATTAAATGAGACAGAAAATTGGAAATTAGAAAAGGGTGGTAAGTATTTTTTCACAAGAAATCTAACTACAATCGTTGCCTTTACTGTTGGTCAATAGTTTGATCCAAACAATACAGGATTTAAAATTATAGGTGCTCACACAGATAGTCCATGTTTGAGATTAGCACCAGTTTCTAAGTTAGATTCTAATGGATTCTTATAGACGTGTGTATCTACATATGGTGGTGGTTTATGGCACACATGGTTTGATCGAGAATTAACATTAGGAGGTCGTATTGTTTTTAAAAAAGATAATGTTTATTAGAGTTAGTTATTTCATTATTAAAAACCTTTATTAAAAATACCTAATTTAGCTATTCATCTAACAACTGAAAGAAATAGCTTTGCTCCAAATAGTAATCATACATTTTATAATTAGATGAATCAAATTTAAGGCCAGTGTTTGCTTAAGAAGCATATCAGACATTGACAGGCATTCAAAAACCTAACACTGAAGGATAAACAAGCTTCGAAAACAAACACTATAAATTTTTACTGAATTTAATCACTGAATAGACAGGTATTCCAACATCTGACATATTGGATATTGACTTATATTTTTCAGATTGCTAAGCACCTTCTTATTTTGGTTTGAATGAAGAATTCATTTCTTCAGCTAGAATTGATAATTTATTTTCAAGTTTCTTCTCGCTTTTAGCAATTACAAATCCAGAAAGTTTCACAGAAGACCAAACATTTATTAATATGATTTGTCTTTATGATCATGAAGAAGTGGGATCATAAAGTGCCTAAGGAGCTGATTCTTCATTGTTATCTAATAACATGAAAAGAATTTACGATATCTTATCTAATTCTACTTAGACTTCTATTGATAGTTTTTATAAAGCTATTCAAAAAAGTTTTTTAATTTCTTCAGATATGGCTCATTCAATTCATCCAAATTATTCAGATAAGCATCAATAAAATCATAGAGTAAAGATGAATGAGGGAATAGTAATTAAAATTAATCACAATTAAAGATATGCAACAGACGGTGTTTCATCAGCAATCTTAAGAGTTATTGCTTAATAAGCTGATGTTCCAATTTAAGATTTTATTGTTAGAAATGATTCTCCTTGTGGCTCAACTATTGGACCATTATAAGGTTTAAATTAATATAATAATTTTAGCATCCAATACAGGTATTAAAACTATTGACATTGGAGCAGCTTAATGGGGAATGCATTCCATCAGAGAAACTGCAGGAGTTGTAGATGGATATTATTTGGAAAAGCTGTTTGTTCAGTTTTATAAACAATACGAAAAAATAGATCATTAGTTGCTAGGAATTTGAGCATTATTATGATTATTGAAAAATTTAGAAATCCATATAATACATATACCCAAATCAAAGATAGTCCTAAATTATTATTTAAGATCTCTTTCTACTCTTTTGCTCTATTACTTTTATCACAGTTGCCACCGTTTGTATTATTCATTTTTATGATAGGCTTGTGCTTGTTTGATCATCAGCTATTTAACAGGTAAAAAGTTCTTTGAGATTTACTTTCATAAACATTTAAAATAAGGAATCATAGATATGTTTCCCTAAGGTTTAAAAGATGCATTAATGAAGAGATCCATTTTTGATTTACTTTGTGACATTTGGTTTATGCCCAAATTCTCATTGTACATTAGAGCTTTCCTTAAACCTTTTATTGCTAATATTGATCCTGAAAATGTAAGTTCTCTATCTTATTTCTAGGCTGAACAGGCTCTTGATGGTCTCCCATATGAAGACAGATAAATCATAACCAAAAAAGGAATAATTAATACTTTGCCTATGTTACTTTAAACTACTGTAGATACAACCTAATAATAAATTAATGAAAGTGAAGTTGCATTAACTCCTCATACTCCCTCAAAAATTAAACAAAAAAAAAACAGATTTGATAGAAAATAATATAATAGGACAAAATCTAAAAGAGTTTTCAAAGAAGATAAAATTGTTTCCACTTTTAAAATGCCTTGGACTATTGTAAAAACTTATGAAGAAGACAGAGCTTCCATTATGTCATCATAATCTGACTTAGATTTCTCAAATAAATAAAACCTTTCCATTGTTGAAGAAATTAAACCATTACCTTCCTACTAAGAAAACATTGGATTCAAAAACATTGAACTTGTACTTAAACCCTAAACAAGTTAAGAATAAATTAAATGGGATAATCTTGATAATTTCTACAATCAAGTTAAAGACACTGTCCCTGGAAATCATAAAAGTATGCATTTCTTATTCTAATCAATAGGACCTTTAGAAATGATTTTAAAAATCACTAATCTTATTAACAATTTAGTTCATTTCGAAAAAAGAAGCAAACAAATTTTAGCCATCAATAATAATGCTTTAATTAAGACCTTTATTATTTCAGCCGTATTAAATACAATTATATTAAGGTTGCATTAGCATTTCAATCATACATCTCTACTAGAACAAGAAGATTGATGATGCAAACTATTATGATTATTTGTTATCTTGGTAGTGCTGGAATTGCAACAGGAACTCTAGGTCTGTTTCTTGTCAAAATAGTAAATAAAAACAAAAAGAAAAGAAATTGATTTTTATCATTTTATTCATATCATTATATAAACTATTAAGAAATTTCTAATAATTCCAAAATTATTCCATTCCCAAATTTTTTATTTATATTATAAAAACTAATCAATTTCATTTATCTTAATTAAATTTCGATTGCTGAGCACTTTGATTCTATACAAATTATGATTCTAATAAATATTCTTTAGAAATATTTGAATTTCTTTCGGAATTTGGATCAAAAATCGATTAATCATTACATTATTATTATAACAAGCTTTAGTTTTTTTTATTCTACTAGGGTTATTAGTCTTTAAATCTTGAACTTGGTTGTGCTTGCTATGACTTTGATTATTATTATTATTATTATTATTATTAATATTATTATTATTAATATTATTATTAATATTATTATTACTGTTATTAATATTATTATTTATATTATTATTACTGTTATTATTACTATTATGATTAAAATTATTACTATTCTTATTAGGGTTATTCTTCCTATTATTATTATTATTACACTTATTGAGATCCTTCAACATTTTATTCCAACATATTTTTTTATTTTTTTTCTCTGTCATATTTTGATAATTAAACTAAAAATCTTGCTTTTTACAAAATAATTTCACGATATTATTAATTAAAACTAAGGGGATATTATTTTTAATTATTCATGTTATTATTCTTCTGTTAATTGCTGTTTTATTAAATTGCTTACTCATCTAATTTGACATTCTTTTAAGTACAAACCTTTAAATACAATAACCCCGAAATAATTGAGACAAATAATTAGTAACCTAATATTCCAACAAAAACATATCCTGAATAATTAAAATAAGACTCAACAGCTATAAAGCAATAAAAAATCAAAGCATTAATCAATAACTATTCAGCTAATTACTTTTTCTTCATTAATTGAACTTCTGCTGAATATTTTTTACTATAAATATTCTAGATTTACCATAAGTATGTTAATAAGGTAAAATTATAAGTATAAGATAACAGACTTAATTTTTTTAATAGGCATTCAATAAAAATGAAGATAATAGCAAATATAATAATTACAGTCTAATAAACAATTGAAACATTCCAAAGATTTTCTCCATATGAGATGAAAAGGTTGATGACAGTGAATAAAAAAACTGCAAAATCTAAAATCTTTTAATTTTTAATGAAAATATTAAATACAAGATCAATTTTTTGGTATTAAGGGATTAAAGCCATAAAGAATATTTCCTAATTTTTCTCTTAATTTTCAGGCATTTTATGTTATAAGTCAAAAATCAAATCATCTTATTCAGCTTCTATTTGAAAATTAATTAAACTTTTTTCTGGAGAAATAATTTCTTATATTTTTAAATTTTCTGTTTTGTATTTATCACAGACATTAATTTTGATTTTACCTTAATTGATATAATTCATTCTATAATAAATGGTGTTATTTTTATTCTTACTTTATATTTTTTCTTTTGAGTGATATAAATTAGAAATAAGAGTATATAATAAAACATTTAAAGAATAAAATAATGGTACTATAATAGCTAAAGCAGTATAACCAAGTGACACATCTGTAATATTATAGAGTAATTAGTAAGAACTGTGAAAGGAAAAAAAGAAGCCTAATTTAATAATACTAATTTACAAACTGAAATTCCAAAGTAACTTTAAATCAATTAAAATTTGTTAAAAATATTTTATAAGATGCAACTTGTATAAATAATCCAATCGTTAGAAATAATTTCATTATTTTTCATTTGATTGTTAATATTCTGTCTGATTTCAATAAAATGATCAATTAAGGCATATTCTGAAAGAGTAGATTTCGAATTTGTTATTTGCTGGTTTATGAATAACAATTCCAATTAATCTTGTTATCCTAACATAAATTTAGGTAAAATAGAATTTAATCCTAGACCATCTAAATTAGTTTTTAAAGTTCTTTTTAGTAAACTATAATATTGTGATACATGACTATCAATCAGACTCCATTTATATATGCATTAAAGAGGATCATGAAATTACTTTATTTTAAATATGGAATGAGAAGTAATGATATTTTAAGGAATTTATGTATATTAACAAAGTAAATTGTATTTGTTTTTTTAAATTATTTTATTATTCCAAGAAATGCCAAATATTTTTAATTTCTCAAAAAGTTAAAACAGTACCATAAGGGATTAGTTGAATTTTAAGTTGCTATTAGAGATCACAACATGTTCTGGGTCTATAAAATTCAATATTCCCAAATATATCCATCTAATCAATTAAATTCTATCAATTTCTGCAAAAAATGCAAAAAAAAAGGATGGGAGATCATTTAAATTATTTTTTTTTTCCTCTAAGAAGTAAGCATAATTTTGAGATAAAGTTTATACTTTATAGATTGGTAAATAAAAGTTTGTATAAATTTCTTTATTTATTTCTTAAAATAATTATTTGAAATGCCTTCTACTTGTTATTATTATTATTGGAATTATTTTCTCATTCTTAAAATGAGAAATTGACTCATTGAGTTCATTTAATGGTTCCCCTTAATATATTAATATTGCTACATTATATTTAATATTTTCCTGTCCTTATTACCCAACATTTATACGAGTTGTTTTATTTGTTAAAATTTCATTCTCAATATATTTTTTAAAATTAAAATCTGTTTTATCTTTCATAAGAGACTAGCCTCCATAAATAAAATCAGGCAAATAATCATTTAGAAATTCAGTTTTTTAACTTTTTATACCCCTAAAATCAAAACCTTGTACTTAATCTAACGTCTAAGTATTTTAAAGTTCATATTTATCTATAAAATCTAAACAAGCCAATCTTTTATTAATTTCATCTTGTAATTATTTTTTTTTTCTATCAGAAATATAATTAATTAATTAAGTAAACTCAGTTGAAAAAGGATAGAGTAATTATTATTTGGTTTCTTTTTCATTAACTACCATAGTAAGAGGTATTTCCTCATCTTCATTTAAATGAACAAGAAAATGGGATTCAATTTACATTTAATATTAAAAATTAATTTGTAACTAATTAAAGATAATTTATTCTCTTAAATAAATCTATTAATAATTCTTGAGTCCTAAAAGTAAACCAAAAGAAGATTAAGAGATTTTAAAGAGTATGCCTAAAATCTGTATATAAATTGATAGATATTACTATTCATGAAATATAAATTATTCATATTTCTTGATTTTTTCTCAGACTTCAAAAAGGTCTGTTCTTGGGAAAGTATTTCTTTCTACATTTTTGACAGGAATAAACCAATATTTGAAATCAGGACCTAAAACTTCTTTAAAATTATCTATAATTCTTGGTTTTTAGAAAGGATTCTATAAATAATAGATAAATGATTGTTATGTACATTAGCTTTTATTTCATTAATATGATATTCAACAGTTGTAATATTCAATCCAATATGATAAAGATGAAATCCTAAAAGAAAACCCATAGCAACAACTAAAGCAAAACAAGTAACATCACAAATGTTCAATATAAATTATTGATTTTTTGTAAGTTCCTATATTATATAGTTCAAAATTTACTTATAATACAAATTTGTCATTTAGAAATAAATCATAGGATATAAATAGAGTGCATTAGATCATACATAGAATAGCGTAGAAATTGAATTGACAAAAATATCTGTGATTTTTTAAACCTACACAATTATTGACCCAAGGACAATGATGATCCTAGTGTAGAAATATTTATCAATATAATATATACCATTCTCAAAATACATTTATTGCATTCTTTACAATGATGTGTTCTTGGTAATTTTATATTATCACATTTGAAGCAGTACGAAACTAATTATAATGCTTGGATAATATCGCTAGAACCATATTATAAAATAATTGTATTACAATTTCATCATCATTCTCATCTTGTAATTAAAAATGGTTTTGCATTTTTCTCTATCTATGTTTGTTAATTTTTTCTGTCATTTTTTTTGTTCTTTATTTGATATCTTCCAAGGTTTTTTCATGATAATGTTTTGCCTATTTTAATAAGAGAATATTTACTAAATCTTTTGGAGGATATCCAGGTTTGGTGCACTAGATCATAATATAAGCTAAATTCAAGAAGATGAATAATGTAGTAAATTCTATTCCAATGAAATATGCTACAACACCATGCTAATATATAAGAAAAACAAATTACTTTGTTAAGAAATGCTGGTAGAAAGATAAATGTAAAAGCATAAAATTCGCTAAAAATAATTCCATAAACAATTATCACAGCTATGAAATCAGGAAGTTAATGCTAACCCTTAAGCATAAATTAATATTTTATATATATTTAATTTTTAAATATTTAGTATTTTCAATATTAGATTTTTGTATATAAAACAAGTAAATAAATGGATTACTGGAGAATGAGAAGAAAAAGATTATAATTTACAAAAGAATTTTAAGTAAATTTCTATTTTTTGTAAATTGAAAAAATAAATAGAATACTTGATGGCATAGGATAAATTGGAGACTAGGATGATATTTGAATTAAAAGTAATGTAGGATTGAAAATTGTATAAAATATATTATTTTTTATTTGAAAATAATGGAGCCAGAGCAATTGATAGATTAATTAAATGATATATTGTTGGCAGATCATTTTCGATTTATAGAGGTAATAGGAAGAGGGAGTTTTGGTGTAGTGGTGGCTGCATTTTGTAGTAACTTAGATAGAGTGGTGGCAATAAAAGTTAATTATATTCTTAGAATACAATAGATAACATCGAATGTTGATTAAGAGAACGAAGCCAATTTATTAAAAGCTTGTTGTCATTAAAATATTGTAAAGCTTTACAAGGTGAGATAATTATTACGATTATAGGTGTTAGTCGCTAATAATCATCTTTATCTAATAATGGAGAGACTGATTGGTTTTACTCTTGAGAAATTAATGAAACAATCTATATTGTCAGAATAGAGTATAAGAAACTATATGACTTAAATTTTAAATGCATTAGTGTTTTTGCATAGAAAGAATATCATTCATAGAGATCTGAAACCAGGTAAAAGACACTTTATATTATAGAAAATATATTTATATGTGAAAATGCATGTGTAAAATTAATTGACCTTGGTTTAGGATAAGAAATTGTTTGTAAAGGATGTGTATATTAATCAGTTGGGACTCCCTATTTCATAGCCCCAGAAGTTATTTTAGGTAGGGATTAAAGTTAGGTTAATTATATACATATATATATAGGCTGTTGATATTTTTAGTTTAGGTATTATCTTTTATATGATGATCAACAATTTATAACATCCATTATGGGATGGATAAATGAGAAAAAAACATTATTATGAATTGATCTCCAATGAATTTTCTATTTCATTTCCTAAGACTATGCCTGAGTATTCATTTCTACTATATATTTATTAGAATGGCTAAAGATTTTGTGTTGAATACTGTTTAATTTAGAGCTGAAAATAGAATGACAGCTCTTCAATGTTTAGAACATCCTTGGATTATAGGAAAAGGAGTTAAAACACATCCTATGACTACAAGAGAAATTATGTTAAGATACAACATTTAACAAAAACTATAACATGTAATTATATTAAATTAATCAGATAATTAAATCTTTAATGTTTATAAAGACTCTACAATAAACCTGTGAAGAAGAAATCCATTATATTAAAACAACTAATTCACCTTTAATGGTAGAAAAGGAAGAACAACAAATCTCTCCAGAAACTGATTAACCAAGATTAAGTGTTGAATTAACAAATAAAAAGCATAAAACTTTTAAATTAAATACTATTCCATTAAAAAAAGTAAGTTCCTATAAAGATTTAGTATCTTTGAGAGAAAAACAACTAAATTAAAAGAAATATCAAAGTATAAATTATTATTATTAATAAGACATGATTTTGAGGTTTAGAGAAAAATTATCTTTAGGTAATCAACTTAGTGCTATTGGACATTCAAACTTTGATTCTCCTATAAGTCATCGAAAATTAACTACTCTACCTTCAATTAGTACTAATAGGTTATAGAGATAATCAACTTTTAATTTTAAAAATTTGTGAAGTGCTTTTTATAAATTATCAATAAAAAATCAATTTTACTTTAATCTATTCATAATTTCATCTGCTTCTTATGCTTTAGTTTCATCATAAGGTATATAATAGTTTGATAACCTAGATTAAGGATTACTCATAGGTTTACTCTACTCTCTTAAGACATTTATTGATTTAATGATCTCTTCATTATCTATTTCAATCTATTATATCATTTTTTTTATATCATTATTTATAAAGAATAATTCAGTATTGTCCTGTTTTAACAATCTAAAATTTGCTTGCATCTTTGAATTTTCTAATTTCAATTTATCTATTTACTATTATAAATCATTATGTTTATGATTATCTACTCGTAAATTCAAATTTGAAATCTCTGAAATTAAATTATCTACATTATTTCTAACTATTTAATATTACTGATAAACTTCCTATGGTTGTTATTATTCTTAATTTGTTTATTATATAGTTTTTATGGCTGTTTTTAATTAAATTGATGATTCATCCTTTCTGCTCTATTAAAATGATTGGTTCTAACTCTAATCATCCTTTATACGAGGAACTTTTGAAATCAATTCTTTGAATTATTCATCAGAATTGTATATTTTTTCATTTTGTATCAAAACCTTACTAATATTCAATTTTAAAGTATCTAATTTATCCTTCTCATTCAAAGTTAATTAATTTCCCTCTTCTAATCGTTTTAATAAAAATTCTAATTATTTTCCATCTTACTCTAATCGTTATTTATTCTTATCTATCATTTATATCATAGTTGTTGATTTCCCTTTGTCCAAACACATTTTTAGAATCTCAATCTCTGCTTTAACCTGTAATTTTAATTTGCTTAGAGATTATAGCATTTATTCAAAAAAACTATTTATTTATTTATAACAATAACTTATAAACAATTTAATTATTTATAACAATAACTTATACACTTTATAATTATATAATATTAGTCTTTACATTTTATTCGCAAACCAACTCTTTAGATGAAACTTATTTTTCTTTGAAAATTTTAATAAAATTCGAAAACCCTATCTTTGAAATTACACTTCCTTAAATTAATTCTATCAATAACATCTATAAGGTTCATTAATTTATTTGCCTTTTTATTAGTTATCATATTAGATTATTACAATTCTAATTTTAATGATATCATAACAAATATCAGTTTCTATAATCCAAAAGAGAAACCTCTTTCAAAAATAATCAAAGTACAACTTGAACATTTGTTATTCAAACATTTTAATTCAGATTATTTTGTATTATTATCACATTTATCTATATTCAGACAAAATATAATCAAAAAGTAAAACTATTTATACTTCAAATTTAAATTATTATATATTGCTTAAGAAATGTTTTTTATATTTTAAATTAAAGTTTCTCCTTATTTGCTAGATAAGGCATAAATAGAAATATCACCTCCAAAACAACTATAACAGAATATTTGTTATTATTGCTATGCAGTTTAAGAAATCAACAACAAACTATTCTGTTAATATATAAAAAAATAACACAAATTATTTACTCCTAACTATATGAAATTAATTATATAAAAAATTATTTAGGATATTTCTTACTTCATTTATGTATTTTTGCCATATATATCAAAGATAAAAATATAGGTTGCCAAAACTGTTGCAAATGTTATTTCTTCCTAACTATTTGCTATATATTTAGTATTAATTTATGAAATAGAGTTTTTATAATTTATAGTCCCTTCTTAAATTTATATATAATTTAAAAATTATCAAAAAAATTTATATAATATACTTATGCTTTTAAATATCATAATTAATCCAATTATTTTTAAATCTTTGGTATTCATTTATGTTTTTTTTCTAATTTAAATTTTTGGTATTCATTTTTAAATTCTTAATAAGAAGTTTATTCTTCATCAGTAAATCTAATAAAAAATCTTTTGGTATTATAAAATCTTTTTATAGAATTCAACTCTGACAAAAGTTATTAGACAGACTCTTTTACTATTTACATTTTAATCTATTAAACCAACATTCGATGACTTTAAGCTTTTTTATTAAATCTATAATGAATGGTCGTTTTTCTGTATTAATCTCAATTTTCTAACATATAGATTCAACTAAGGAAGACTTCAACATATTTGAAACATTACATAATTGTTGAATCTTAAAAATTTCATCAATTGATTTTTTTATCACCAAATTTTTCAGTAATTAATTTATTATTTATTTAATTAAGTTATTTATAATAACAAAATAGATAGTTTCTAATTCTTTTCTTTTATTTTATTAATTTTACAAAAGATTCTAATAGTTAAATTTAGAATTTTTTGTATTTAATGTTATTTTATTTTGTAATTTTTATCAACATTTTTTCAAAATATGAAAAATAATTATTATTTTGAATTTTTTTTTTAAAATTTTCGATACAATCTATCTCTTTATGCAATTTCTATTGTTCCAAATCAAGCTCAAAGCCTTTGGAAACATCATTTTGTATTCCTGAATGAATTATATCTCCCTCTAATTTTTCTTCATCAATTTTAAATTATTTTAGTTTATTATTTGAATAAAACTACATTTCATATATTTCGATATATTCTTTTTAATCAATTTTCAACTTTATGAATTTTAAAAATTCCTCTTCTTGTTTACAATTACAATTTTTCATCATTTCTTAATCCCATTTATTAGTGATAGTTTGCATAGTATCTTCATTGATATTCATGAAGATAATTAGAAAGAGATTTTCAAAAATCTTGGGAATTAATATATTATTAAAAAGCAAATTTGTATTCGAAGATAAGAGTTTTTAACCATCAATAACAAATTAAATCAAAAATTATTTTGATTAATTTATTATGTAGAATAAACTTAATTAATTAATTTCAGGCAGAATTAATTTGAACTAGACATCATTATATAAAATTATTTGTTGATATTGATTATCTTTTATTACAATAAAAGTCAGCTAATTATTTTTTCTGAAAAAAATATTCTGATTTTCAGGATTATTCAATGTATTAAATAATATATTAGAATATTATTCCTTCTAATCAAAATTTTCTAATAATAGTATTATAACATTATCTTAGTTTTAATCAAATTAATCATCATCACTTATTTGAAGTTGAAATTTTATTTATTGATAATCCTAATAAAAATCTAAATCTTCCAAAATCTCTAATATTTAATTATTAAATATTTTATTCTATTTTAGAAGATCTTATTTGACTTTTTCTAGGTTTTTATATCTAGTACATATTTCGATAAAGGACATTTTTAAATATATCAAAATTTTTAAATCTTTAACTTACAAATCAGATTTAATACTTATGAAATTAATTTCATTACTATAATTCATTAACAACTGTATAATTGTCTTTTTCATAACTTCACAACTTTTCAAATCCCTTTAATAATTAACCTTTTTGAGTAAGAAGTTAAGATAGCTACTTACATAACTTTTTGAATATTTGTATAGCTTAACTAAGCAGAGGATCATAATTTTAAAATTTTGTTAAATTATTTATCTAACTTTATAACGAAACCCTTTTTTCAATTTAACATTAATTTAAACATAAATAAGGTTGAATGAAAAGCATCTAATATTTGTATTTTTAAATATGCTATGCAATCTAGATTTAAAGTTTAAAAATCTTATTCTTTAACTTATAAAATTGATGAATAAAACATAATCTATTTGATTAAATTCATTTAATTTTATTCAGTATCCTAATCTTTATCTATGTATTCATCGAATATTTATTCCTCAAATTTAATTTCTTTTGACAGATTAACATGATAACCTTTAAAAGGAGATGTTATATTATCACTATTAACCAAAACAAGAAAATCAAAATTAAATGGTTATGAAAATAATCCTTCTAGTAATTATTTCATCAATTTATTTAATATTTTTTCTTACTTTTATTCTTCATTTATATTGCTTACAAATCTCAAATTATATAATTTTACTCTTTAGATAAATTATGAAGTGTTTCTTTCTTATTAATTCAATAAAGTTTATCTATTCAAAATTATTATCTATAACTATATTTTAAAAATAAAACAAATAAATCGAATTTATAAATCCTGTTTTCAAATCTAGGATTATGTTAGATTTTCTAGGTTTTATTCTGTCTTAAATTAATGAAGAGGATGTAAGATTAAAATAAAAGATGCAAGCTGATGAAGGATGTATGTTTTAATCAATTCAATAATAGATAAGAGGTCTGGTGAAATATCTTATAAGCAATTGGACTTTTATTGATTATACTTTTAATTCATTTAATATTTTTTATTTAATAAAAAAAAAAATTTTTGTGTAGAATAATTTTGTTTATTCTATTGATTTTTCTTATGTTCAAAATTTTTTGTCTCCTTTATTATCTCAAATATGAAAGTAATTATTTCGACAAATTTAAGACAATTGGTAATATCTCAAAAAATCTAAAGTAGAAATTTAAAATTGTTCAATAAAAATTTCTTTTTATTTTGTTTGTAATTTTTTGCAAAATGAAACAATGAGATGCATCTTTAATATATTCTTTTATAGATGATTTAAATTATACTTTTATGTTATTCTTTTATAATCTTACTGAAATATCTTAAGATTTATATTTTCATATAATTTATTGAAAATAATATCAAAATGAGATATACTAGATTCCATTAATCATAATAGTATTTTTAAGTCTATTGTATTATTTTTAATTTTATAAACCCATTAAGTTGAACTCTTATATTACATTTAAGTTTGAATTTATTGAGATTATTGTTGAGTAATTCTATAGCATTGACATATAATAATTATATATAGATATTTTTTATTAATAATAGAAATACTAATAATAATTCATATCCAAGGAAGTTGCTTATATCCACAAGGTTAAGAATGTTTATATTGAGGAGAATGTTTATAATTCATAGATTTTAAGAATTGTTGATATTCTTCTTCTGTATTCTTCTTATTGAAGTAGTCTATTTAATTTTAGTATAGTCTTTAAGGATTAAATAATTATGATTTTAATGGTTCTTCCAACTTAAAAATTCTAAATTCAATGAAGACAATTTAATTAGGATTAACTTGGGTTCTTTTAAACATTTATTTTTATTCAATTCTACATTTATATTATGCACCTTCATAAGTATTAATATATTGATCAAAATATTAAACTCCTGAGAGTGAACTAAAAGTTATATCACACCATAGTTGTAAGGATGTTCCAATATCAAAAATAGATGGTAGAGTTTTAGTTTCATGCAAATGATGCGAAACCATATCTCTAGTTACTCCCATAAGTGTATAAAATTATTCATTTACTATTCTTTAGGATAATGAACTATTGTCTTTATTCACTTTTTGTATAATACAATGATATGGATAATCTTAGGCAATTTGTTCGACTTATAACAATTCTTCATTTGATATATAATAATGTTAAGTGTACTCATTAAGAATATTGAATCTTTAATGTACTAATTCTATAGCAATTTAAGCACAGGGATCCTCTAATTTTGATAGAAGATTAACTATTTATTCAAATGAATAATTTGGTTCATCAAGAAGCTCTAATGTATAAAAATACACATCATCTAGTTAATCTGTGCGTGATACTCTGTGATTGTAAGTACAGGGTGTTTCTTTTAGATTTCCTAAGCAATGTTCTGGAATATAATTAAGTGCTAATTTTAGTTCTACATCTGATTTTATATAAACACGCTCTTTTAATGATTTTGGTACTGATACTATGCAAATTAGTTCTTTTATTGCTTTTTATTTGTGGTTTTACTTTTCTATTCATTATATATTTGAAAATTATTACTTTTTTTGCTTACATTCTTAGATTATATTGATAAACTAGTTGATTCATCATGCATACTTACTCGTTATTTTACTATCTTACTCATTGTGTATAAATTATAAAAAATTTAAAAATACTCTAAATCATAAGAATTTTAGTGACAAATATAAATTTACTAATTATTTACATTAACTTATTATAATTATTGTTATAATTATACTTATAATTTATACAATATATATATTATCATTTATAATGCTTTTTCCTGATGGGAAATAAGAATAAATGAATAAAATTGATAATAATGAGTTGATTAATTGATATTTAATGATATAAGGTATTTATTTTTTTCTTAATTTTTGATTGGTGGATTAGAAATGAAAAAAGATTAATTGAGATTTATATTTGTAATAAGGCGGGTTTGAAACATAATTAAATAAATCAAAAATAAAATGTCATCAGGAGGAAAAGGAAAAGCAGGAAAAGGAGGTAAAGCAGCTGGAGCTCATAAATCAGTTTCAAGATCACACAAAGCTGGTTTATAATTCCCAGTTGGAAGAGTTTCAAGATATTTGAAATAAGGAAGATATACAGAAAGAGTTGGTGCTGGAGCTCCAGTTTATCTTTCAGCTGTTTTAGAATATTTAGCTGCTGAAGTTTTAGAACTTGCTGGAAATGCTGCTAAAGATAACAAGAAAAATAGAATTAATCCAAGACACATTCTTTTAGCCATTAGAAACGATGATGAATTAAACAAATTAATGGCTAATACAACCATTGCTGACGGAGGTGTTTTACCAAGCATTCATCCATAATTATACCCATCAAAAGAGGATCCAAGTTAAGCAGTTTGAAATGTTTAATTTGTTTTACAATTAACATATACAAATTTATTTTATTTATAATTCTAATAACTTAGGATTAATCATAAATGAACTTTAATATTAATAATTCAATTCTTTTTTTATGTCTAGGCTATTTTTACAGACTTTTATGCAGCATCATCTAAATCAGTTGCTGTTGTTATTGATACTTTTGTCTATGATTTTGCAAATTCATCCAACATCTTAGCGCCTTTTTATTAATATTAATTTAATACCTTATTATGAATTTGTTCCTGTTAATCTTACTACTAATGGTGTTTTCAAATCAACCAATTATGCTGCTTTTATAATACCTTCAGCAATAATGTTGCATTTCATTATACCACCAAAAATATTAATTAAAATAGTTTCTACTTTTGGATGAGAATTCAATATTTCAAATGCTGTCTTTACTTATTCTACATTTGCACCACCTCCTACATCTAAAAAGTTAGCTGGATCTCCTCCATATAATTTTATTATATCCATTGTTGCCATTGCTAAACCAGCTCCATTAACCATACAACCAATATTTCCATCTAATGCTACGTAATTCAATCCTGCAGCTAATGCCAATTCTTCATGAGGATCTACTTATTCAGATGCTACTGATGTTTTTCTCAATTCTACTAATTCTTTTTATCTAAATTTAGCATTATCATCAACATTTATTTTAGCATCTATGCAGAATAATTAATTTTTTGGATCTGTTGCCCATGGATTTATTTCTACTTATGTAGCATCTAAAGAAATAAACATTTTGTAAAGATTTTTCAATTATTCAATTGCTTATTGTCTAACAGATTACAACTAAAGAGTATCAACAACCTTATTGGCTATTTAATCAGTCAAACCTGTGTTGACATCAATTGGTAACACAATAATACTGTTTGGATCTGTTTTGGCTACTTCTTCGATTTCCATTCCACCATTAATAGATGCAACAATGGCTGGCTTTTATGAATTTCTATCCAAAATAAATGCTAAATATAATTGACGTACTATATCGACACCTTCATGTACCAATACTGCATTGACTTATAGACCCTAAATTATTAAAAGTAATTATATACTTCTTTTGGTGTCTAATGTGTTACCAATTTATATCCAATCATTTATTTAGTATAGTTGGCTACTTCTTCTGGAGTCTTACAGATCTTTACTCCTCCCTTCAAACCACTTGATAAAGTTCCTTAAATTAACTATATGTAATACCCTTTCCTCTACCACCAGCATGTACTTATGATTTAAGAATCAAACCACCACTTGGATCGAGTGTCTTTGCTACTTTGGCTGCTTCATCAGCATTCAAAGCAATTTCTCCTTTTTAGACTCTTACATTGAATCTTCTCATCAAGTCTTTGCTTTGGTATTCATGTAAATCAAAGCATCTAACAACTTTGTGTTACAATGCAGCCAACCTTGTAATACGATTGAACATTTATTTTAAATCTTTTTATTTAATCAAAGCACAATAACTAATCACTTAAAATAAACTAATTTTGGATTAATTAAATACTCTATATAAATCATCTTAGAGATCAGATTAATCTAATTAATAATTACAAAAGAAAATGGAAAATCAATGCTCTATGTTAATGTCACTTATGGATTTATTTTTATCGTAAACTCTACTGTTAGATTGGATTTTTGAAGTTAAAGTAAACTGATTTGAAATGTAGTAAATTATATTTTATTTCCAGATCTTAATTCTCCCTTTCCATTAATTATTGTTCAGCCTTTATCATAACTGGATCATGTTCAATAATACTTTCAAATGTTGATATTCTTGCTATTTAATTATGATTCTGCTGAATTCCTAAACCTTCATGAATTTCACTTATTGAAAACCCCACTCCTATACTCATAATACTTCTTTAATTGGTTATTACACTAAATTATAATCCGCTACTCTCATTATAACAAGATCCCACTAATTCATCTTAAACACAAACTGTTTTAACATTTTTAGGTAATAAATTATCTACTTAAAAATTTCTAAATTCTATTTTTACTTTATTTACCTTCTTATTGTACCGCAACTTTAATAATTCGAATTTTATGTGCTTTTTGCTCTTTTATTACCTTTATTCTTATGGGATCTACTATTTTGATAAGTCCAATCTAATCCTTAATCTGGAAAGTTATGTAATTTTGTTAAGAATAATCCTCTTAGCATAGCATATTAGGGCCTTTATTCTGTAGTCAATTATTTCACATAATTCATATATCTAATTTTAATTTCACAAATACTTTAAAATAGAATTTGGACATTCTGAACATAATTCTTCTATTTTTATTTCTTATTTTAATTTTCCTATTTTCTCAAGCCTCTAATTATCATTTTATTCGATATTCATCCATGGCAAGCGTTATTTTATTAAGTATATTATTAAATAACCTAAGGATTCCAAATCATCCTTGGCTGTTTATTCTATACCTTAATGAGCAGCTAAACTTGCATATCGACTTGTACCAATAAAAGATATCTTTTTTTTCTTATTGGTTTTTTGATTAATATTTCGTGATATTCCAAAATCAATTAGATAAATCTTGTCAGCATCAGATTTACTTAAAATATTTTCTGGTTTCAGATCTCGATGTATTATATTTCTACTTATAAATTATTTATAAAACCTTTTATGAATTTGTTCCAGAATCCATAGAGATTGATAAGCAATATTGTATACACATTATGTTGAAAACTTTTAGTATCGCTTTTAAAAATATCTCAAATCATGTCCTAACAATTAGGTTATCATAACGTTGCATTTCTTAAATTGACCATACCAATACAATTCAGGAATCTATGAAACTCCTTAGAGAAGTGTCAATATTTCAATCTAATTTCACATATTATAATACTTCTCTATTTAAACTACTATAACTTGCCATTTCTTGCTTTTCTACTTTTATTGCAACATTTTTTTTTCTCTTCATACATTTTCCAAAATATACTATTCCAAATGAACCTTATGATATTTTTTTTATTATTTCATATTGATTGTCAATAACATCTCCTAATTAAATTTGGTTCATAAATTTATTAATGGAAAAACTGATGATGTATTGAATTCTTAAAAATAATAATAATTATGATGAACTTTAATTTTACATCTTAGACTTTTTACTAAGAATATATAAGATTATGATTGTTTTTAAATTATAGAACTCAATTAATTACAGTTAAGACAAAATATTTTGACTATTATTGAGATTTCTTACATAATGATAAATGCTTATTATATTAATGAAGATGGTAGGAATTAAAATATAAAAATTACTGAATTACTTTTTATAATATTATAATTAACAATTTAAGAATAATATATGTACAAGGATAAGTATTTTAAAAGTAATTAAATAATGTATTCAGTTAAAAGATTAGTTAAATTATAAAATAATATTTATATTAAATTGAATGTTTAGAGAGTAATACTTAAATTTAATGGTCAATAAGAAAGACATAGCTAATTTGAATTTCTAATGTATAGATTGGAATATATAATATTTAGCAAATTATATAAAGGTCGGGAGTGGGTATTAAGCAATCAGGAGAATATTTAAGAATGTGTAATACGATAAGTTTGAAAATTAGTAGTTGAAGGAATTAAAGGGATATATGGATTCAATTCCTATATAATATTTAAAGGAGTATGTTTAATGATAATATATGAGAGTTTAGAATGATTGTGTATTATTGAGATTTTTATATACTCATAAATTTTTGAAGGAGTAGACTGTTAAATATTTTGTTGATCATTTAGATTGGTTAAATAATCCAGAAACAATAATATTAGATGATGTTCCTCAATTCGATAAGATTGTGTAGATAATAGGAAGAGATGAAATGTTTAGACCTGTATTATATATAAATATATGTTAACCTTTGGATAATAATTTTATCAAGGCAATAACAAATAAATTAATAATAATGGAAGATTATATGTTTGTACCTGGTAAAGTGGAAAGTTGGATTATTCTTATTGATTTTGGATAATTTAATCCTAATTTTTAGAAAGATAAAATAGAATAAGCAATTAAACATTTTATTACAAATTTTCCAATGTCTTTGGAACATATTTATATTTTAGATGCAAATGAAATTTTAAAATAAATAGGTTAAGATATATTAGATACTAAAGAAATTAAAGTATTTGATTTATAAGATAAAATTTCAGTTTTAGATAAAAATGCATATGAGAAAGAGAAATTGTAGTTATTATCTCCTGAATATATTCATTTATTTGATACATTAGAATAACAATTGGCTGAATAAGCATCTCAAAATTTATAAATAAATGATTAAGGTTCTTAAAAATAAAATGATTAACCATATTAAGCATAATAAAATGCAGATTTAATAGGGCCTCTATATCCATTAGTTGTTTATGCAATATCGTAACCTTAACCTTATGTTCCATAGTTTCATGATAAAGAATTATAGAATTATACTTAATAGAAACATATTCCAACTTTCTTTTTAGACACTTAGAATTAATTTTGTTAAAATTATTAACCTTTAAGAAAAAATAATAGTGATGTTTAGAAATAAAATAATGTAGTTCCTTAGTAATCTAACAAAAGAGTTGCTCCACAATTAAAATCACAAATGACTTTTCAAAATACAGATAATTCTATGTATTGATATGATTAATCTATGTAGACGAACAAAGTATGATGATGTTATTGACTAATACAATTGGAATAAATATGGAATTACATAACAATAGCCAGTTATAGAAACAGAAAAAATAATATAAGATGTAACAAATTAAAATTCATCACAACATCATATTAGTTCTCCTTAGATATAATAAACTCCAACACTTTAAGGAACAGAAAGAACTATAAAAAAATAAGATACTAATCATAATATACAAGATATACATTCAACAGGTGGATTTTTTGAAGATCCTATTCTTCCATTTAATGATGATAATGTATAACCTTTCACATATAATGATAATAAGTAATTGTCATATGATGTTAAAAACATTCCTCAATAAATAAATAAAATTGAAAGAAATTTATAGTTTGATAATAAAAGTCCAATTAATTTTAATTAATATCCTCCAATACATTAAGAAATAGAAAAAAAATATGATTTTTGTCCACTTCCATTAAGACCATCTGAATAANTATATGTTAACCTTTGGATAATAATTTTATCAAGGCAATAACAAATAAATTAATAATAATGGAAGATTATATGTTTGTACCTGGTAAAGTGGAAAGTTGGATTATTCTTATTGATTTTGGATAATTTAATCCTAATTTTTAGAAAGATAAAATAGAATAAGCAATTAAACATTTTATTACAAATTTTCCAATGTCTTTGGAACATATTTATATTTTAGATGCAAATGAAATTTTAAAATAAATAGGTTAAGATATATTAGATACTAAAGAAATTAAAGTATTTGATTTATAAGATAAAATTTCAGTTTTAGATAAAAATGCATATGAGAAAGAGAAATTGTAGTTATTATCTCCTGAATATATTCATTTATTTGATACATTAGAATAACAATTGGCTGAATAAGCATCTCAAAATTTATAAATAAATGATTAAGGTTCTTAAAAATAAAATGATTAACCATATTAAGCATAATAAAATGCAGATTTAATAGGGCCTCTATATCCATTAGTTGTTTATGCAATATCGTAACCTTAACCTTATGTTCCATAGTTTCATGATAAAGAATTATAGAATTATACTTAATAGAAACATATTCCAACTTTCTTTTTAGACACTTAGAATTAATTTTGTTAAAATTATTAACCTTTAAGAAAAAATAATAGTGATGTTTAGAAATAAAATAATGTAGTTCCTTAGTAATCTAACAAAAGAGTTGCTCCACAATTAAAATCACAAATGACTTTTCAAAATACAGATAATTCTATGTATTGATATGATTAATCTATGTAGACGAACAAAGTATGATGATGTTATTGACTAATACAATTGGAATAAATATGGAATTACATAACAATAGCCAGTTATAGAAACAGAAAAAATAATATAAGATGTAACAAATTAAAATTCATCACAACATCATATTAGTTCTCCTTAGATATAATAAACTCCAACACTTTAAGGAACAGAAAGAACTATAAAAAAATAAGATACTAATCATAATATACAAGATATACATTCAACAGGTGGATTTTTTGAAGATCCTATTCTTCCATTTAATGATGATAATGTATAACCTTTCACATATAATGATAATAAGTAATTGTCATATGATGTTAAAAACATTCCTCAATAAATAAATAAAATTGAAAGAAATTTATAGTTTGATAATAAAAGTCCAATTAATTTTAATTAATATCCTCCAATACATTAAGAAATAGAAAAAAAATATGATTTTTGTCCACTTCCATTAAGACCATCTGAATAATCATATACTCCATCATATATTGCTTCAGATAAACCATATCTTCCAGATAGATTTTCGGAAATTTCAATTTTTCAAAATAATTAACATTTACAATCATAAATTAAAACTAATAATAATAATCTTCCTTAAACATCTGGATAATCTCCATATCTTCCATAAACTCCTTTTAGTCCTATTCCAAGTAGTACTAATTTATATATTGCTCCTACTTATCCATTAAATACAACTGCCAATAAACCTAATTTATAGAATTCAAACTAACCACATATCATTGAATAAGATGGAATCAAATTTTAAGATGAAACTATGCTTGTTGGAGATCCAGATCATAGATAATCCAAAAATTCTAAAAGAGATCCCGTTCTTGATTAATAATAATGTTAAATTTTTTGATTTTATGTAACAATTTAAATTAATCAAAAATGAACAGATCATCAATAATATTCTTTATTCAATCAAATTATATATATTGACTGTACAGATTAGTTTAAATTTTTACTTTGTTTTTTATATTAAAGTTATAATATAAATATACTTTATTTATAATTTACTGACATCATCTTCATATGCAATTTAAAATCAAATCATAACTTTTAATTAATTAAAATAAACTTATGGGTTGCGTTCAAAACAAAGCCACTTAATCAATGTCACAAAAAATTATTCAATTAGAAAATAAGTAAACTTCAATTACAATTTTTCATTAATCCTTTCATACAAACGATCAACAATACAATATCCTTAAAAATCCAATAATCAAAAGAAGAGAATAAAAGAAAAGCAAAATATCAAACACAAGTGCATGCACTCCAATTACTAAAGATTGATAAATTATCATCTCAGTATAATTATTTATTTATTTTTTATTAAATTTGCTATATGACATCTTTCCGTATTTACCTTTCATTTTTCACTTTAAATCAATCTATATCTCTAAATTTAATCGTTTACGCTCATGTAATGTACCGATAAACCAATCATATGTATAATTCAAAAAATTAAACATAGCTTATTATTTTATATATATAGTTGACAAAATTTAATTATTATCTCTCTTCTTTGAACTTGTTTCTTTGATCCTAAACTTTATGGCTTTTTTTTTATTTCTAATTATGGAGTTTCAAATTTAATGACAGTTAAGAAAACTCTCCTTTCTTTTGTTATATAAATCAAAAAAGAATATTTAAAATTCTAAACTCATTTCTTAGATTAGATTAATATTATCTATTAGTTTTACAATGTTAGTTTATTGATGAAAAAGTTATAAACTAATTTTTACGTGAAAAGATAATAATAATATATTAATCAAGAGAATTATCTTTACACATATGAATTCTATGTATCTCCTTTATTAAAAACCTATGTTAAACTAGGCATTGTAGAATGAGCTCTCCTTTAAACTATAGGATTCTTTTAAATTTTGTATTTTTCTGAACAAAATTGATTAAAAATTTCTCTTTCAACCTCATCTCCGGCAATTTGTTTTGAAATTATCTTAGAAGCTAACTATAAAGATTGAAATTTATCAGTTTTTTTCTTGGAAATCTATGAACATCCCATTGAAAAAAATAATTAATTAGATTCAATCATTGTATTTAATACTAAAAATAATAAAAAAAAAAAAGTTCCATTCCTTTTTTCTTGAACCATGCTGATATTTGATATTCCAATAATTTCTACTGTCTATTAGTTANTATTCTTTATTCAATCAAATTATATATATTGACTGTACAGATTAGTTTAAATTTTTACTTTGTTTTTTATATTAAAGTTATAATATAAATATACTTTATTTATAATTTACTGACATCATCTTCATATGCAATTTAAAATCAAATCATAACTTTTAATTAATTAAAATAAACTTATGGGTTGCGTTCAAAACAAAGCCACTTAATCAATGTCACAAAAAATTATTCAATTAGAAAATAAGTAAACTTCAATTACAATTTTTCATTAATCCTTTCATACAAACGATCAACAATACAATATCCTTAAAAATCCAATAATCAAAAGAAGAGAATAAAAGAAAAGCAAAATATCAAACACAAGTGCATGCACTCCAATTACTAAAGATTGATAAATTATCATCTCAGTATAATTATTTATTTATTTTTTATTAAATTTGCTATATGACATCTTTCCGTATTTACCTTTCATTTTTCACTTTAAATCAATCTATATCTCTAAATTTAATCGTTTACGCTCATGTAATGTACCGATAAACCAATCATATGTATAATTCAAAAAATTAAACATAGCTTATTATTTTATATATATAGTTGACAAAATTTAATTATTATCTCTCTTCTTTGAACTTGTTTCTTTGATCCTAAACTTTATGGCTTTTTTTTTATTTCTAATTATGGAGTTTCAAATTTAATGACAGTTAAGAAAACTCTCCTTTCTTTTGTTATATAAATCAAAAAAGAATATTTAAAATTCTAAACTCATTTCTTAGATTAGATTAATATTATCTATTAGTTTTACAATGTTAGTTTATTGATGAAAAAGTTATAAACTAATTTTTACGTGAAAAGATAATAATAATATATTAATCAAGAGAATTATCTTTACACATATGAATTCTATGTATCTCCTTTATTAAAAACCTATGTTAAACTAGGCATTGTAGAATGAGCTCTCCTTTAAACTATAGGATTCTTTTAAATTTTGTATTTTTCTGAACAAAATTGATTAAAAATTTCTCTTTCAACCTCATCTCCGGCAATTTGTTTTGAAATTATCTTAGAAGCTAACTATAAAGATTGAAATTTATCAGTTTTTTTCTTGGAAATCTATGAACATCCCATTGAAAAAAATAATTAATTAGATTCAATCATTGTATTTAATACTAAAAATAATAAAAAAAAAAAAGTTCCATTCCTTTTTTCTTGAACCATGCTGATATTTGATATTCCAATAATTTCTACTGTCTATTAGTTATTTTTTGCTTGATCTTCACCTTTCTTCTATTATTATAATATTTTTTTATTCTAGACTTTTAATTAATATAATCTAATCTTTAATTTAGAAAACAAATTAATTTTATATAATTTTATTTCATTTATCAGTAGTGTAAATAATTTAACAATCTCTATCAGTATATTCTAGTAAATATGATCTATTCAAATTGTAATTAGCTTTCAAAATAAAATTTTATTAAATATGATGAAGTAAATTTAGAATAAGATTATTCATATATATTCATCCCTTATTCAGAAATAATTAATTTTTATAAAATCAAAGTTTTTGTAGATTTATAAGGTAAAATTTTATATAATCTAAAAATAGAAAGAACATAAACATTAAACTTATTATATTCCAAAAAAATCATCTTATAAAAAATATAATTTAATAAATTTTGATATAGGTTGATTAAATTTTTAATAGTCAATCTTCGGACTTTTTTTCTAAATCTTATAAACCACTTCTTATTGCCTCAGGTCTTAAATCTTTAAGCATTAAATAAATCCAATATATTTTAGGACAATTATGTGAATTATTGAGCTGAAATTCTTTATAAATTAATTATGATTTATTTGTTAACAACTTGTTTGTCGTTTTTAAGATTTGTTTATTATACTCATTTTCATCTTTTTAAGAGTAACTTTATATTATTTTTGTTAAAATTTCTTTATCACTTCTTTCTTAATTCTCAATTATGTTTATTTTTTAATCACAAATATTTTCAAACTTAGCTTCATTAATAAATCCATATAACTCAACATCAAATAGTAGTCTAATAATAAATAAAGAGAATTACTCAAAATTAACTCTAAAAAACAATAACTTCAAAACTCTTTTAGTAAATTCCTCAAATTCATTGATATTTTTGGTTAGTTCTGGGTTACTCACTATTCCTGAATTCGATTGCGATTAAACTTAAGCACCTAGATTTCTACTACTTAAATCATTTATTTCATGTATGTTTTTTTCAATTCCTTCATAAAGTTTATCTTCATTTTGTATTTTTTTATTAGAAATTATATCTTCAAATTCAGGAAGCAATAATTACCAATCAGATAATAAGATGTTAAATCTTTCTTATTATCTTGAAATCAATATATTGTTTCTTTTCACAGTAAACATCTTTTTAAAAATTTATTTACTTAATTTAGAAGGTTATTAATTTTATTCATCTTAATCTGTTTTATTTTTTAATACAACTTAGATTATTTAGATAACATAGTAAGCAACAGATAATTTTTCTGTTAATTTTATCGATGGATGATGACTATAAATAAAAATCAATTAAAATACCTAAAAGTGTAAGCATTATATTACTCCAGATTACTAATAATATAACAATTACAATATTCTGGCTCATTATTTAATACTTCAATCTTATAATAATTGTATTTTTAACAGCATTCACCTAAAAATACCTCTTTATCTAAATTTTCTTTACTCTATGCTTTTTTAACACTTTCAATCCATTACATAATATGAACTAACTTTGCCATAGGTATTAATTTAACACAACAGTATTTTTGATCTATTTTACCAATAAAAGTGCAAATAGGTGATTTTTATTTCTAAATTAATCTCACTAAAGTTATTGGGCGTTTATATTCTGTAAATTCATTTATTTAGGAGAAATCATATTTATTTTATATATCGCAAATATTTCTATTTACTATCTTAGGTCCTTTAAAATCATTATTTTATGATTAGTCTTTTAATTCTTTTTCATCTTATTCTTTAGAAAACATTTTATTTAATTGTTCTTCAATTGAAACTTTATGTTAATTAAAATTATTATTTTTATCACGAATACTATTTAATGCTTCTTCAAAGTATAATAAATCTTAATCTAATTATGTTTCAACTTCTGGAATTTTATTTTTAACTTTTGGAGTTTCATTTTTAACTTCTGGAATTTCATTTTTAACTTCTGGAATTTCATTTTTAACTTCTGGAATTTCAATTTTAACTTCTACCTTAATTTCTTGAAGTGATGAAGGTTATTATCCTTTCTATTTAGGAGTTTCATCAGGAATTATTGGATTATTTTGTTCTTTTGGTGGTTCTAAATATTCCTATTAATTATTATTTTCTTATGGTTAGACTTCTGGTTATGCTTTTTATTCAATTTTTAAATCTGGTTTTTGTTTTGTACAGTTCTTCCCACAACAACAACCCATTTATATTTTATTATTTAATAATTTTTATTTGCTTCGACATAAACCTTATAAATTATACAATTAATAAAGATTTGATAATATTAAATATTAATTATTATATATTTCATTAATATCTATGAACTATTTGCCTTTCTAAGTATCTGAAAATAATTAAGTTCAATTTAGTTCTTAAAAAATAAATAAAAAATAATTTATTAAAATAATACTAGTTTTCTAGTTTTATTCACTTTAAAAGTCAGAAAGTTAGTGTAATTCTTAGAATAATAAATCTAAGCTAACAAGATTAGTATAAATAAATAAATTAAATAAAATGAGATTGTTGGTTAATGGCTTCTAAATTAAATATCATTGAAATTCTTAACAGATGAAAATTAATAAAATTTATTTGAAATATGTTTTGAAGTTGTTCTTTTCTTTTTTTTTTAAATTGAATATTTTGTAGATTAAACTATAGATAGTTTTTTGAATATTTAACTTAATTAAAACAACAGATTAATTTATTATAGTAATATTTGTTCAATTGATTAAAATGAACAATTAGAAATTATGATAAATATATTTAGTATATTTATGATGAAAATTATGATTATAGTCTTAAAACTAATAATTTAAATGAGTCTGATTTATATATCAAGCTTCTTTTAGTTATTAATCCTATTAATTAATGATATAGAAATTGGAAATAGGATTTGAAAATAAATAGATTAAACTACTATTTAAATATAATCAAAATTAAAAATTATTGAAAGGGATATAATAGTCAAAACTTTTCATTGACGATTTAAAATTATAGTTAAAATTACTGATTACACCCAAAAAACTCGAAGATATTTGAAAATAAATTACTTAAGCTCTTTGTTAAAAACAATTTTAATTTGATTTTCTATTATAGAATTTAAATTTAAGTTGAAAAACATAAATAATAGTTAAAAATATTTTCAATTTGATCAATATTTATAATGCAGTCTCAAAGATAGAGTAAATATTGGAAAAAATTTAAATTAAAATTTATTTAAGTCTAATTAATGTTTATTAAAATCAACTAGAACACTTTAAAACAATACATCAAACACTAAACTACTTTTTAATACACTGAGATCTAAAATCTTTCTAAAAGGGGATTAAACTATAAACTAGTAGCATTGATGTCTTCAAAAGTTTGATAACAAATTAAGATAATGAAACTAAACTGTTTCACAAATTATTATAGATTTAATTAAATAATTAATGAATCAGATATAGAAACTATTATTAAAGGAATAAACTAAGCTATTGGTTTTGGGAACCTTGTATCTTAAACTAATTGAAAAACTTGTCTGGGAATAGTGATAGCTCATTTAAATAAAAGATAAATCTATTTAATTTACCTAAATAACTATTAACTAATAACAATATTTAAACAATATAATTTTTTAAAAGTTACAGTGATTTATTGCCATAATTACAATAAGAATTAAAACTTATTTCAAATATAAACAATTTTTGGTTGAAGTACTATGAAAAATATATCCATCAAAAACTAAAACTTCAAAATGATTGATTTATACCAAAGAACACTAAAATACTTCAGTAGACTCTTTGGGGATAGACTAATCCAATCTAATTTAGATTAATTAATTTTACCTCTTTTTCATAAATTAGAAATAAGAGAAAATAAAAATTTGATTTTTAATTATACTATGGAAGAGATAATAAAGAAGTTAGATGCTGATAAAGATTAATGTATTTACATTTTCATGGCTTAAAATTATATAGAGAAATAATCTTAAGATATATTAAATTAGTATGATACTAATCGAAGAAGAAAAATTTTATGAGTAAAAATTTTGTAAAAATAAAAAGTTAAATAGATTATTTAAAGTTACAATCCTTAAAGTTAAATATGATCTACTAGAAATTTTTAAAATATAAATTTTAAATTTTTGTAAATTTTTATAAGACTAATAGAAATAATCATAATCCCAAGTAAAATTTAATTTGAAACAATAGTAAATATGAAAAAAGAGTTTTAATTTATAATAGAATTTACTAAAAATCCTGAGTCTTAATCACATTAAAATGAAATCATATAATTGAAATGACTTAATTAAAAATAGAAATTATGTGTTGCAATTTCAATTATGATAATTGACTTTATTGCGAAAAGTATTTTATATGATAAGAGAAATTTAACTGATATCATTAATTTAATATCTGATTCACAAGCACTAGTATAAAAATACCAAACAGAATAGGGATAAAGCATTTTCTAATTATTCTTTTCTTTGTAAGTAAACTTTGAAGATGTTTTTCAAAATAAATAATTGGTTTTATAATATAAAAAATAATTAGAAAATATTATCTCTAATTATATTATAAATTAATAGAGTCGTAGCTATAACTAAAAATGGAAAATATTTAAATAAGAAATTCCTATTTATATCCAAAGATTTATTGGAACAACAGAGAAAGTAAATAAATTATTATAATAGAATTATGAAAAGAAGAAAGATTAAAGATGGATATTTTAAAGTACGAATATATTAAATTTAAGGAAAATTAAAAAATAGTTCATGATAAATATTATTTAGATTATAATATTAACACAAATTATTAGTAAATTAATTATACTGTATTTTGATAGGTGCTTTTAAAAAAAACTCTAAAATTAAATTAGAATTTTTTATGCTACATTTCCATTCATATATTTATTTATTTTTTTAATTAAATCTATGCAACAAAATGAAATGATTGAATTAAGGAACCTCAGAAATTTAAAAGAAGGTTATAATGAATTGGAATTATCGCTGTTTAATATGCCTTATAATTCTTAATATATTTTCTATTTCAACCTTACTGATAATAGCAAACTTAGTTCTCAGCTACAAAGCATATAGAAATTAAAAGCTGTATGGGAAAATAGTTTTTTAGGTGAATTGGAATTTTTAGTTGAGTAAAATTAGAAAAAAGCAATAAATTTTTTTTATTTTCAAAACCTTATGTAGTAAAATTAAGAATTTAATATACATGAATTAGTAAAAGTGAGACTTTTTTTACTTAAACTAGCTCAAACTTACCACATTTTTTATTTTAAAGTAATACTTCATTATAACTAAAAAATGATAGAAAATCATAAATTAATACAAGAGCACTTCTATTTGTTATTCGAGGGTTTCTTTACTGAATTATATAGCTTCATATTAGTAATAGAATCTCAAAATGATAAAATAGTATGTTATTTAGGAAATAAATTTTTTTTAGAGGAAAGTTAACCTTTAGAAAAGTAATAATAATAATAATAATAATAATAATAATAATNCTAGTATAAAAATACCAAACAGAATAGGGATAAAGCATTTTCTAATTATTCTTTTCTTTGTAAGTAAACTTTGAAGATGTTTTTCAAAATAAATAATTGGTTTTATAATATAAAAAATAATTAGAAAATATTATCTCTAATTATATTATAAATTAATAGAGTCGTAGCTATAACTAAAAATGGAAAATATTTAAATAAGAAATTCCTATTTATATCCAAAGATTTATTGGAACAACAGAGAAAGTAAATAAATTATTATAATAGAATTATGAAAAGAAGAAAGATTAAAGATGGATATTTTAAAGTACGAATATATTAAATTTAAGGAAAATTAAAAAATAGTTCATGATAAATATTATTTAGATTATAATATTAACACAAATTATTAGTAAATTAATTATACTGTATTTTGATAGGTGCTTTTAAAAAAAACTCTAAAATTAAATTAGAATTTTTTATGCTACATTTCCATTCATATATTTATTTATTTTTTTAATTAAATCTATGCAACAAAATGAAATGATTGAATTAAGGAACCTCAGAAATTTAAAAGAAGGTTATAATGAATTGGAATTATCGCTGTTTAATATGCCTTATAATTCTTAATATATTTTCTATTTCAACCTTACTGATAATAGCAAACTTAGTTCTCAGCTACAAAGCATATAGAAATTAAAAGCTGTATGGGAAAATAGTTTTTTAGGTGAATTGGAATTTTTAGTTGAGTAAAATTAGAAAAAAGCAATAAATTTTTTTTATTTTCAAAACCTTATGTAGTAAAATTAAGAATTTAATATACATGAATTAGTAAAAGTGAGACTTTTTTTACTTAAACTAGCTCAAACTTACCACATTTTTTATTTTAAAGTAATACTTCATTATAACTAAAAAATGATAGAAAATCATAAATTAATACAAGAGCACTTCTATTTGTTATTCGAGGGTTTCTTTACTGAATTATATAGCTTCATATTAGTAATAGAATCTCAAAATGATAAAATAGTATGTTATTTAGGAAATAAATTTTTTTTAGAGGAAAGTTAACCTTTAGAAAAGTAATAATAATAATAATAATAATAATAATAATAATAATAATAATAAAAATAATAAAAATAATAATATAGGTTTTCCTAAAACAAAAATAATTATAAGTTAAGCTAAATATTAAACCAAAACTCACAAGAACAAGATTTTATACTTTTTGAAAGCTATTCAGTAGATAAAGAATTTACTTACTAATTAGATTCAAAATTACCATATTAAATTTTTATGTATAATGAAAATTATTCGGTGGGCTTTGATTGTTTCATGTACGTATAATAAGAAATGAACGTAATCTCTGAAAAAATAGCTAATAATCTAAAAATATTTTAAGAAAAAATTTAATATTTACTTGATTTACCAGTTAATTAAAATAATGAAGAACATTAAGATGATAATATTGAAAAATATTTTGATTACATCTATTCTCTCATAAATGAATTCGATAAAGTTATAAATTGTAGAAATTTATCTTTAACAAATGTTAATAAATAGATTGAAAAGATTATTAAAGATTGGGAACCTAAAATTTTGAATAAATTTCAATCTATAGCATAGGCATAATAAAATTTGAGATAATATATCAATAATGAAAAAATTTTTGATTAATAATTAAATCTAACAGAATTCGATTTAGAAATATTAAATTTTTTTTAAAATTATGGTACAGATATATTTTATCGTAAAACAGAAATTATGTAATTGTAAAATTAGTTGTGGGTGAAATACTTTAAAAAACATCTTCCTTAAAGTTTTCAAATTTTTAATATAGATCCATTTTAGGATAATACTGAGGATAAGCCTAAAGTTTGCTTGTTAGGTCTTACAAAATCTGGTAAGAGTACAATTTTGAGTAACTTAATTAATCCAAGAAATATGAAAATAATATAAAGTTGTAATGAAAGGATAGTTTTCGATGCAATTGAGTAGCAACCTAATCTGTAAATTTCTGGAGCTTTAAATAGTGAAACCGCATCTGCATTTTGTATTGAAATTGATAATTTTATATTTACTGACACACCTGGATTTCTTGATACAAATAGTTAAAAAAGATTCAAGAATTAGATAACTATCTTTAATTAATTACAAAAATCTCCATAAATTATATTTTTGATCATAATAGATGCCAAAGAGTGGACCAGAATGAAAAATGACATTATCGAAACAATTAAACATATCAATACATTCTTTGGCAAAAAATTATATAACTCTAATTTACAGTAATTTATTTTACCTGTTTTTAATAAAATAAACAAACATACCATGGAGGAGATTAAGATTAAGTGGGAAAATGAATTTATGAAAGACCTGGATGATAATGAAATCAGATAATTTTTTAAAATAATNCGTATAATAAGAAATGAACGTAATCTCTGAAAAAATAGCTAATAATCTAAAAATATTTTAAGAAAAAATTTAATATTTACTTGATTTACCAGTTAATTAAAATAATGAAGAACATTAAGATGATAATATTGAAAAATATTTTGATTACATCTATTCTCTCATAAATGAATTCGATAAAGTTATAAATTGTAGAAATTTATCTTTAACAAATGTTAATAAATAGATTGAAAAGATTATTAAAGATTGGGAACCTAAAATTTTGAATAAATTTCAATCTATAGCATAGGCATAATAAAATTTGAGATAATATATCAATAATGAAAAAATTTTTGATTAATAATTAAATCTAACAGAATTCGATTTAGAAATATTAAATTTTTTTTAAAATTATGGTACAGATATATTTTATCGTAAAACAGAAATTATGTAATTGTAAAATTAGTTGTGGGTGAAATACTTTAAAAAACATCTTCCTTAAAGTTTTCAAATTTTTAATATAGATCCATTTTAGGATAATACTGAGGATAAGCCTAAAGTTTGCTTGTTAGGTCTTACAAAATCTGGTAAGAGTACAATTTTGAGTAACTTAATTAATCCAAGAAATATGAAAATAATATAAAGTTGTAATGAAAGGATAGTTTTCGATGCAATTGAGTAGCAACCTAATCTGTAAATTTCTGGAGCTTTAAATAGTGAAACCGCATCTGCATTTTGTATTGAAATTGATAATTTTATATTTACTGACACACCTGGATTTCTTGATACAAATAGTTAAAAAAGATTCAAGAATTAGATAACTATCTTTAATTAATTACAAAAATCTCCATAAATTATATTTTTGATCATAATAGATGCCAAAGAGTGGACCAGAATGAAAAATGACATTATCGAAACAATTAAACATATCAATACATTCTTTGGCAAAAAATTATATAACTCTAATTTACAGTAATTTATTTTACCTGTTTTTAATAAAATAAACAAACATACCATGGAGGAGATTAAGATTAAGTGGGAAAATGAATTTATGAAAGACCTGGATGATAATGAAATCAGATAATTTTTTAAAATAATAAAAGATCAAATTGATAAAGGTTATTACATTTAATTATATGATGCTTAAATTTATATAGACAATAAAGAAATTTAAGATTTAGAGAAATAATATTAAGATATATAAAACTAATAAGATAAACTAATTCGAGAAAAAAAATTTAATTAGTTAGAATCTTGTATGAATGATAAGGAAAAAATACAAATTTAAATAGATTATTTAAAGAAACAATCCATAAAAGTTAATTATGATCTACTAAAAGAAATTAAAATATAAATTCTAAATTTGTGTAGATAATTATAAGATGAATAGTAAAAATCATAATCTAAAGTGTAATTTAGATTAAAACTAATTCCTGATTGGTAGGATCATTACAATAAACTTGTAAAATATTAAGATGATTTATGTGATCATATTTTAAAGACGATAACTAGAGTGATTGTAACAAATCTTATAAGTAATCATTAAAGAAAATTAGATGATGTCATTTTACTAATATCTTAAATATTAACATTAGCTTAAAACTATAAGGAAGAATAGAATTTTAGCATTCTCTAATTTTTCGATTCTTTAAAAGAAATGTTTACAGAGGCTTTTCAAAATGAATACTTGCTAAATAAATAAATATAATAATAGAAAACTATAAATATTATTTCTAGTTATATTGAGAATGGACAATAAATTAACAAAATACAAATTGATTGCTTAATCTAAGTTCTTAATAATTTAAATGAAACTTGTAATAATGTACCAAATAATATATCTTTTAATGACTTTAGCTTTAAATGGAAAAAATTTAAATTAACAATTTATATTTTTTGGTTAAGATGTATTAACTAAGAAGAGAAAGCAAATTTAGTAATAAGAGAGAATTCTAAATAAATAGAAAAACTCAAGATGGATTTGCTATAGTAGTAAGCTATTAGGTTTAATGTTGATTAAAATAATAGTTATGATGATAAATGATTATTAAGATAATAATATTTACAATTAAAATTAATTTGAAAGAACAAAAATATTTGTATCTCATCAGAAATTTTAATTTTCTTTTAATTTATAAAATTATAATATTTGCCCTTTAACTAAAAAGAAACTGTGAGTAAAAAGTAAAGAATCATCTATAATATAATTAAAAATTATTAATTGATATTTTTATTAAGATAATCTTCTAATAATTTAATTTTTATCTTAATCGTTTTATTAGTTTTTCGTCATTTAAACTTAGTTATATAAAAAAATCATTTAAAAATTGAAATATATTTCACATTTTATAATTTTGATTACTATGAGATAAAGAGCTACTTTGATATAAAAAATCTAAAAGAGTATCTTAAATTAATTTATTTATTTCTTTCCTTGATTTTTTTTGCATTTGCATTTATCTAAACTTAAACAACAATGGATTGATTCCTTAAAATATTGAATATTTGATTTTTTGGGCTTTATTTTGAATTAAGTTTAAAGGTTTGTTTATAATGTTCCAAATAATTACTAACACAAATGAATTAATCCTTAAATAACATGATATTTTAGTTTATCATAATTTATGTAAGTATTTTATGATTTGTTAATATTTATAACTAACGTTTAAAGATAAATAAATTATCATAGAAATCAATAAAATAAAAAGTTAAAGGGAAAGTTTAATATTTTAAATTAAAATAAAAAAAATTAAAGAAAATTAATTTTTTATGAAATAAATGTTGATTCTATGTAATATACATTTTTGAATATAGAACTACCCAAAAATAGAATTTAAATTGATATGGTTTAATAAATGAAGGAGATGAAATATATTGTTAGTAAATTTTGATAATTATATAATTATAAAATAATTCAAATTGCAAATGCAGCCATCGAAATAATAATAATAGTTATCAGTGTAAGCATAAAAAGAGAGAGGTAATAAATGAGATGATAGTTAGATCGCTTAAAAGCATAGCGAGAAGGATAATTAAATAAAAAAGAATAAGCTCTAAATAAATTAAGTGATGAGGAAGTAATAGCGTAATTAAAGGCAAAAGGTTTAGGTGTATATGGAACAAAATAAGAGAAATTAGATAGATTAAAGAAAGCAAATGGTATATTTGTAAAGAGTATATAAAGGAATTGAATTAAATATTAAGCAAGAGCAAGTTCCTCAATAATAATAATAATAGTAATAAGCATAGCAATAATAATAACAATAATAATAAATAGTTGTATAATAATAAGTTCAATAACCAAAAGGGTCAGTAGTTGACAATATAAAAAAGATGGAATAGTAAAGAGAAGAGCGTCGTAAAAATATGTAAGAAATGAAAAGAGAGAAAGCAGAGAGAGAAGAATAAAATTAAATATTAGGTAAAAATGTAGATGTAGAATTTGAAATAATGATTGATAAGAGTAGACTTAAAGGTGGATTAATTTAAGAACATTAAACAACATAAAATATAAAATTATGTGTATGCGTTAGAAAGAGACCAATATTTAAAAAGGAAGAAGTAGGAGGAGAAATCGATGCAATAAGTTGTTCAAATCCAATGATAAGAGTACATGAACCTAAATTAAAAGTAGATGGAATAACTAAATATGTAGAAAATCATGATTTTTAATTTGATAATACATTTAGTGAAGTTGAATAAGGAAAAGACATTTACGATGTTAGTTTAGCTCCATTGATGGATTTATTGGTTAATTAAGGAGTTGTAACATGTTTTGCTTATGGTTAAACAGGTTCTGGTAAAACTTATACAATGAAAAGTATTTAAGAATTATTAGCAACTGATATATATAAATTAATTAGTACAACACCATCTTATAAGATATTTGTATCATTTTTTGAGATTTATGGTGGAAAATGTTATGATTTATTGAATAACAAAGCACCATTGTAAATATTGGAAGATAAAAATAATAATATATAAATATAAGGATTAGTTGAAAAACCAAGTGAATCAGAACATGAACTATTTTAATTGATGGAATTAGCTAATTCAGTTAGAACTACTCATGCAACTGTTGCAAATGATACATCATCAAGATCTCATTCAATATGTTAAATTGCAATAAGATAAGGGTATTCAGATATTGGTAAATTAATATTGGTTGATTTGGCAGGCTCAGAAAGAGCATAAGATACTTAATCAAATAATAGATAAAGAAGATTGGAAGGAGCTGAAATTAATAAAAGTTTATTAGCTTTAAAAGAATGTATCAGAGCTATGGATTCAGGGTAAGGACATGTACCTTTTAGGGCATCTAAACTAACTTTAGTCTTAAGGGATTCATTTACTGCTAAATCCAATAAATCAAGAATCATTATGATAGCTTGTATTAGTCCTGGAAGTTCATCTGCTGATCATTCATTAAACACTTTAAGATATGCTGATAGATTAAAAGATAAATCTAATTAAGCTAAACTTTAATTAGAAGAAAGAGAAGTTACAAATGAAGAATTATTATATAGACAATAATAAGGTCATGATAGACAATCTGATAAAAATTTAGATAATAAATAATAATTATTAGAGAAATAAAATCCTCCATTATAATTACCAAAAATTAATGATGCTAGAAATTAAAATAATTAAAATGCTGCTAATGTTAAAAAGAATTAATCATAAATTCCAGAAAAAGAAAAACCAAAATCATAACCTGTGCCTCCAAAATAATAGAAAAAAGTTAATACAGTATAAGAAGATTCAGATGATGAAGTTGCAGCTGAAGAATTAGTTAATAAAAATAATGGGTAAGTCAAAGAAGATGTTAGATGCATGAAAGAAACTATGATGAAAAATTAATAAAATAATGCTAATGGAAATGGAAATGAATTCTTTGATCTTCATGAAAAAATTAATACAATCTTTGAAGAGTAAGATGAAATACTAAATATTCATATGGCAGCCATTAAAGTATTATTATCTATCTATTCTATATAGGAAGATGCTAAATTATTATAATAAGAAAGCGAACTAATTCAGTCAATCTAAGGAGTTGGAATTGTAGATTATGATGTAGATACTTATGTTTCTAATTTAGAAGCTTTCATCAAAAAAAAACTTAAAATCTATAATTTGTTGAATAAAAAACTGTTAGTTTTTAAGTATTTATTATACATATTAAAAATAGAACACATCTGAAAGAAGAAGAAGAGATTAGTTCCAAAATGAAGAATACATTTTATTATTGAAAATGTATAAGTTAATTATAATATTATTATAAATCTCTTAATTATTTATTACTAATGCTATTATTTCATTGATAAAGCTCATCTAAAAAAGGTTCAAATCTTCAAATCATGAATAAGTAGATATTCTTTATAAATTTATTTATATCGAATTAATAATAAATAAAATATAATTAATTTGAATATTAATTGAAAAATAAATAAAAAAATTCTTAGAAAATCATGTTATTAACATTTTTTTTCAATTAAGATTATTTTATTTAATATTATTCTAAAGATTTATCTATTGATCATGAGGTTTAATATATACTTTGATTTCTCAAATTTTAAATGTTGTTTTTAAAATATTTCAATAACTTATATTTTAAACCTTTAATTTAGTTTAATATTTATTAGTTTGGCATAAAGTAAAAGTCTTTATCCTGTTAAAATCATAATTTTTTTATTTTAACCTTATTTTTTTATAATATATCCAACATAAAAAATTTACTCAGTCACTTATAATAAATTTCCTTCAAGAATATTTACTTGAAAGTTTAATTTTTTATATTCAATTACAAATTATTCCATTTTTTGTTTATTTTAAGTAAACACTATAAATAAGAGTTGGATAGAATACTGATTTAAAAATAGATCAAGATTATCAATATAAGTTATATAATGTATTATGGAAATAAATATAAATTTTCATTTTAATATATATATAATAAAAATGGATGAACCATAGGTAGTAAAAATAATAGTTGTTGGTGAATCATATGCAGGGAAGACATCATTATTATAATAATACTGTTTTAATGAATTTGATCATAATCATTGTGCAACAATTGGTTGTGATTTCACTTTAAAGTTGATAACAAAAAATGGTACAAAATTGAAGTTATAGATTTGGGATGTGGCTGGTATGATTAAATATAAATTGATAGGATAGGAGAGATTTTAGAATTTATCAAAAATGTTTATACGATAAGCAAAGGGTTGTTTAATAATGTGCGATATTACGAATAAGAAATCTTTGGAAGCAGCTTTGTCTTGGCGAAATGTTGTTAAAGATATTGCAGATGACGTTCCTATATTCTTAATTTAAAATAAAACAGATTTATTGTAAGGAGAGAGAGAAGAATACTAAACAGAAGAATATTTAAATCAATTCGCACAACAAAACAATTTTACTCGTAGTTACTAAATTAGTGTGAAATTGAATGATAAAGTGGAATTAATATTTTACGAGCTTGTTGAAGTCATGATAGAGAAAGGAGTGATTAAATTAGAAGAAAGTATAATAAAGAGGTATGAATATTAACGTATGAAAGTTCTTTTGTAATTAAAAATGATCATAATGATCGCCATAAATCAAAGAAAAAAGAATGTTGTTGAATATATACATTATCTTGTTACTAATTATTTATTAAGACTTAAAAAAATTATAAGATAATTTCGATATCATTATTCTTCATTCATACACATCACAATAAGCTTGCCTTGTTAAGATGTTTGATCTGTTAATTATTTTATTTTTAGAACAAACTATAAAAGGAGCTGCTCTATCTTCAATTTTTGTGATTTCTCCATTTTCAATAATAATGATTCCTGGGTCAAGTGTTCCAATAATTAAAGTTTATTAATCTTAATTATTAATAATTGCAAGTTAAACTATTGCACTACTCATTTAATATTCATAAAGCTTTTAAAAATCTGGAAATGTTGACAATATAGCTTTACCACTTGAATCTCCTGTGAATATTTAATTACCTTCAATATTATGATGCATGATTTAACCTTTATGTCCAATATCAATAACTTTGTCATTGAATGATATTTTATTACCCATAACATATAATATATCATCATGAGATGCTAATTAAGTAACCCAAGGTTGATTGTTTTGAACAGATATTAATTCAATGCTATCTAAATCATATATTAATAATTTTTCAGAAGTTGTTCCTACATATAATTATTCTTTATGAACACATATAGAAAGTGGAATTTCTGGTAATTAAGTTATTTTAGGCTCTTGATCACCTTTATAAATTTTCAAAGTTCCATTTACTGAAGTAATAATATGATAATCATTATAAATAAGAGCATCTGCTATTGCATATTCATTTCCTTCCTTCTTATACAATAATTTCAAAGTTTCAAAATCCCAGACTGATAAATCGTGATCATTGCCAATACTAACGAATGCATTTAGTTTTGGGTGTTTAACAAACTTAAAAAGAGTACCATGTAATGAAATATCAATTAATAGAGAATGTACTCTTTTTCCTTTAATCATAAAATAATATTAATAATATAAATTTCAAGACACAAGTGCATTTTCACCAGGCATAGGTTCTAATGGAATATCTTCAACTTTAAGAGGAACTTCATTCATTATTGTGTAGTTTTTCAATTTTTAATATAGTACTCTTCTGCACATCAATAAAAGCACTAATAAGAATATTATTAAACCACTAATAATGTAAATTAAAAAATTTTTACCCTAATATACTTCCTAAAGCAATCACAAATGTTTCATCTTCTTCAAAAAAGAATATTTCTTTACCAATTACAGTAAAGTTATGATAAATTACACATTATGAAAATGGAGAATAATCATTTTCAGATTCTTTAGCACTACATTAAGTTGAATTCATTATTAATGAATAATGCTAATTAAATAGATAAACATATATATTACAGTAGTATCAGTTGTTGGTTGTCTACATTGCAACCATGGGAAAATACTTTTTATGGAAAATATATTGATATTATTATCAGAGATACCAACCATAAATGCTTATTTATAATATATGGTTGCTTTTTAAAATGGTTCAAAATCGAATGCATTTTGGTTATATAATTTTTTATTTTTCACTTTGAATTCTTCTACATTTTCCAAACCAAAATCTTCAAAAAATAATGGAACATCTATTTTATTTAAATATTTATTGTATATTGAATGATAAATAACTCTATGAATTTCTTACCCTATAAGAATTGCATAATGTTCTCCCATATAAACATCAAAGATATCCATATCTTTAGAATAAATTCTATTAAAGTAATAATCATTATTATCTAAGAACACTTCAATTGCATAGGGATCTCCTGAATCAGTATTAGCTACAAATATAAATGTTTTTTAATAAAAATCGAAAGAAACAATATTTTTTAAATTCACAGTGATACCAGTATCCTCATATTAATTAATAGAAAATATTTCATAAATTAATAATCCAGAATCTCCATTTAATAAATAGAGTTGAGTGCTTTCTTCATTTGTTAATACTTCTAAAAAATTTCCCTCAATATTTAAATTAGTTAGAAACTATAGGTCTTCATTGTTATTAAATAAATAGACATCAATACCCTCTCTACCATAAGCGGCATAGAGAGTTTATAATTTCTAGCAATAATGAATATGCTATGGATATTATTTATTATTCAAATTTAATTAGGTAAATTGATCACTAATTAAATTGACTAATAAAGCATCATTTAAAGTAAAGATTATACAATAATTAGAATTACATACAATTTAATGTGCATCACTTTCTTATTTTATGGATGGAATTTTATTTATTTTTACTTTTTTGAAATTTTTAATAGTATCACCATCAAAATCGATTTCCATAACAACAAAATGATTGTCACTTCGAGTTGCATAAACATAATTATTTTCAATAAATAAAGCTGTAAAGTATGCATTAGTAGAATTTGTTGTAAATGTTTCAAGAAAGAGATCTTAATAAACTAATCTTCTTGCATATGGATAACAATCATATAAAGTGAATGGATCAATAGTTGTATTAGGCATCATTTCAAAAGATTCATCATCTATTACTTTATTAAGCTACATTTCATAAACTCCAGGATAACTAATATATAAATTTATCTAAACTCTATACCTATTATATTACAATAATAAGGTTTATCCTATATTTGTATTGTATTCTGTGTGTTAAATATGTTCATTTATTCTTGTTAATTAGGGTTCAAGGATCCTCTGAAATTTGGCTATAGTAAATAAATAAAAAATAAACATAAATTTAAAATGAAAACAAAATAAATTATTATTACGAAAAATCTATTCACTAGATTTGATTATTCAGTTGTTAAAATATTTTTTATTTTGATTTTTAATTCTTTATCTTTTAGATCACTCCCATAATGCTTCCAATTTTCAATTAATGAACTTTTAATGGTTCATCTGGAATAATAAGTTTTTCCTTTTTTAACATCATTTCCAATTTAGTAGTTATTATATTAACATTCTTCTATTTAACAAATTTAATAGCTGGAGTAGTAATTTTTCGATTGCTTTCAATAGATTATTAAGATACACTTCTTAATTTTGCAATTTTAGTCATAAAATCATCAATGGCTTATTTACTACAATTACTATCTTTCAATCTTTATCTAATTCCTGTCATTATTGTATTGTTTCTATCTGGCACACTCTTACGTAATGATTCATTCAATTATTCCATTGTACTCGCTTCTATTGAAGCCTATTGTTTAGAATACAAATCAGCAACACTTTAATTATTGGAAATTATCAACTCTATCCATAATGCACAACTTTACTCTTGTGTATGATTCTTTTTGGACTTTATGTAATGAAAGTATTTTGATATTTAGGTGGCGATGGATGTTATACTAATGTTCTCTCTGTTATTGATTTTATCTAATGATGATTCAATTTTATTATTCTTGATTTCTTTTCCTCTCTCTCTTAAGTTTTCTCTCTATATGAAATTATTCGAGGTTAACTGTTGCAAATTGTTTTCTTCTTCAATCGTTAATCTAACAATGCAATTATCTCATCAATATTTTCTGGCTCTGTACAATCTATTGATTTATCCTTTAAATGCATTTTTGCTATTTCTTACTGCAATTTTTTTATATTCATTACAATCGAATGTAAATATGAAAAATAATCTTACTAACTATTATTTGTTGTCATATATTCTAAATAACTAACCTTTTATAATGCCCTTTGACTTAAACCCAATTTATTCATTGCTGTTTAAGTTGCTTAACAATTGAAATCAATCCTTTATTCTAAAATTTATTTCATCTCATGAATTGGCAATTTATTCATATATTAATATAATTTATATTAATAGAAACATTTAAACTTATTATTATTTATTATTATTATTACTGTTATATTTTTTGGAGTAATAACAAAATTAAAAAATTAAAAAATTCTGATTGATTATTTGTAATTAAAATATAAAGAGAAAATAATAAATAAATAGATAAGAAGAATAAACCATTTATATTCTATTAAAAGCTGTAAGAGATGGAGAATTAATAAATTAATATATATATATATAATTATTATTATTTAAACCAATTTAATATATTTCAACTTGATAGATTGAAAAAACATATGATCTTCCCTCTTAATAAAGGATAAAATGCTAGATTTTTTTAATGCAAAGATTTCTTTTAAGATATGTGAGAATATACTCAGATAGGATAAAAAATGAATGATAAGATTATATGTTAAGAGACTAAATAACAGATATATTGATATAAACTTTAATTTCTCTCTCTCAGAAAAAAATTAGGTGTAGAATTTTTAATTTAATCCTGAGAGAAAAAATAGAAAAAGAAATAATTCTAACCATATATTTTATGAGTTTCAATATTAAGAAAATGATACAACAGAAATTCCTCGCTTTACATTGATGTTTTTCAAAATATTTGCTTTGGAAATGGCATTTCATCCAGACTTTCCAATAAATTTGTTGCGTTTTTTGATGTAATTTCAAATTTGCTGCATCAACTAGATTATTTAAAGTTAATTATTAATATTTTAATTTGATAATTATATTTAGTATAATTATTTATTGGTATTATACTCATATAAATCACTGATGGGCAGTTGGGTATTAAAAAAAAAAGAACGGGAGATAGAATAATTAATATATTTGATGATAAGAAGTTAATTAGCTTAAAAAAATATAAGAAATTGTTAAAAAAAATGAAATACTCACAAGAAAGTAAGAATAGAAGATCAAAATAACTTTAGCAGCAAAACATTATTAGTAATTTAAGAATTCATAATTAGTAAGAAAGTTGAAAAAAATTACCTAAGAGATTAATTATTAATAGTTAGTAAGAATTTTGGATTTTTAGTTATATATATAATTATTATGATTATATATTATAATTATAATGTTATAATATTAAGAAAATAAAACACCTAAAATTGATTTAATTTAAGAAATGTTTATAAGAGAATAAAAATGTAAAAATAAAAGATATAAATGTTTGTATGTATAACATAATTAATAAATTATATTTTCAATTCATGGTGTACTCTTATCTCTCATGAGAAGGTACTAATTATAATTTTGGTTTGATATTCATAGCCAATAACTCTTAGAATAATAGTTTACAACAATAAGGTAAGGTAATTTAATAAACTTTATCAGTATTACAACCTCTACAAATGGAATCACTTTTAAACATTCCACAGATTTCACAGACATACACATTAAATGGATCACTGGATAATAATAATCTTTCAATTAAAAGATTAGATGCACCATAAGCTAAGAAACAATCTCTTTCCATTTCTCCAATACGTTATCCACCATCTTTAGCTCTACCTTCAACAGGTTAACGAGTAAGTTTTTCCATTGGTCCTTTAGCTCTAGCATGAATCTTATCAATGACCATATGTTTAAGTCTTTAATAGAAAATAGGACCTTGATATACATAACATTCCATATATTCTCCAGTGATCCCAGAAATAAGACAGTCTTTACCTTAAAAATGAAATCCTCTACGTAATAATTCTTCTCCTACTTATAATACATTTTCTCCACCAAATGCAGTTCCATATTTAAATTTACCTTCTAATGCACCTAACTTACCACAAAGTAGTTCCATAAGTTTTGCTATAGTCATTCTAGAAGGATAACCATGAGGATTCATTATTAAATCAGGACACCAACCTCTTTCATTAAATGGCATATCCTCCTAATTAACAATAAGACCAACAACACCTTTTTAACCATGACGACTTGAAAATTTATCTCCTAATTCAGGTCTTCTTATTTATCTAAATATAGTCTTAACAGTTTTTATTTTCTCTGTTCCATCATTTGTATTATTTATTATTAAAACTCTATCAACAGTATATGGCCATTTCTCTTTGAAAACAGAAGGAGTATCTGATATTTAAATATTTTCAGTAGAAGCATTATCAGGAACTTGAGGTGTCTTTTTATTTACATATATATCTCCTTGATGTAATTATGATCCTACTTTAGTTATACCATCATTATCTAGAGAATGGTATTTCTTTAAAAATTTCTTTTTGATCTCATGAGTTTTTATTGGTGGCTTTTCAATTCTTTCATTGAATCTACTTTCCTTATTTCTTTGATTAATTTCACATTCAGTTACTGATTTCTTATAAACTGCTGTTCTACCAAATCCTCTATCTAAAGAAGATTTATTCATTATTAAAGCATCTTCAATATCATAACATGAATAACTCATTACTGCTACTTATGCATTATGTCCTGCAGGTAATTTATGTTAATTAACTGCTTCCATTGATACTGTACGAACTAAAGGAGTCTAAGGATATATTAATTGATATAATTAAGTATCACATCTTATTTATGTATTCAATCCAATTATTCCTAATGATTATTTACCCATTTGACATTAAAATGTATTACGTGCACTTTAATTATGATGAGGAAATGGAACCAAACCTGTTACACAACTCAAAATTGTCATTTAATCTATCTCTAAATGAGTAGTTTCTATTGTTACATCTTTCCTAGTCAATGCAATAAATGCATTATCAGATTCATTCACATCTAAATATTCAATCTTTCCTGTTTTTACAAAATTTTAAAATACTGTTTTTGCATCATTCTATTTAAAATCAATCATATCCTTTTAATTTAATTGAGCTTTACCATCTTTTACTAAAATTAATGGTCTTACTAATCGACCACTATCACCTGATATATTTACTATTTTTCTTAAATCATCCTTATGAATTGAAACAAATTCATTTATCTTACCTTTCCTTCTTAAAATTCTTAATTAATCAACAAAATATTAAGGTCTTGCATGTACACCAACTATGATACCATTTAAATAGACAATATAATTTTTATGAAATTCACTTGGTTTGAAATGACATATATCTTCTACACCCATAGACAATATAATTTTATAAACACTATCTTGAATATCTTCTTAAGTAATATGTGTTAATAAAGCCAAAGTCTTAACTAAACCACAATCTTCACCATCAGGAGTGTCAGCAGGACATATCATACCAAATTAAGATCCAACCAATGCTCTTGGACCACTTACTTTAAGTGTTTTTTAGACTTGACTTCTCATTTTGGTCAACATACCAAGTGCAGATGTATAAGATATTCTAGCTAACAATTATGTAACTCCTTATCTATCCATATGAAATCTTTGAATTGTCCATTTTCCTGTTTTAATAGCTCTATTCAATCCTTTAGTAATATCAGCTCCATATTCTTTCATTTTGATTGTAACATCTTTAGAAGTATATTTACAATTAGCTTTGCCTAATTCTTTTTTAAGAATAGCAGATATGGTAGAATTTAATCCTTTAAATAAATCTTCAAACAACAATTCAAGTAGATTACCTGCACATCTCATTCTTTTATTTCCATAATAATCCTTATCATCTACAAACTTTTTATCTTCCATAGCCAATATTAATCTTCTTACCATTTATCCTAAATATATAGCCTTAGGATAGAAATCATATTTTTTGCAATTAACATGAGCTAAAAAGACTTATGCTAATTTCTCTCTAGCTTAATCTGCAGGATTAGAAGATTACCCTCCAAATTTACTTGTAATTAATTTCCCAATATATATTAATGCATCCTATTAAGTTTTTATTTTTTCATCTGAGGAATCTTAAAAACTCATTAATAATTTTTCGACAATACTAGGCTCAGTTCCAATAAGTTCAATAATCTCTTTGTCATTTACAATACCTAAAGCTTTAAAAACTATAAAAAGAGGAGCATCTTTGAAACTTGAAGATTTTACATAAAATTTATTCTTTTTTTAAATAATTGAAGCTTTTGATTTAGTTTCTAATTAATAAGATTAAACAGTTGACACATATTAATCTGTTTTATTATCAACATCTACAATAATTCTATTATCTACAATCTATTCTAATATTAAGATGACTTTCTCATTGCCTTCAATAATAAAATATCCTAAAAACCTAATTCATATTATTGTTACCTTTGGGATCATAGGGGCACTCCCCATATTAATAAATTTCAGCTTCTGTTTTACCAGAAAGATTGCATTTCTTTGATCCCAACATTATTGGCATCCTACCAATTAGAACATCTTTCTCTACTACAGGTTCTCTTCCTTTCATATGAATACGAACATTCACGCTATTTTAATTTTTAATATCAATTACAATATATCTCCAGCATAAGTCTAATCATTCAATCTACATTCATGAGGGTATAGCAAACTTTTCATAGAGTATTTATCCCAACTGCTTGTAAATGTTGGATTTTCAACTCTGATTGATAAATATCTATATTATTATGATGATGATTTTTTACTCCAAAAGGAAAGCTGAATCACTTTCACAAGTAATTCTTTAATTCAAAGGAGATTTAACTATCTACTCTAAACGTTATTCAATAAAGTAATTGAAAGAATCTATATGTTATTTTTGTAATCCTCTAAAAGATAAATATGATGTTATTAGTTTATCCTTTTCAATTAGTTCATCCTTCTAAGAAATCATTAATTTTATTATTTATGGGTGACAATAATTCAGATGGTATACAAATATTGAAGACTCTACTTACAGCTGATGTACCTGCCGAAGGATCTGTAATACAATCTATTAGAAATGTAATACTCTTATCTAATTATAGAAAGTGAATTCATTACTCAATAACAAATAATAGATTTCCATTTTATAAGAATTACAATAAGCGTATTAATCATTACTATTTCTTTTTTTAGCAATCTTGATAATGAATTTAAAGAAATGACTGATAATACACTTATGGGATTAAATGCTATTTATTTTTCATCTGTCATACTTACTTAATTTATGTTTACTCGAAAAGTAAGTAAAGTTGTTTTCCTTCTCAGTTGTGCTTATTTTAACTTTTATATCATTCAACCAATTGAAGTCGAGTACAAATTACGTAAATTATCTTTACAAAATACTCTTGCAGGATAAGAAGTCAGAAATCTATATAGATTTTATTTCAAAGATCATGATTTTACTAAGGAAATGACAGAAAAATGCAAATTGTATACATAAGCTGATGAAATTAAAAAATAAATTTATTCCAGAAAATTATGATGTTAACTATCCTTATTTCTTTATATTTTGACTTCATTTATAAAGATGTATTCAATTTATTTATGATCACATCTATCTATATTCTTCTTGTTTAATATTTATATATTTAAGAAAGTGAAAACATTCTATTCTGTTTTCTATTAATAATATCTAACAAATTTTTAACACTCATTACAATAATTTATGGGTAATTTAATAAAATTATCCTTTTGTTAAAATTTCTAATCTTTCTTTATTTTTTATTTGATCATTATTAAAAGTGAATCTTACAAAATAACATTATTAATCTAATTGTTTATTTATATATATTTTTTTGATAAGTAAAATTTTAAATGAATCTCTATGGAATTGGAAATAAAAAACAGTGATTTTTTTATGTTATTTACTTTGAGATGAACAAAAATGAAGTAAATCTATGCTACACAATTATTTTAGAATGATAAAATTCATAAATATATTTACACCATCAAATTTCTTTGAAACTTACAGGATCAACTGAGAATTCAATTTCAAAAGCAGTAGGCTTAAATCTTTCCTTATATATTAATTAGAATCGAGGTTATCTTATTGGAAACATTTTATAAGCATATAGTGAATGTACTCTATAACCTCTCTCTTTTGTCTACTCTGTAATTACTTTCAATGTATTAAGATAATGCTTATAACAATTATTTGCACATTTATTCGACAATCTCTAACCATCAAAGCATACTTCAAAACATTATGCCACTAAATCCAAATTTATTCAATTTTACCATACTTTTTAAATATCATCAATCAACTCTTTTCTCTCTTCATTATTCATTTTTTATGTATTTTTATATATATATATAACAAAAATATTAATCATTCTTTTTCTTTTTATTCCAACTTCTCACTTAATTCTAGTATGACATTATCTCTTAATTCGATTTCATCCTACAAATTACTAAATTATGCTTCTATTACTGCTATTCGTTCTCTCAACTATAAATAATCCTTCAAATAATTTTACAATATCATTTTCATCAAAACAATGCTTCAATATTAACTTGTGCAATTTTAATTATTGAATTAGTGTTTATTTGTCCATGTTCTCAAATTAAACCTCCTCTAATGAATTTTTAACATTATTGATTTCTGCGTTTGTTGGTTAAATCTGTTTTTCTATATTTCCACTCTTCTCTACTTTCTCCCCTAATGTTGCTGATAATTTATCTCCTTTGTTCACTTAAGAAACATTTGAAAATGGAATTCTTGCTGTAGCCATTTTAATAATATTAATAATAATAATTTATATTAGCCCGCGCTTTCAATTCAATAATGTCCCGCTAATTCATTTTCATTAATAATGTAAATATAATATTCATTTTATTAATATGTATTTTTAAAGGAAACTCAAAATAATCATATATAAGAATAAATAAAGCAAATAATCATTATTTCGGCAATGATTCTATTTCTTCTTAAAGGATATTTTAAACACATTTTGGATATTCATAATTCTTAAATCCACGAAATAATGGAGTATATTCTTTCTATTTAAATAAATTATTAATAATACTAAATATGCCAGTATATTTTTGGCCATCTAATCCTTTTTAATTGTAAATGAAGGAATAATTAAATCTGGCATAGTTGGAACATTCTCTCTATTAAATACTCTTAATTTATGTTCTTCAGGATCCATTCTTCCATTCCCTTTAATTATCTTATTTTTGGATGTTATATTTAATATAGGAGGTTTCTTCTTAAATTTCTTTTAATAAATGATTATTTAATACTGCAAATAATAATGGATTTTATCTTTTCTCATATATTCTTTAAAGTGTATGATCATAAATTTCCTCTCTCTTTTTCACTGCCTCTAAGTATGATATTTTCTCACTCTCAATTTTAGGTCTTGGTTATTCTTCTTATACTTTTGGTTCCTCATCAAATAATTATTCTTCCCCTTCCTCTTCCTCTTATTATATCTCCTCTTCTTTTTAATCAACTATCTAAGGATTTGTCATAAAATCTAAAGTCCTTTTCATCTCCTCTTCATTCTCATTCTATCTTTGCTACTCTTATAATTCCCTTTATAATTTCTCTTATCTCTCTCTCTCCATCACTAAACGATAAGCCTTTATTTTTTTATCTATCTATTTTATTGCCTCAGGTATTGGAATTGGCTTTGGAACATACTAAATTTAAATTTATTTTATTCTAATACTGGTTATCCATATTATATTGTTGGCTAAGGTAGAACAATCATCTCTTAAGTTGCTTTTGGTTTTCGACTTTCTTTATTTATAAATGCAATTACAAAAACCGTTATGCATTTCTCATCTAAGGTGGATGCTCACTCTCTTACTTCTCATTTAGAAATCTTGCTTTTTAATTCTAAGATTTAGCTTTGTTTTCAAAGTTAGGTTTTTTTGTTATCATATTTTCTAACATTACTTAGTTATTTTTAATATATATATATATACTATCATTTCAATTTTAATCAATGTTTCTGAGAACAATTATGAAAATTTAGATTGTTCATCATTACTATTGATAAATCGGAATTCAAATCTTATAATATTTTTTAATATTCACTAATTGATGATTCCAATTCCGATATATATATTTATTTCTACTCAATTATGTACTTAACATCATCTAACATCTATTCGTAATATATTTTCTAATATTAATCATGTCTTAATTATCTCTCTGTTTTTTATAATTTTGGAGCTGTCACTTCTATTTTCTTTTTTAATTAAGCTTACTATTTTTATGTATTTTTCATTTTTTTTTTCTCTTTCTCCAATTCACCCAATTAATTTAAAGCAATTTCATCATTCTCTCTAAATTCAATAAATTATTGCTTCTAATTAAATGGAGCCTTCTAATATGCCTTTTAATCAACTTCATAATCAATTAAAGAAATCTTATATTTATCATTCTAAAGTTCAACTTTTTTTAAATACTCTTCTTCTTAACATTTATTTAACTTCTCTTAAATCTTAACAAAGTTATTTGTTTGCTTTTACTCTTATTTTGAATAGTTTTCATATTAAATTTTAACTCCATTTAATAATATTCTTTTCTCCTTTAATTCTTTTTTCTCATTTTATAACTTTATTTCAAGCTTTTTAATTTTAATATTGTTTCTTTCTATCTCTTACTTCAATTCATCAACTTATTTATTCATTCCTTTTTAAAATTTCTTTATTTAATTTAATTAGTTTGTTAAAAACAAATAATTTATAAACGGTATAATTTTTAAAATATTTATAATTCCTATCTAAGATCACAATTATTGCAATACACTATTCATATATACATGAATGTAAATGTAATAATATTATATTTTGTCATATAAATTGGATAATTAATTATTTTCAAATATAGATGATTAATTCGTTAAATACGTATTTTTTCTCTATAAATAATATCTTATTGCATAATAAAAATCACAAACTCAAATTAATGAACACCATCCTTATTTTTAGTTTTGTGGATCTTCTTCAACCTTTTTGAATTATTATTTCCTTGCATTTTCTTTTTATTGAATAATATCAATAATAAGGCCAGTAAACATCTAATTAACATTGGATCCATTTTTAGCTGATGTCTCAAAGAAAAGTGCTTTGAATTAAGAAGCCAACTACTTTCCTTCATCATAACTAATAACTCTTTCAGAACCCAAATCAATTTTATTTCCAACAATAACAATCGATGGCACATATTCTTATTTCTCAAATAGCTATTAAAATAATAACAAAGTATTTTTAATATCTTCAAAACTTTCTAAAGAGTTTACTGCATAAGTAAATATCAATCCTTCCTTATCCTTCATCCATTAAGTTCTTAAGGATGTGTATGCTTCTTAACCACATGTATCAGAAATCTTAGCAAATTTATTTACTATTTACTTCAATCTAGCATTACTAATCACCCACCATTACTCTTTTTGTATATTTATCTAAAAGTGTAAGACTGTAATCTTCGAAAAATTCATTATTAACCCATCTTGTTGTCAAATTTGATTTTCCAACTGAACCCATTCCCAACAAAGAAATCCTATATTAAACTAATTATTTTGATTCGGCAAAAGAATTTTAAAAATTAGAATTATAATTATTGAACTCTTCTCCCTAAAATTAATAACAAATTTTTTATATACACTTGATATGAAATAACTACCTCCCATTTATATACTAGCAATATCTATTATCTCTTTTCCTGTCTGATCAAATATCCTTTAAGCTCTTAGTTCTAATTATGAATATTTCCAAAACCTAAAACAGTTGAGCACATCTACAAAAATTTTCTTCGATCAGTTTCTTTTCTTAAATAATGCACTTTCATCGATTTACGTGCATTAGCATTATTGTATATCTATATTGTAACATTATTTGTATTTATCATATAATTATTATATTTTCTTTTTATAATTTACATTATACTAAAATATGTTAATGTTATGTGAAACAACGCCTATTTAGTATATATCATTGCATCAAAAGATAAAACAATAACTTATTCATTTAAATTAAATACATTAAACATATATGAGAATAAAAGAATAAGTTAATTCATTGTTGTTTTCACAACTAACAAAGTTTAAGTAATTTTCGAGTATTGTCTTAATAAATTGTTTTATTTGATTGAAACAACTTCTCAACTAACATATTTTGATACAATTGATAAAATGGTATTTTGACTAATTTTATGATCATATTCAACATGATTGAACAAGCCTTTGTTGTCAATTTTAGCCTCTTGCATAAGTAAACTAAGTTGTTCTTCAGTTTAGAATCTCTAAGAGAAGATAAATATTCAATCTTTTAGTTACAAGTTAAGATTTAAGTTTCAATTATTTCATCGCATAATATATTACTGCTTATGCTAACAAAGATAAGTTTGGTAATTAAATAAATGAGAGTATTTAAATTCATTGTTTTTCAATCCCTACACACAGATTCATTTTGCCAATTTAATGGCTAATTTCTTCATATAATAAAATTCATTTTGTTGAAGTTTATTCAAATTCTGTAAATTTTGGAATAGGGGGTATTTTTACATGATAATTTATTTATTAAGGTCATAAATTACTATCAACTCATCAATAACACCATAATAAAATAGATTAGATTTAAAATAATTATTTAAATATTCTATAATCCCCCTTAAATTGAATCTAAATTCACTAAATCATCTTCTCAAGAACCCTTTTAATTAAAAATTTATAAAATAATAGAGTTTTTTAGTCTTTTTTATAAATAAATAATAAATTATAAATTAGTTATAAACTAATTTGGTAATTTAAATTCTAATTCATATTTTATATAATCAAACTTAAAATTAATATTAATCAAGTGCTCGTAAATTTTTATACTAACTTTACACAACTATTCTATGTTTAATATAATAAATGATTATATGCAAAATATAGTGATTAAGATTCTTCAAATAAATTTAAATTTGTTTAATATTGTTAATGTTATTTTAATATTAAGATAATTATATTTTAATTATTTCAATATTTAAGTTAAAATATTGATGAAAATATATATATAAAAATACTTAATATAAAAAAATGAGAAAACCAGATTCTTATTATTTGTTCCCAAATTTACACAGGTTTTGAACATATTTTAATGATTTTATGGGATATTAATATATATTGTATTATATGAATTACACATTTATTAAATTTGAAATGATTTAATTTCAGTAAAGGCCCTTAGAAGAAAGACAATAGGATATAAAGAAGCATAAGGCATCTCTATAAAGTCCTGGTCAGTTAGAAGAATGTTAAAAATGCATAAAAGAAGTAAATAATTAGATAAATTTTAAGTCTCGAGAAGAATTCATGATTTTTATTCAAGACTATATTATAATGACACTATCTAATGATGATTCAAGTGTATGTGAGGAAGTAAAATAAATGTAATTAGTTTTAGTTAATTTAAATCATCAAAAATCAATGTATTAAACTTATAGATAAACCATTGTGGACTTTCAAAGAATTATTTGCTGAGCTCGAATTATAGCTAGAAAGACACATAGGTATTTATTGATTTAAAGATGAATTTTTTTAGACGATTATATCGTGTTTAATTAAGTGAAATAATTGCTTTCCAGTTTCAATGTTCAATACTCAAACAACTTTAATTAAATAAGTTCATTTTATTTAAAAAGCATATTAAGTTAAAACTCGATTCCTTAGTAATAATTAAAGAGAGTTTGTCATTTTATTGAAGGTAAATATAAATTTGATAAGAAAGTTTAAGAATTAATACCAAACCAACAGGATAGAGTAGAAGAAATAAACTAGCATCTTTAATCATTTATCCAGTATTAACTTATTCTTTCAATTTATTAGTCAAGAGAACCTGCTTCATTTAGATTCATGGTCTTGCCAATTTTAATCATCATATGGTATAATTTTTATAGATATAGATATTTCATACAAGGCCAAAAAATTGAATATTGATGTAATTTTGATTGATACATTTGGTATCAATTAAAGCATCTCATAAATGCTATTTCTTTTGTTACCAAACTATGAAGTAATTTTACCTTAGTTGTAATCATCCATTAATATAAACAAGGGGAATTTATAGCAAGTAATGTTGAATTTATTTTGTGTAGGCTTTGTCGAACATATACGATATAAACCCTGAAATATCTGATTGGCCTCACATACTCACTTTAAAAGGTAAAGGCATAGTCTGCTGTAATTTTGATGGATTTCAAGCAAATGAATTTATAAACTTTTATTATGGAGAAGTATACACCCCTTCAAGATGGTTTGAGAAATAGACAGTATTCAATAAGAGAATGCAAGATGGAAATAAAAAATCATGTTTGCAGAGTCCTTTTGCAGAATTTTACATAAATGATGATCTCTTTGTACGAAATTTAAAATATTATAAAAAGTTTATTGATCCAACTAGATATGGAAATATTGCACTATATATATCATATTCCTGTGATCCGAATTGCAAATTGATGGCAGTGTCTATAAATTCTTAATATAAACTTGCAATTGTTACATTAAAGAAAATAAATTATCTAGAAGAATTAACTCTTCCATTTCCATAAACTTCTAATGATTTATGCTTTTGTGGTTCTATATATTGCAGAAGAACCTCTTAATTAGAAAAATTCAATAATAGATTATCACAAAATTATCCTAATTATATATAGAGAAATGCAATATTATTATAATCGACAATTCTTGGAAAACCTAATCATTTGACATTAATTCCTTATTGGTTAGACAATTGGCAGAAACTTAATTCTACTTAAGATTAAATCAATATTTTATCATGTGTTGATAAAGTTAAATTTGCTCTGAATTCTTTAAATGATAATGCTCCTCCTATATATTTGATTTATGACATTTTTTAAATCTTTTGGAAGAATTATGATAATATAAATCCTTAGAATGAATTAAAATAATCAATCCTTAATGAAATCAAAACTTTATTGATGAGACATTCCAATCTCAAAGAATGTCAAACTGCATTAGAAATTATTAAATTAATGAAATCTATTATAGATGAATAAAATTAATATAAAATGTAATTGACTAGAATGTTATTACTCATTTTAAGTGAATTATTTTTGAATATGGAAACTTCTCATTTTCATAATAAAGGTCTATCTATTATTTTATATTTTATGTCTTTTACTCATACTTATTTCTCATCCACTTAATATGAAGGATTCTTAGGAAAACCTTTTGAAGAGAATGAGTTTGAATATATACCTTAACCAAAAAATAGATAGAAATTAGCCCTAGCTAAATTATACACTCCCTAATATATATGGGGATAATTGATAAATTGGAATAAATAAACCCTTCAAAATCCTTAATCATCAATGGCTCAAGAAAGAAGAGGAGTTTTATGTTATCCTTCATTCATATTATCGTTTGACAACAAACATAAACTCTTTCCATATTAATGCAAAACAAGAGAACAATTTCTAGAGTACTTTTAAATTAAATAAGATATCTAACCTGATTTATCAATATGGTCATACAAAAACTACTACAAGTATACTGATTTTTTCTATGTTTAGCATTTATGGAACTATCTTTTTTGAATAATATTTCTCTTAGTAAATTGTTGGAGACAATTTTATAGCTTAAATATCTAAATTTGGAACTCATTCATTTAAAGATAAATTTCTTTTTTGGTTACAAATAGAAAACTTATTCTATTAGGATAACTAAATGATAGAAGTTTTGAATGAAATTTTTGAAAAGTAAGAATCTAATTAATAATTTAGATATTTTAAAAAAAATTTCAATAGATAAAATAGTTTTAGTTCAAATTCAGAATGTACTGAATAAATAGTCAAAAAAATTAAATTAAAGAATCCTTCAATAATTATTGATGACACTTAAACAGGATAATTTTGATTTTTTTGATAATTTTATCTACAATATATTTGAAATAATTTAGACATATATAGTATAAATTATTATCAAAAAAAATTAATTAATAATCTGAAATTAACATTAAATTTATATAATATAATTACTCATAATCCTACTGCTTTAGCACTTAAATCCCATAAATTTGTTTCTAATCCACATTCCCTAACTAATTTTGTAGATTTTGATAATTAATTTTTTTGATAATATCCTGATGGTACTAATTCTTCAAATGGCTATAGAATTGTATATTCTGTAGTTCTTGATCCTTCTTCTTCATTTAATGAAAACTAAGACATAAGTCCTATTACCACTATTGCAATTGCACTTAAAAAAGGATTTGATCCATTTTTTGAATGATAGATTTCAGTTCTTACAAATCCAGGATGTACTGAAACAACTTTAATACTTCTATTTTCCTTATCAAATTTTTATTATAAAGCTTAAGTAAAAACAATATTTGCAAATTTTGAAGTTGAATAAGTAGTCATACCAAGGCTTAACTCACCTTTTATTGCTTTTTAAAAATCAGGCACTTTTTTCAAAAACTCATGAGCCCCACTTGATACATTAATTATTCTTGATTTATCACTCATTAAATCTAAAAGTAAATTAGTCAAAAGAAAATGACCCAAATGATTTGTAGCAAATGTGAGTTCTTGATTCAAATTATTTTTTTATTAATTAATTATAAAGATACCAGCATTATTAATTAAGTAATCACATTTATTGAATCTTTATTTAAATTCCTTAACAAATTATCTTACAGAATCAAAATTTGGTAAATCTAAATTTATATAATGTAAATTATTATTCTTGCTTATCTTCTATATTTCATCAATAATAATTTGAGTTTTTTATTAATTTCTACAAGCAAATATAACTGTAGCACCTCTAAAAGCCAACTTTTTGGCTGTCTCTTTACCAACACCTGCAGAAGATCCTGTTACTATGGCAATTTTGCCTGTTAAATCTACATTATAAATTCTTCTTGGTCCTGCTTTATTCCAAGAATAAACAAATCCAGCCAAAATGATTGCTATTAAGATTATCGCTATAATCTAAAATATCATAAATAAAATAATTAATAATTAAAAAACATGAGGGATTTATATAGTTGAAAGAAAAAATCTTTAAAATACTTTTTGGTTGTAAATTTTTAGGGTAATCTGGCTTTAAGCTTCTCTGAAAAATTCACAAATTTCTAAGCTATTTTATTCTATAATAGAAATACAAATTTCTTTTTTTTCTTATTTCTCAAATAGGATATGCGAAATTAATTATCCTATCATCTTTCACCTTTTATAAAATGTATATTATTACTATAGTTTAGGTTTACCAATATTTTTGATCTGAGAGGATTTGTAAATTGAAAAAAGGATATTTTTTAATAATATTATTGCTAATATGATATTTAATATAAGAAGTGGAAAATATAAATAAATTAAGTTGTCATCCTTTTTTAATGTTATTGCATTTATGCAAGATTTCTTCCCAAGCATCACTTGACTTTTTTGGTCTTCTTCTGAAATTGCTTTCAATCATTCTTTTTAACTCCTTTGATTTACTACTTGATGGAGTTTGTGAATTATAATCTGGATATTCTACCTAAATCTTGTAGAGAGTAGATTTAGTTTCTTGAGGTTAAATAAGATTCTTGGTTCGATTTTCTTTGTCTTCATCTTCTAATTGCCATCTAGAGACAGTGAGTTCTTTTTCTTGAAAGTATTCAATTTCCGTTGATTAATTAATCATTATTTAATTTATAGAGAAATGATAATCAAAATTGGTTATATAATTGTGTTCTTTCATACTAATAAAAATTNTTAGTCAAAAGAAAATGACCCAAATGATTTGTAGCAAATGTGAGTTCTTGATTCAAATTATTTTTTTATTAATTAATTATAAAGATACCAGCATTATTAATTAAGTAATCACATTTATTGAATCTTTATTTAAATTCCTTAACAAATTATCTTACAGAATCAAAATTTGGTAAATCTAAATTTATATAATGTAAATTATTATTCTTGCTTATCTTCTATATTTCATCAATAATAATTTGAGTTTTTTATTAATTTCTACAAGCAAATATAACTGTAGCACCTCTAAAAGCCAACTTTTTGGCTGTCTCTTTACCAACACCTGCAGAAGATCCTGTTACTATGGCAATTTTGCCTGTTAAATCTACATTATAAATTCTTCTTGGTCCTGCTTTATTCCAAGAATAAACAAATCCAGCCAAAATGATTGCTATTAAGATTATCGCTATAATCTAAAATATCATAAATAAAATAATTAATAATTAAAAAACATGAGGGATTTATATAGTTGAAAGAAAAAATCTTTAAAATACTTTTTGGTTGTAAATTTTTAGGGTAATCTGGCTTTAAGCTTCTCTGAAAAATTCACAAATTTCTAAGCTATTTTATTCTATAATAGAAATACAAATTTCTTTTTTTTCTTATTTCTCAAATAGGATATGCGAAATTAATTATCCTATCATCTTTCACCTTTTATAAAATGTATATTATTACTATAGTTTAGGTTTACCAATATTTTTGATCTGAGAGGATTTGTAAATTGAAAAAAGGATATTTTTTAATAATATTATTGCTAATATGATATTTAATATAAGAAGTGGAAAATATAAATAAATTAAGTTGTCATCCTTTTTTAATGTTATTGCATTTATGCAAGATTTCTTCCCAAGCATCACTTGACTTTTTTGGTCTTCTTCTGAAATTGCTTTCAATCATTCTTTTTAACTCCTTTGATTTACTACTTGATGGAGTTTGTGAATTATAATCTGGATATTCTACCTAAATCTTGTAGAGAGTAGATTTAGTTTCTTGAGGTTAAATAAGATTCTTGGTTCGATTTTCTTTGTCTTCATCTTCTAATTGCCATCTAGAGACAGTGAGTTCTTTTTCTTGAAAGTATTCAATTTCCGTTGATTAATTAATCATTATTTAATTTATAGAGAAATGATAATCAAAATTGGTTATATAATTGTGTTCTTTCATACTAATAAAAATTGTGATTATCTTTTAAATCGTCTTATTCCATTCTTTCTTTGGATTCACAGATTTTGAATTTTTATCTACAAAAATTATGATTTTTCTTAAACTGTTTGAACTTAGATTAGTCCAAACAAAATCTATTTAAGTTACAATAATATTTTAATTGTTTGCTAGCCAAATACATTTATGAATAAATTTCTTAGATCTGATTGAAGTCATGAGTTGTCATTAATTTAGACAATAAATCAATAGTTTAATTTTGATAGGAAACAAGATCCTTGATAAGTAAATCAAAACAAAACCGAAGCTTTTAATTTCTTTGTCCTTCAATAATTCTTAATCCCAAACATTAGATATTTAAGATAACGAAACAATCTATAATTGGAATTTCACAAAGTTATTGCATACAGACTTTTTTCAAGTATATATAATAGACTTGTAAAATCTAATGATATGTCAAAGGTTCTCTTAATTCTTAGAATTAGATTTTTTTATCAGTCACACTTTTCCTATATTCAGACTCATTCTTAAAGTAATTTTACTCTAAAGTTTATTTAGGAGTATTGTCCCAACTAGGGGCAACAATGACACTTTTAGAAATAGTCAAGTTTAATTCAGTAGGCAATCTTTCTAAAACAAAACTAGAGTTTAGTGTATTAGTTATGATGCAAATATTGCTATCAGCAAATAATTCTTTAGGAAGAGAACATTGCTGAATCATTTTATGAAAGACACTTAAAAGTTTAATAATTTATTCAGGTTGAAGAAAACAATCGAATGGTTTAGATAATTCTTGGAACACTTTTTAAAGTCCTATTGAGATAGCTATAGAAATAATACCAATTTTTAGAATCTAATCTATCAAACTCTCGATTTCATCATTTTTATGATTCATCATACGAATTAGAGTTGATTTTATCATTTTTAATAAATAATATTATCATGAAATGAATCTACCCGTAATGGGATCTCTACTACCTATTCTATATTATGGTATTTCAGAAGTATTAAATGATTGATGTTTCTTATCTGAAGTAGGATTCCAGTAATCAAAAGCAGATGCTTTTTTAATTCTATCTTAATTTGCCTAATAATCATTAATTATTAAAGTATACATCATAATTACTAATGATATCATATTTCTCAGGTTTTGGATGATAAACTAATTATCTTTAAGGTGGTTTAGGTTCTTATGCAATCAGTTAAGCAGTTTTATATATTGGTTTATCATCTCCCATCACTATCTATGTAGCCATCAATGTGAGTTTATCTCTAATTGGTTTTGCTCTTGGAGGATTTTGATAGTCTTTGTAATTCTTATATTCAGAATTAAAATGTGTTTCCTTTTTATAAGGCACATTAATATGATCAATATGTATTGTTGGTGGATGCATATTTGCACACTAAATAACTTATGTAATTTTTCTACATTTTCTCTTTTTACGATTTCCTTGTTTTATTTATAATCAACTTCATAAACAGTTTCATTAGATTATTACCAAGGCTTCCATCCTATGTTATAGTGATGTTCTCTCTGCTCCAAAGCTATTGGAGGAGCATACTTGCCTACTCCTATATCCAGGTTTTCTGAAATCCCCTTAAATACTCCTTTATACCCTTCAGTCTAAGGTCCTGGATCACGATGAATTTTACGAACGCTCATATTATATTATATTAATCATAATAATTTTTTTACATTTTCTTATTCTCACCCTCTCAGAAATTGTCTAAGTTTTAATTTTGCATTCTATAATCATTATGTTTAAGTTTCGTGATTCTTATTTGAAAAGATGAATATCAAAACTTAGAAAATAATCAGTAATTTTATATAAATATTTTTAAAAGTCAATTTGTTATAAAATTAGATTATTATTATTATCCTATTTCCATTCTTACTTTTTCCATTATAGAATCTATTATTTCTTCATTGTTTTCATCTTCTTACTAAAAATATTTTATTTTTTCTTTATGTTAAATATCCTTTAATTTTTCCAATTATTTCTTCTCTTTTAACTTTTAAAGCTATTTTTCTTTTTTATGTTTCTCATAAAGAAAATCACTAAAACTCTTAGTATTATATGTAAAATTACAATAATTGAATAACTTTAATATGGTGAAAAGGCTTAAACAGCTTTTGGATTCATTTTTAAAGGAACCTTTCTAAATTATTAATGATATGATCCCAAATTCTAGGCTTTAGGTAAAGAAATAATATCTTTAACATTTGGTTCTATAATCATTCTAGCATGTATTCTTTTAGTAGAATTCAAATTAGGATTAGTAGCTATGTGTAATGATGGAAGAGAAGGTTATGCTTTTTCGTGCATTTTAATAAAAATAAATAATTAATTAAATAAATCATTTAACCTTATAAGAGTCTTTGTCTTTCTTTTTCTTTTCTTCATCTTTATCTTCTAAAGGAATAACACATTTAAGTAAACGGTTATAACCATTAGAATTATCTGTCAAATATAAAAATGTTGGTTTAATTACAGAAAAACACATTCCAGTGATTTCTGGGCTTCCAGGAATAAGAATATTTTCTAACAATTAGCCTTAAGGATTCAAAACAGATATCAAACCCATATCATGATCATTTCCTATTGAAAATTCAAATCGAGCAACATAAAGAAAATCTGATTAAGAAATAACAAGAGCAGTTGGTCCAAATCTACCTGAAAATTGATGATAAACACTTGATAATAATATAAATTATACCTAAAAGCATAGATTCCAGAACTTGTAAGTACAAATCTTATGATACGATTCTCACATGTTTCGCTAACAAATAAATTTTTTTCATCGTGACTTAAAGCTAAACCACTTGGATGAGCTAAACATCTATATGCTAATGCAGTTGGTTTAATTTCTTGACCATCCAAATCAACCATAAAAACTGATCCAATTGGATTTTCAACACTTGTTTCCCCAAAAGGACCTGAATCTGTAAAATAGATTGCATCTAATTATAAATTATTTATTATTACTTATATTTATATATGATATGATAACTTAATTAGGACCTAAGAATGGCATTCCCTCATACTCTGTAACAAAATCTTTTGCTGCTTCTTAATTTATATTAGATTATTATTAAAGCTAATTTAATTGCTTATATGTAATAGCTTGATGTGCCATATCAGCAATATAAATAACTGTATGATCCCTTTCTATTGTAATTGAAGATGGTTGTCCTCCCATTCTAGTGTCAATTTTAAGTTCATTAGTCATTATTAAAATGTCTCCATTCTCAGATACCATATAAATTGATCCATTGACTTCATGTGGAGATGAAAGAGGATTCGAAAAAGTACAAATTTTTTCTGCAGTTACTTACATTAGCAAAATATTAATTATAAAAAATATATTTAGTTATTTACTAACTAAAATCAATTTTTATTTTTTATCAATATCATAAGTCGGGTAAATTCAATTTCAAATCTCTTATAAATTATTTTGAAAGGACCAGACTCATTTTATTTAATGTTATATACTAAGTATATCCTTTATTGATAATTTACAAATGTTGTCAAACAAATTTAATTCCTCTCAATTTTAGCTACATTTCTATATTTTATTTATAATCAAGCACTTTTCAATCAATCTCAGGTTTCTTACTTACATATTTTCAAAGTGAGAAGAAAAAAAAATTTACTTGTTCTATGCCAAAAAATGATTTATTCTATTTCCTTCTATTTTTTTTTAGTTATTAAACCAGTATATAATCTACCCAAAACTTCGAGATAAATTATGAGTTTCAATCCAAATATTATGTTTGAAAGATTGATCTTATAAATAAAATAATATTATTTCAAAGGTTTTTTAATGTGTATATCTTTAATTTAAAAACTTTATATGTGCACCACTTTATAAGCAAGGATAAGCACTCTTTATTAATTAAACCTGGATTTTTAAGTAATTTTATTTAAAACAAGATGTATGATAATTAATCTATTTGATCATGAATCTAATAAATAGAAAATGAAATATAATTGAATAGGATTTTTAGAATTTACTTCAAACATAGTGTTTATTTAGAAGGTGATAGTGATAGTGGAATAATATGATTAAGGGATAATGAATGATTTTTGGAATTGATACTAAAGATGTTTAGAGCACAATGAAGTGATAGAGTAAGTTATTTGATAAGGTCTATGGATAAGAAAAGGAGAAATATTTGGGAAAAAATATTCGTTTTATATGTTTGAGAATTGTGAACAAAATAAATAAAGAATTAGATTAAATAATATTTTTCCACATGTTCTAGAATATTCAATATATATATATTTAAGAAAAGTTAAAAAGAATTTAATAATATTTATTTTTTTACACGTCATAAAATATGAAAACAATAATTCTGATAGTACTTGTGCTCGGAGCATGGGCATAAGAAAAGACAAATAAAGTTGAATGCCCAGTCATTGGTATAGATTTAGGTACAACATATTCATGTGTTGGAATTTATAAAAATGGAAATGTGGAAATAATTCCAAACGAATAAGGAAACAGAATTACACCATCAGTTGTAGCATTTACTGATGAAGAACGTTTGATAGGAGAAGCAGCCAAAAACTAAGCAGCTATCAATCCTACTAGAACATTATATGATGTTAAGAGATTAATTGGAAGAAAGTAAGAATATTAATTTATATATAATAGATTCACAGATTCAACAGTTTAATATGATAGAAAGTTTATGCCATATGAAATAGTAGATAAGGATACAAAACCATACATTAAGGTGACTAACATAAAGGGTCATTAATCAAAGATTTTTGCACCTGAAGAAATTTCTGCTATGGTATTAACAAAAATGAAAGAAATTTCAGAAACATATTTGGGAAAGAAAGTAATTAATGCAGTTGTCACAGTTCCTGCTTATTTCAATGATGCATAAAGATAAGCAACAAAAGACGCAGGAACAATTTCAGGTTTGAATGTTGTAAGAATTTTAAATGAGCCAACAGCAGCAGCTATAGCTTATGGTTTAGATAAGAAGGATGGAGAAAAAAATATTTTAGTTTTTGATTTAGGAGGTGGTACTTTTGATGTTTCTATTTTGACAATTGATAATGGTGTTTTTGAAGTCGTTGCTACATCAGGTGATACTCATTTAGGAGGAGAAGATTTTGATTAAAGAATTATTGATCACTTTATTAAAGTTATAAAGAAGAAACATAATAAAGATATTAGTGCAGATAAAAGAGCTATCTAAAAATTAAAGAGAGAAGTTGAAAAATCTAAGAGAGCACTTTCAGCTACTCATGAAACTAAAATTGAAATTGAAGATTTAGTTGATGGTTTAGATTTCAATGAAGTACTTACTAGAGCTAAATTTGAAGAATTAAATAATGATCTATTTAAAAAAACTACTGGACCTATGTAAACTGCTTTAGAAGATTCTAAATTTAAGAAAACTGAAATTCATGAAATTGTTTTAGTTGGAGGATCAAGTAGAATTCCTAAAATTAGATAAATCGTTAAAGATTTCTTTAATGGAAAAGAAGCTAATACTGGTATCAATCCAGATGAAGCTGTTTGTTATGGTGCTGCTATTTAAGGTGGTATTATTTGTGGAGAAGAATCTAATGAAACTAAAGGTTTAATAGTCATTGATGCAACACCTTTGAGTTTAGGTATTGAAACTGTTGGAGGAGT